AAACATGAAAATATTTAATCTCATTCTACTTATCTTTCCTTTTTTGCTTGGTTATACACATAACGTAGTTCCTATTCCTTCTATTATTATGTGTGGAATAAAGAAACAGGTATGTTGTATCTTGAGAGGATAGCCGCTAGAATCTATTACACTGAGTTTTGTACTTAGAGGGGCAGAATTATTCTTAAAGACAGTGCTTGCACGTCTAAGACGACAGTTCAATTTTGTATCTTAATTTTCTCATCTTTTTCAACTGATTTCCAGCAATTCTTATTTTTCATATTATTTAACATTTTTCCAACACGACAGCTCAAAGAGGATGGCAGCAACTCGTTGTCTCGATCGACTCAGGCTAGCAAACACAGCTTTGCGATGGGGACTACGACTAAGAGTGAAAAGATCAGCGTAGGCGACGACGACGCACTATCACTAAGGAATTGTTGTAGGGGCTATCAAATTCAGCAACACCCTCGGCAGTGCGGTGCCTCGAGATGGACGCGACAATGGCAATGTGAATGATGCGGCTCGATCAAATCGAGACGAGCAATGGAATCTGAATGTTGCTTGTATTCTTTCTGTTGTGTATTTTGTTTTTGGTCGAGAGTCTCTTCACAATTCCACTGCATAATCTGTTTGTCCCAACCGAGAATACATGCTTTCCATGGTAGAGTATGTTGCGGTATTTGCTGAAATCCCTTTCCTTGAAGGGTGTTGGCTAAATTGCATTTGAGGGTGGCCCGGCTCGTGGGAGCTCGGTCTTGAAAATTGGAATGAGTTTATCTCCCCCTAAATTCAAGCTCGTTTCGCATGTCGGGCCAATTCAAATGCAATTCACAACCAGGCCAATTTAAACGAGATTCATTTGATGCGGACATGTTATCGCTAAACAAAAAAATTTCATAATGTCTTAATGCCATGCACATGCAAAATCATGTGAGCGATATTTTGTTTAAGGGAAAATTCCAAATAAAGGCTTGAAGTACTCTTATTTTCTCAAACAAAAGCCTGAAGTGAACAATGTATCAAATAATGGCCTAAAGTGGCATGTTAGTCTCAGATAAGGGCTTGAAGTGGCCATGATAGTTTCAAATAAGGGCCTGACCTCGCCGATCGCCGGCCGACAAAATATTCCAGCTGGTCAAGGGCATTTTCGTCCAAAGATAATGTTATTTTTAATTTCTTTTTTTCTTTTTTCCTTTCTTTTCTTTTTTCCTTTTTCAGGTTTTCTGTTTGTTCTTCGCCGATGGTCGGCCGGCTAACCACCAGCGAAGCTCGACAATAGCCAAGGGACGACCTCGCCTAGGCGTCACCCGGCCTTGGGTGAGGTAGGCCATCCCTCGTCGACCATGGGCGAGGCCGACCTTTGCCGAGGCAAGACTAGCCTCGCCGACAGTTGGCGAGGTGACCCTTGCCCAAATCTGGAGAGGGTCGCCTCACCCAGCCCTTCCCAGGCTTCGCCCGTGGCTGGCCGGCCATCGGCAAAGAACAAAGAGAAAATCATAAAAAGAAAAAAGAAAGAAAAAAGGAAAAAATGAAGGAAAGGAAAGGAAAAGGAATGGAAAAAATAAAGAAAAAAAGGAAAAAAATTCAAAAAAGTAAAAAGAAGAAAATGCCCTTACCATCCGAAAAGTGAGGCCAAACAAAAAATAGCCACTTCATGCCTTTATTTAAAACTAAATCCACTTCAGACCCTTATTTGAAAAAATAAGGGCACTTCAAGCCCTTATTTGACACAAAGTCCTATTCAAACCCTTATTTGAAAAAATAATGCCACTTCAGGTCCTTATTTGAAAATGTCTAGCTTGCTTCGCATATCGGGCCAATTCAAATGCAATTCACAACCAGGCCAATTTAAATGAGATTCATTCGATGCGGACATGTTATCGCTAAACAAAAAATGTTCATAATGTCTTAATGCCATGCACATGCAAAATAATGGGAGCGATATTTTGTTTTATAAGTCAAAGTTTGCCGTTATCGACAAATTCAATTCTTGAATTTTACGAAATGTAGGAGATCTTTAGGTAAAAATCCAAGTGTCAACAGATAGGATTTAAATGATCTATAATCATTTTTCGAGGAAATTATCATTACCTTCACCCTTAATTAATGTATGTTTGCCATGATAATAAATTTGATCATTGTAACTAATTGTCATGTCCAATTTGTTAGCTGATACGTACTCAGTATGAGTGAATTATATTTTCTCTTTAAATCTACAATTTCAAGCAACTTTCAATCAAGCGTTCAAGATATTATAAATTTGATAGGAGTGTTGGAATATTTAAATATTAAATCATGTTTTCATCTAAAAGTTTAGACTTTTAGAAGGCTAGTAGTGATCTCACAAAAAAAATTACATGGTAACAAAATAGGAAGTCTAGAGTCCAAATATTTCTAAACCACTTATCCGACTCTCTTTTTATATATTTTATCTCAAAACCAGACTAGATGAAGAAATAGTATTATGCTTAATATTCGTATTGTCAAGGATATTAAGTACTTGACCACAAAAAAAGGATATTAAGGGCGCGAATGATAACCATTCTGTTCCAGAAACAATTCCTGGAACAAAAATAGATTTTTCTATTTCCGTTCGCAGGACGAGTTTCTGAGGAAAGAAATCCGTTTGATAACGACCAAAAATTTCTATTTCTAGAACAGAAATCCATTTGATAACAACATAAAATTTCTATTTCCTAGAACAGAAACCCGTTTGATAACAACACAAATTTCTATTTCCCAGAACAGAAATCCATTTTTTAGAAATGGTCTCTAAAATGAAAATCAATCAAAACACCCAAACCCTAGTAAAACCCTAAAGGCTTATTCATTCAAAGGATTGTGTTGTTTTTTAGGATTTTAGGATTTTTTAGGGGTCAAGACCCCTTTTAGGGTTTTTTAGAGGTTAAAACCCCTTTTAAATCTCTAAACTAAGGAGTCTTCAAAAATATCATTTGGGCACCTCAAAAAATTTAAATTTCACTCAAAGTGGGTGGCCATAAGTATTCTAAGCCATTCTGTGAAGTTTTGAAATTTTTGATTTTTTGATTTTTTTATAAAAAATTCACCAAATTTCCTCTTTTCCAGAAATCTGACTTTTTTTATTTTCTGGAAATTTTTATGAATTTTTCTGGAATTTTTCAATTTTTATGGATTTTCTGGAAAAAAAAATTTAGATTTTTAGGAATTTTCCGGATTTTCTAATTTTTTTATGAATTTTCTGAATTTTTTTATTTTTTCTGATTTTTCTAATTTTTTTTAGAATTTTTTTTATTTTTACCGCCAGGAATGAACTGGACTGAACCAGTTCAGACCGGGGCCAAATTTAGGAAGAAATGTGTTTTGAAGAGAGAAGACAGATTCTTTTAGAAATGATTTTCATTTCTCGTCCAGAAACAGAAAACCTACTTTTTTTTTGTTCTGGAACAAAAAGTTGTTTCAGAAATAGAAAAATGGAATTGCGTTACCAAACGGGTTTCTGTTCCAAACCTATTCCCGGAAACAGAAAACTAGTTCTTAACAAAAACATAATGGTTATTATGCGCGTCATAAGTAACTCAATGTTCATAAAATGCTTAAATCTAGTCTATATTGAATAATGTAAATATACAAAAATCATATATATATATAATTAAATTTATAATCATAGCATAGGCTTATGACCAAAAAAAATCACAGCATAGGCTTCGTATGCGCCTACTTAAGTATTTTAATATGACCCATTTATTCAAATATCCAATGACAATTTAGGAGGCACTCTTATAGGTCAATATTACGTAACAATCCCTGCACTCTCGCGCTTTACCCTCAAGTTTTGCCTTCTCAAGTGATTTTTTTTTTTTGGTCCTTTTGCTCAGGGAAGCATCGACGCTCCACGGCTACATAATGCTTTTGTCAAGGATCGAACTCAGAATGGCTCCTTGGCCCCGTTTGGTTCAACATTCCCAATGCTCATTTGGCCTCTAAAGTCCCTTGGCCAAATGCAAATGGCATTTGGCAATTTTTTTTACTCACTTTGGGGAAATACAATTGCATTTGGAATGCTCCCCAAGGGACCTTTGGCCAATGCACCTCTGAAGGTGCTTTGGGAAGTTGCATTTTCGGAATGCAACTTGCACTATTCATCGACACTGTTCATCTTCCCTAAACTAAGGTCCGGCGGCCGGCCGCCGCCGCCTGAGGGCTAGCCCAACTCCGGCGACCACCGCCCGGGGGTCGCGCTACCCCGGCGACCGCCGCCTGGGGTAGCCGGACCTCGGGCGATCGCCTGGGTCGCGCGACCCAGGCAACGCTTGGCCTAGGTCGCGCGACCCAGGCGACCGCCCGAGGTCCGGCGACCCCAGGCAGTGGTCGCCGGCGACCAGATCTAGCCATCGGCGGTTGGCCGGCGACCAAATCTGGCCGGAGGCGGCGGCCGGCGGTGTAGCTCCACTGGAGCTTTTTTTTTAAAAAAAAAAATAGCAAAAGTCCTTTAGCCCAAGTTGATTTTAAAAAACACTTACCAAACGCTATTTGCATTTCGGAAAACCCCTTTAGCCCAAAGGTATTTGCATTCCCCCAAAGTCGAGCCAAACGGGCCCCTTGTCCGCCTTCCCTGCCGTGAGAGAGAGAGAGAGAGAGAGAGAGAGAGAGAGAGAGAGAGAGAGAGAGAACATTGGGCCTCATGAAGGAGCCCAATCAATGAATGGGCCGCGTAAAGGAGCCCAGAGCAACGAACGGGCCTCCAAGCCCAAGAACAAAGCGCGCGATGGGCCCAAGGCCTTAAGACCACGTGGGCCGGGAACGAAGCCAACCCCCGTCCAAAATCCGGAATCCGGATCACGTGCGAGCGCGCACGGGGGTCCGCTCCTCCTCGAGTCCGGAACAGGCAAAGCAGAGAGAGAGAGAAGAAAAAAAAAAATCAAAGGTGACGTGCAGATCTCGACACGTGGACCCACGCGCACAATCGGATGCAAACATATTTATATTCCACTCTTTATTCTCCCTTTCTCGTCCGCCCTTCCCTCATCTCTCTCAAGCATTCTCGCCAGAAACGCACAGGCCTCCCTCCCTCCCTCTCCCCCTGCGAACCCTAGACCTCCTCCGACCTCCGTCCATGCCCGTCACCTCCGAGCCGCTCCGCCGTTGATTCTCGGATCGGATCGCCGCTCGTTCCGCTCGGTTGTCCCCCAGGAGGAAGAGGAAGAGAGGGAAGAAGAAGAGGGGCCAGCTCCTTTCCCCCGGGCGAATCTCCAGCGGATCGAGAGACATGGCGGCCTCCTCGATGACGAGCTCCGTGTACCTCCACGTCATCGAAGACGTCATCACCAAGGTCCGGGAGGAGTTCGTCAACAACGGCGGCCCCGGCGAGGAGGTCCTGAACGAGCTCCAAGGGGTAATTTTTTATTCTCCTCTTTACCTCAATTCGTTGGATTGGATTGTCGAGAGGATTCTTTTGGCGTGTGATCTGCGAGGGTGGAGTTTCGATTTCATTTTGAGATTCTGGATGAATTGGATGCAGTGTTAGATCTGCCGGGCTTGTGGGTTTACCCTGATTTAGGGCTTCCAGTGTGCTTTCTCTCTCATTTTTTTTTTTATTTTGTAAAATTTGGGTCTAATTTTTATGCGGAAAGTTGGGTTTCTGTTCTCGATGCGTCCGATCACCGTCGGGGGATTCTTGATTCTTGTTGAATGCGGAATCCGACAGATTTGGGAGACGAAGATGATGCAAGCGGGTGCTGTTCTCGGTCCAGTGGACAGGTCGGCCGCCGCCGCGAAGCCTCCACTGGGCGGTGCAGCTGCTCCTGTTCATGATCTCAATGTACCTTACGAGGGGACGGAAGAATACGAAACTCCCACAGCTGACATGCTCTTCCCTCCAGTGAGTTCGGTCCCTTATCCACTCACCCCATGTCGTCTTGCTCGTTTTTTTTTTAAGTGGCTCGGTTCTGAATCTTGTGGGTGCTGCCGTTTGATTGGGATTTCCTTGAGATGTAGACGCCTTTGCAAACTCCCATTCCAACCCCGCTACCTGGGACTGTAGATAGCTCGATGTACAACATTCCGACCGGATCTTCTGATTACCCCACTCCTTCAAATGATGGTGTCGGCAATTCTGGCGGCAATACTGAGATAAAAACTGGGCGACCCAGCGCTTACATGGTATGGTAGTTCTATTCCCCAGGACATTGAAAATCAAAGTAGTTTTTGTTGTATTCTATACCATGCCACATACGATGCTTCTTGCTCTTGACTTTCGTATGGTTAGCAATTCAGCTTGGTTCAATGATTTTCCCAGCTGATTAGCTAAACCACCAGACCGGACAAGCAACCGTTGTTCTTCAATAATGCGAAGCTGTTACTTTTTTGCTTAAAAAAAGGATAAAGAAATATTGAAACCCTATTCCTGTAAGACTGAATGGTTATATCTTATTTGGTATCTTACTGTTTTGATTTTTAGTATACGTAGTTGAGTAATGGTTAAGTTGATTTCGTGATGCTTGTTTACATAGTATTTTTCAAGAATGCCTCTGTATGATGGCCAATTTTAAGCTCATAACTCTTCTTTTAGATGATTACGGGAGGATAGTAATTTTAGTTGTTATATGTTTTGATGTTTAGATATACGAAGGCTCAAATGTTGAGCCATATTTATATGGACAGTAGAAACCTATCAGAAATTATAACAAATAGAAATGTAGGTTTGGTTTCAGAATTTTATGATTGTCTGCTGAAGTCTATGTTCATGCACTCGTTTTGTGCTTAACAGAATTTCTAATCTGTAACACGTGCTCTAGTGTTTAAGGGAGGATAGATTTTGTATCACTGAGAATGCCACATCTAGCATACCTGGAGACAAGCCCATTATGAACTATCCCCTTTGCAAACAGCCCTTTTTGTGCAACTGCTATTCAAAACCTTGTCCAGTACAATTTCCATAAGCAGATTGGTTTTTTTTTTTATTTGGCAGCATTCTCCCTCACCTTGGATGAATCAAAGGCCCCCCTTGGGTGTCGATGTTAATGTTGGTGAGTAAAATCTTGGAGCTGCAACGGGTTTCAATCTAATGGTCCTATTGTAATTTCTCTCCTATCCTAATTTATGTAGCTTATATGGAGGCTAGAGAGGATGGAGATAGAGGAACTTCTCATCAGCCCCATACACAAGTAAGTTTTCGCCTCATATTTGTCTCTAATTTTTTACTTTCACATAGCTTCCTGGATGTCTAGTGAGTGGTTGTCTTGCCTAAAATGATGGTAGTATTATCACTTGAAGTTTGAGCATTGATCTTGATGTTGAAAAATTATAGGATTTCTTCATGTCCTCTGGAAAGAGAAAACGTGAGGATGTTGTTCCGCACTATCAGAATGGTGGATATATACCACAACAGGATGGAGCTGGAGATGCTGTATTTGAGGATTCACAGGTCTAATTTGATTTTCATTGCACATATTGTTAGTATGTGATCTTTAATTCTTGTGAAAATACCTAGGTATGCTTATTGTTATTTGGTTTGGCTGATATTTTTGCTCTATATTGCTGATTATTGCCAATTGCTAATGCCAGTTTCTTTATGCTCTCAATCGATTTAGTAAGAGAGAGAGAGACAGAGAGAGACAGAGAGAGGTAAGACAGTCTTGTGAGTGAAGCAGATTTTGTTTGTGCAATTGATGGAATGAGTTGAGCGGGTTGCTTTTGTAACCAGTTTTTTTAGTGGTTTAAAGCTCTAGCAAAAGATGCAGCGTTTAGATGTTGAGCAAGGAAAGTGACTACTGACATGTGCTCAGTTTCCAAAGGCATTGGAAATCCAGACCGGCTTAGAGAATCACTGGCGCTAGCGCAACATGAACACATTGTTTCTGGTCTTGTATGTTGCTATAATGCCATTTTCTCAGGCCTTGATACTTCATAGTCTCCATGAATTACTTTGTGTCACTGAATGAGCCTGATGAATTTGACCTAGGGAGAGTTTTGGGAGTATAAACATGTAGATCTGGTGCTTGAAGTTTGGTTATTGTTTTCTAGTTCAATTGTTGAAGCTCTGTTTTTTATCGTGGGCCAGTGTCTGTACTGTGCCACAGGATATGCAATCCTTTTCCTGGTGGATTTAGTTTCAACATCTGTTTTGGAACTTTTGTAATTTGCTTAGTCATACATTTGCTAACCCAGGTGTGGTAAATTTCCAGATCACAGAGAAGACGACTATTCTACCCACTGCAGACACCGCAAATAGGCAGATGCTGGCACATGTGGGGAGGCCACTGTCAAAGATACCTCAAGTAGATGGGCAAACTCCTGATCCATATGACGAGATGCTTTCTACTCCCAATGTGAGTTCCACTTAAGATATTGGAACATAGAATTGAATGCTTGATCCTCTCTTCTGCTTTTTCTGATAATAGAATTCTGAATTTTTGCATGTTCATGTGTTTCCTTTTTTCACTCTGTGGCCAGAAAGTTCTGTAGTTGCCTTCAGGATCCATGTGATGAGTATATCTTGCTAGTATATATCTAATAGCAGACCTTAGAGAAGTCTTCATAAGGTGCAAGGGTATACCATTATCTGCATTAAAAATCCATGCCTTGTTCATGTGTTTTGTTTTCAATAGCCATATCTGCAGAGTCGTTCAATTTGAGATGAGTAATTTTCCCCAAAAAATAAGAGAGATAAGGAGCAATCTCACTGGTTGGTTCCCTTCTGATGTGTTTCCTTTTCTTGGCATTGAAGATATACAATTATCAAGGAGTCATGAATGAAGATTACAACATTGCTAGTACACCGGCTCCAAATGGTATTTGCGACTTTTGCAAGTTTATGATATTTGAGCCAGTACTTTGGTGTCACTGGTGTAGTAGAAAACTCAGATGATCTCCTTGTTTTTCTACAGAATTACAGGCGAGTACCCCTGCTATTGGAGTTCATAATGATGTTGGAGATGATGAAGATGAAGATGAGCCACCGTTGAATGAAAATGATGATGATGAGGATGATTTAGATGATGTGGACAAGGGGGAGGAGCTAAATACCCAGCACCTAGTCCTAGCTCAATTTGACAAGGTGACGGTTGCTTCAGGATGACAATGATTATCTGCCTTGGAGCTGTCTTACTTTGTTTAGGTAGAAACTATATTTTTAGTTTGTATTTTTGTGTGGATAGGTGACACGGACGAAGAGCAGGTGGAAGTGCACGCTTAAGGATGGCATAATGCATATAAACAATAAGGATATCCTTTTCAACAAGGTCAGGTTCTAGAGTTAATTGATTTCACTTTTTTCAAGCTTTATCTGTTCTCTACGTTCTTTTTTTTTGTTTTAAACGTGAACCTCTGGCGGCTTTTTTTATGTTGATTTCTGTCAGGCAACGGGAGAGTTTGACTTCTGATGATGTTCGAGTATTATTAGTTCTGCTGCATAGCAGGAATTACTTGGAAGAGACAATCGAGATATGTAATTGGTGTTTCGTATTTTTTCCCCTTCTATCGATTAAATATCGTTCGTAGGTGAGAGAGTGAGGGAAGTGAGGTCGAGGCCATCAAGCCTCGGTTGGATGGTTTGGCCTATTGTACATAATGAAAGAGTTTTATTCTATTTTTTTCCCTTATTGGCCTTTAAATGGACGGTCAAATTCACGACTCTTTTGGGAATTTTTCCATTTCCCTAATGAAGTGCGATACCAGCATCTTATGTAACCTGTACTTTTGACTTTCTGAGACTTCATGTAATTTGTTCTGATTGCATTTCTTTACCTATGAATCATGATCTTATGTTGATCCTTTGGTAACTTTCTAGAGCACATTGGGTAGCATTATTTTGCAGCTCTCCTTTCCCATTCTTTCTTTGTTACTAAAAGTCCTTCATGCTTAAAAGGTCGGTTAAGACATCTATTTATAGTTTTGGTGGCTGGCCTTAGAATTTGGTAAGTGTAATATATGATAGCCCAATAAGGTACTGTGCTTTAAGGGTATGACTGTTATATAACTGTCCTGCTATGAACCGGTGCATAAGGTAGGTGTGCACGCACGGCGTGTGTGCATGCGGGCAACTTGGATTGCGGAACCGATAAAAATGAGCCACCATTTTAGGGAAACCTCATAAATTGCTGCCGGGGATTCAATCTTGCATGAGACTTCCCATATATTTCCTCAGTTGCCCCCGTTCCATTGGCAACATAACCGTGAAAAGATCAAATGAACGAATATTATGAATTCAGAGGACTAGCAATAGAAAGAAAGGGGATCCATCTCGTCCACATGATGATGAATCTCACAAAAATATGACTTGAGTGTCTGTCTTTTTAAGAGAAGTCTGTTTATGGCCTTAGGCTGCGTTTGGCCGTCAAGTCAGAACCATTCGATTCGCATAGGTACGATCATGACCCCGAGCTCAAGTCCTTGGCTTCTGGTATTCAGTCTTTCATCAGTACATTGATGGGGGAGTGTTGCTGTTCAGTACCTTGCTTTGCATCGATACATTTTTTTTTTCTTTTTGGTCATTGACGTGGGAGTGTTCCTGTAGAACTTTTTCTCTTGAATGTTGGGATCACAGAGATTCAGTTTTCGTCAGCTTGTGACTGTATAATTGGAGATAAAATGGAGGGGCCCGGTCCTTCTCGAGAGGCACACAAGTCCCATTCAAAAACCCATCTCAGGACCTCCATTTATCTGACTCTGATTTTGTTAGAAAGTCTTCCTTTTTTCAGTGGCCAAGAAGCTTTGCGAGAATGTAATTGGGGATATCTTGTTTCGTCTGCACATGAGAATGGCCTCCAGGAGGTGCCACGTGTTCTCTCATCCAATCCCCGATTGTATGGACGTTAGAATCTCATAAAGCTCGTCACTGTAGTCCGCAACTTCCCCCCAACACTTCGAACGAGAAAAAAGCCGCGCTTCGAAACAGCAGTCGAAGCTTCCTTACTATAAGCCCAAATGGCTGCCGCAATTTCAACTGTCGGAACTGTTAATGGGAAGCCGGTACTTCGTTTTCGCCCTGTTTTCTCTATAGGGTCATTCTTGTTTTGTTCGGTTCTTTTCCGGAACCTGTCGCTCTGTTCCAGTTGCTGATGTTTCTTGGTTTTCTAGCTCATAAGCAAATAAAGTCCGGTAGATTGTGATCAGTTCTTGGATTTTTCATTCTTTAATCATAGTTGATTCTGTAAGTAGTATGATCCCTAGCGGAGCGGCTTATACGAAAGAAATACGAATCAGTGAGGGACTATATGTTTTCTTTGAGAGATGGTCTTTGCCTAGGCGAGACATTCTAGTTCCAGTGGACTTTATGTTGGCTTGTGTAATGGAGTTCATGTGCTGTGATGTAGTTGAGCTTTAACAACTCGAGCTCGGTGATCCCGAGCTCGGGCTTCTTGGGCAACGGCCTGAAGAAGGTGAGCTCCAGAATCACGAGCCCGAAGCCTTCATCTCGAAGCTTCAGGATTTGCGCCGAAATTGACGAGGACAAGCAGACCGAGAAGGACAAATGGAAAGGCCTCGCCTACGACACTTCCGACGACCAGCAAGACATTACCAGAGGCAAAGGCATGGTCGATTCTCTGTTCCAGGCTCCTATGGATAGCGGAACCCACTACGCCGTCATGAGTTCCTATGAATATCTCAGCACCGGTCTTCGCCAGTAAGTAAATGAGGGATTTACATGGTTATTCGATTCACACAATCAGAACAAAGTCAAATAATCAACCAAACTCGATTGTCATACATACTGATTATATGTTCCCCTTGAGTTAGATATAACCTGGATAATACCGTGGATGGATTCTACATCGCTCCTGCTTTCATGGACAAGCTCGTTGTTCACATCACCAAGAACTTCATGACCTTGCCGAACATCAAGGTTAGAAGCCTGAAGTTCCTGTTCTGAGAAAAAAAACGTGTACAAATTTGGTCGACTAGTCTGAACTAAATGACTTAAATAATTAATCTGGTTTTCGATCAGATCCCCCTGATTTTAGGTGTCTGGGGTGGAAAAGGTCAGGGTAAATCCTTCCAGTGCGAGCTCGTCTTCGCCAAAATGGGAATCAAGTGAGCTAACCAAAAGCCTCCATCCTTGATTAGACATGACTTATGGTACTGTCCGTCTGCTCTGACTACTTGATGAAATTTCAGCCCCATCATGATGAGTGCTGGAGAGCTGGAAAGTGGAAATGCCGGAGAACCAGCAAAACTCATCCGGCAAAGATACCGTGAAGCGGCCGACATGATCAAGAAAGGGAAGATGTGCTGCCTCTTTATCAATGATCTTGATGCAGGTGCGGGTAGGTTTGGTGGTACCACGCAGTACACAGTGAACAACCAAATGGTGAATGCTACACTCATGAATATTGCTGATAACCCAACCAATGTCCAGCTCCCTGGTATGTACAACAAGGAGGAGAATCCTCGTGTCCCTGTCATTGTCACGGGTAACGACTTCTCCACGTTGTATGCCCCCCTCATTCGTGATGGTCGTATGGAGAAATTCTACTGGGCTCCCACTCGTGAGGACCGAATTGGTGTCTGCACCGGTATCTTCAGGACTGACAATGTCTCTGATGAAGCCATCGTGAAGCTTGTTGACAGTTTCCCTGGTCAATCCATTGGTAAGCATGGTGTAGATCTCCACATACTCTGCTAATATTGCAAATTCAGTACTAATGTGAAGAAGAAATATTGAGTAAACTATCACCTTCAAAGGCAATTATGAACTTTTTGCTAAGTATTCTTTATGTAGGAAAGGATGACATATATCAATTACTCCACAATTAAGATCATACCCAAATCCCAAAATCAATTCAAAAGAGCATAACAAATTTGCAGGAGCGTTGAAAATTACCGGGTCCTGTTAGAGAAAAAATGGTGATGGAGATGGGGAAATCTTATAAATATTTTCTGAAGTGCCATCGCGTCAAATTGTACTCATCACAAACTCCAATCTTCTTTGCAGACTTCTTTGGTGCTCTAAGAGCAAGAGTCTACGACGACGAGGTTAGGAAGTGGGTATCGGGCGTGGGAGTCGACAGCATCGGGAAGAAGCTCGTAAACTCAAAGGAGGGCCCCCCAACTTTTGATCAGCCCAAAATGACTCTTGAGAAGCTGCTTGAGTATGGCAATATGCTGGTGCAGGAACAAGAAAATGTGAAGAGAGTCCAATTGGCCGACAAGTACTTGGCCGAGGCAGCTCTGGGAGATGCCAATGAAGATGCTATGAAGCAGGGAACTTTCTATGGTTAGAACCCCGGTATCCCTGAGGTTGTTTTTAATGGTTAGTTGCACTCTCTTTACTTCGGTTACAGGTTTTTGTTTAAGCGTCCTACCGAAAACAATAACGCAGGCCAAGCAGCCCAACAAGTCAATCTTCCTGTTCCTGAAGGTTGCACTGACCCAGCTGCGACAAACTTTGATCCAACAGCCAGGAGTGACAATGGTAGCTGCCAGTATTAGAATCCTCTGTTATCGAAGGTTGGGATGTCCTAAAAACGATATCCATAAGTTCACTTCCTGTTTATATTATGAGATTTTCAATGCGACAGTCTTCCTGTTTGTGTTACTGGTTTTTTTATATGACATATGCTTCTCATTTACTCTTGAGGATGATTTTGCTTTTCCATATCTATTATCTTTTAAAGCATTGCACTCGCACTTATTGGGGATGAAGTATACGTTAATTTAATAGTCACTTCAATTCTTAACAGAATCGCGATAGACTATGCTAGGTTACATTTCCATAATTTCTCAGACGAAACCACCTGAAGAAGTTTGCATTTATCCTTGGAAAGGGATGAGAGTGAAGGCGTAGCCACAGCTAAGACCACACATTTATGACGTCCTGCAATCTTCTCTATATCTTAATTTTGTCCTCAGTAGTCATATTACCATTTTCAGCAAGTTAAAAAGAAGTAATTTTTGGGGACAAAAGGTATAATGGACTCCTTCACCTCGTCACCTCTTGATATACCCCTAAAAAGAGATTTGTGCTTCTGGGGACCAACGAAGGTAAACATTAATTTCTCCTTACCTATATGAGGGGGAAAAAGATAGCTACTCACATGTTCTGACTGTTGACACCTCCCGCAATAAGGTTTCCATGTCCCAGAAAAGAAAATTCAGCACATATCCTGTTTCAGAGCTAAAGCCAACTAGAACCCGGTTTCTTCTGAACTCTTCTATCACACATGAGCGCCCGTACTTCTGCAGCATCAATCCATTCGCATCCTGTTAGCAAAACATTGGATAGCAGAACATAAGTGGCAGGATAATCAGGATACAGCTCCAAAAGCTTCTTTGCGGATCGTAGAGCAATTTCCTTGTTTCCATGAATTCTGCAAGAGCTCAGTAGAGCTTTGTAGACCGAGGGACCTGGCTTCACTGGCATGCAATAAATGAATGCCTCTGCTTCTTCGAGATGTCCAGCTCAACCCAAAAGATTGACAACAGGAGCATAATGCTCCAACTTTGGTGGCTCGAGCAAATCACTGCTCCTCATTACAGAAAAGTATTCGAGTCCCTCCTCAACCAAACCAACATGACTACAAGCTGTCAGCACAGCTAGGAAGATGGTACTATCCGGTTTAATATCAGTTCTCCTCATTTGCTAAAATAACTCAACAGCTTCCCTGCCAAAGCCATGGTGTGCATAGCCAGATAACAATGCGTTCCAAGATATAACATCACTCTCTTCCATTGATGAGAAAACCTTTTTTGCATCACCATGAAGGCCACATCTAGCATACAAAAGGACAAGTCCATTCTGAACGTACATGTGAGAAGCATGCCCGGATTTAAAAATTAGAGCATGGATTTGCTTCCCCTCTTCAAGAGCAGAGAAAGGACCTACAGCTTTTAGGGTGCTTGCAAATGTGAAAAACTCTGTACAAATTCCGGCCTTTCTCATTTTGCAAAAACAGTTCACAGCTTCTTTCCCATCGTCAAGATTAGCTTATCCAGCGATCACCGCATTCCATGAGATTTGATCCCATATTCTTATACCCAAACAAACCTTGTGAAAGTCCTCCAAGCTACTACTGCACTCAGAATGGACAGTCACGAGTGAGACTGCTATATACATGTTGGACTCCAAACCTTTTACAATCACCCTACAGTGAACTTGCTTGCACCAATTCAAATGATCCGGATTAGAAAACGAGCAGAGTATACTATTATAAGTGACATAGTTTGGTCTGAGATATTGACGCATCATATCTCTTAGTAATGCCATTGCCTCGCTTGGCTGTTCACTGTGCGCATACCCAGTAATCATCGTCCTCCAGGTAGTATCGTTTCTGCACACCATCCGGTTAAAAACCCTCCTCGAATCTTCCAAATTTGTACATTTGCTGTACATGTCAATCAGGCCAGTCCCAAAGACAACATTACACCCAAACCCTGCTTTTAAACCCAAAGCATGCATCTTTCTCCCAAATTCTCCGTCTTTGAGTTGAGCACAAGCCACCAAAACAGTGGAGCCACCCTGCCGCGTAGGAGCAATTCCCACTTGGTGCATTTTCAGAAACAAGTCCACGGCAATCAGCGGCCAACCGACGTGAAGATAACCGGAGATCAAGGAGTTCCAAGTGACCGCACTCCTCTCACCCAGCTCGTCGAACAGGTCATGGGCGTGCGAGATTCTGCCTCATTTACCGTACATATCGACGAGAGCACTGCACAGATAGACGTTCGAAGTGAACCCCATTTTGACGACGACGGAATGGAGCTGAGCCCCAGCGTCAAGAGAGACCCATTTGGCGCAACAAGATATGAGCTTGCTGAGCACGCGAGGTGTTCGTAAAAATGCATGCCGTTCCGAGATGCTTCCCCAGTCGAGCTGCTCTGACGGAGTGCCATCGAAGCGAAGCGGGTGGCGGCTGTTGAATGAGAATTCATTCTCGTCTTCTGCGCAGTGGCGACTGAAAGGTTCTTGTTACGGTGGAGGGAGAAGAAGATGGGTGGCCTCTAGCTGCCGTTGGCTTCAGGAAACGAACAGCGAAATCCGGTCCCATTCCATGGCCATCTCTTGCCTCTTGAATTCCTGCTGCTTCACTATTTCGCTGGGACTGGAGCTCGAAAATCTCAATGTAAATCTATTTCAAAAGATCTTATGTCGCGCATGAAGTTGATCAATGGAGTTGAGCTAAGGTCGGATTATGGATTTAAACAGGTTGTGACCCTCATCTGTAGCGCGCAAACTCCACGGTTTATCGTGCTCGGTACATTCATTCGATCTTACAGAAGGCGATTATCAGTCTCACTACCATGGAATCACATATATCTCGGGTATTTCTTAATCAGTAGCAATTTCATTGCACATGTCAAAATTTCAGGGGACTAGTCTTGCATGCAACCCCATGTGGTATCCAAGAACACAATCAATCCCCAACATCTCCTACTCTTTATATCGTGGAATTAACAACTTGAGAAGACGATGCCTGCAATTTCAGTTCTTCCTCAGAAGGGTTTTGCATACTGATTTGTCGAGTTCTCTCGAATGAAAGAAATCTTCGGCACCTTGAAGTTACGGAAAAAAGCCGCGGCATTACATAAAAAGACTGCTTTTTTATTGTATTCCAAAGGCAAATATATGCAACTGCGGGTGAATGTCTTGAGGCAAATTACGGGCATGCTAATGGTACAAGTAGACACGACCGGTCCACCAGGGCCTAATAAGGAAAGATTGATGCAAGTTTGATATAAATTGAACTTTTCAGACAATGGCACTCCCATTATCATGATGGAAACAAATGCATGGTTACTTAGAAATTATAAATGCAACCACCACAACATGGAAGTGAAGACAGCAAATACATAGATAACAGTTTTCCAGGTCACATTACTCAGATAACTGCCTAGAAAACGTACTTATAAGAATGTTCAAACTTAAAAAAAAACACCTTTTCTTCAATCAGTTAGATTTGAGCTCCAAAATTTCATCAGAGTTGTACCTATTATTCAATGATCCTGCAGGACTTGCTCTTAATCTCCTAGTCCTCTCTTTGCCTTCATCGCTGACCTTTGTCAATTTCAAGATTATTGTAGCCACATGTATCACAACATATCATATCTATACAAACACAACATGAGTAACGGAATAAAATATGCGGCACAAAATTATCATGAATCGATTACAGGCCTAATTCCTTTTTCAACTGAGCTAGAGTAGCTTCTATCTCATCAATATTTTCCTCGATGCTGCTTCCCTTGCTAGCTTCATTTTCACTAGCATTATGCGTACCTTCCGTCCCGGAACTTTTTCGCGACCCATCATCATATTGATTTGCTTCCACCTCTGAATCGGTTATGTTTAGCTCCTTCTCTAGAAACTCCACAAATTCTTCACCAATTTCCTTCGAGCAACAAAATTCAGAGCATAAGGTCCTAGCCTCAAATCACGTCTCTCAAACCCCACGGATAGAAGACATTAGATTGAATGATTCTGTATTTCTCTTACTTTTTGCCATAAAAACAGGCTCTGAAAAGAATAGCACAGAAGAAATTTTGTTTTTTCCAAATGTAGCAACATTTTAAAAGCAACGCTCACCGCCAATTCCTCCCACAAGCTCTTCGGCTTTCCTTGTGAAGACGCACTTGCATCCCAGTTACTAAATTCTTCTTGTAGATCTCTGAAGAAATCCTCTGCCATGCGAAACAAGATGGTAAAAATCGAAGCAAATTTTCTAAATACAGGAAATGCTATAGGCTGTCAGATTAAAAAGTAACAGGTAAGCCAAGAACTAGATGGCACTTGCAATGTCTCGTAGAGAGAACTATCTACCTATTGTTATCTGAACATCCCTGAAAAAGTTACCTGCAGCATAAACGGGTTAAACATAAGAACATACAAAATCCCCTAAACTAACATACACTTGGAAACACATCAGAAAAGAAACTTTGCCCTAGACAATCACATGCCAAGGTCGATCTAAAGTTGACAAAACAAAAGAAGAGCTAGAACCAAGCTTTTTTTTTGCTAGAACCAAGCTAAACAACAAGTGAGGTGTACTCCAAAAGTATTTCTTCAATAGAAATTCGCAAGGGCCATACCCAATTTAAATTATACTGTGTTGCATATCCATGTGGCCTCTGCTTTCTACTGCACCATATCCAGACATTAACCGAGAAATTAAATTACTAATGATGGTCAGGAAATAACCTACTATTTCATCTATTGAAATATTGCCTTTCCACAACGGTCCGGATTTTAGGATGTCATTTTGGTCAAAACATGCTAAACCCACCTAAGCCCTGAAAGGGATGCTGTATAATGCACAAAGTAATGACCGCAGCTTATTATTGCTTTTACCAAGTCCATAGAATTCTTCATCTAGGGTGCTGCTATCCTCAGTGGAGTACGAAAACCCAGATGCACGATTTCCAGTGTTGTATCTCCTCTTGGAATCCGAATCACGAGAATTAAGGAGAGTATTGTATGCATGTTTAATCCTCATGAACTTCTCCTGTGCATTTGCCTGAAATATGAGACATTTTGACATATTAAGATAATTAAATTTTAGCCAACAGCAATTTGAGAAAGCAAACTACATCACATTGCAAACAACCACTTTTGTGGAATTAATCATGAATTTCTTTTAGAAGGAAATGAATCATAAGTCTTTCATAATTAAAAACCAGATTCATCAGGGACAAATGCAGTGCTACAAAATGATGTACCCACGAACTGCAGACTAAGTTTTTCCAATTTTATCGACCATTACTTGAGTGGGCTTCTTCGTCTGTTTTTCTTCAGAGAGGCTGCTATTGCAACAAAGATCTTGTAAGGATATAGCTAGGAAAGCTATGCAGCTAGGAATATTCTGCAGATAAAAAAACACAAGCTCTAAGCCTTTTTACTTACTTAAAGGACTCAAAGGAGCAAATGTCCATTGGAGACGAGGAATAACCCATTTGTGATCGTGTATAATGGTTAAAAACACTACATTCTCAACGTGTATTGCTGATAAAATCAATGCCTGGTGACGGACAACAAGATAAGCACAGATGAAATAAAAGATCTTACTCAAAGTCCTTGTGTCAACCTATTTTCTAAAGGGTTCTCTAGGAAATGCATCTGCATTTCCCAAGACGTTTTTAAGGACCCGTACCAAGAGCAAATTGAACTACCCCTGCCCTGGCAACAATAATGATCCAAATGTCTTTTTCTTCATCGTGCATGGTGGAAAATGGCATTACCTAGGGATATTAAGCATAAACTAACAGTTGACAAGTACTGAAATAAAACTATTCCTCGAAGGATGATAAATGCATCCATCCACAGCCACTAAACTTGCAGTCTGTAAGTATGATCGCCTAAAGAAGAGGCAAACTGTGTGAACAGATCAATCACTGACAACAAGACAATTCCCACACTTCCACTCAACCGGTCGACAATTTCACCACAGCATCGAAGACAGGTCCTTGCCATTTTTCAAATGCCCATACAAGACAGTGTTAAACAGATGCAAGATGATGTGAATAGTCCCAATCCCTAATATTCAAGGAACCTATGTAACTACTGTATATAGCTCGTTTGATAGAACTGAAAGATGAGTGCTGAAAATTTAAACACTAAACAGTAAGTGCTTAAGTTTTTAAGTACTGAAAACAAAAATTAAAAGTTCCATAACACATAAAAATTAAATTTTAACTTTCTTCTTGGTGTCTTACCAAACTTGCAATAGCGAGTATTATTGAACTGTTTTGACAATATAATTGGTAAGATCTTACTTTCCATTGTGTATTTTATCAATTAACCAATTAAGTGCATTATCTTACTTACACATTAAGTGACTTTTTACTTAAATCAATTAATAAAATAGTGTGTAATTAGTGGTTATCAAACACACTTACTGACATTAAATGCTAATGGAGTGTTATTTTCAGCACTTAATGAACTTAATGTGGTTAAACAAACCTGTCTCTGTGTAGAAATTGGAATGATATTTGGTTGAAGATATTCGTCTTGACGTGAAAATGTTGCGCTAACAAGTCTGAGAACACACTAAATGCAACAATGCACAGGGAGAATCTCCATATTCCTCTGTCACTTGTCTAGAGTCAGAGTGTGAAGTTTTCCAGAACAAGTAGTCAGGGTCCATGAGATTTAAATGACTTCATACGTTGGAACAAACTTGTCAGGATCTATGAGCCCTACCGGCTCTTGTGCTTAAAATCAGAACACTCCGTTGACATCTTCACCATTGAAGCACATAAACAGTTTACAGGCTCCAAACATTTGTTCAGGCTGAATTCCAAAAGTTGGATAACTTTGACCAGTCTGCGTTGACTATTAAACTGGTTCATAGAGATCAAAGATCAATGAGACCAGAGGGTCAGAATAAGGCAGGCTTTAGTGCTACCCCTGACTTAAAAAGATGCGATCCTAAAATGTCACATGAAGGAGAAAATCCATCATTCTGTGGTCTGTTTGTGGCTAACATTAGGAGCATCAATGCAGACTAACTTCCAGCTTTAGATCAAAGGAAAGATAACCCATAATTCAAATAGCTTCCACCAAACACTACTTCTCCGCCAAACTGCTGAATGTAAAAAGCACCCCAAGCTACAAAGTGCTGTAATCTTAATTTCTTCTAGCCATCCATCAACAGTAGAAAGATGAGCACTTGTCTGCAAGAGCCATAGAGAGTCTCATGCCAGACTGCCAGTGGGCCATATTCTACCCCGAGTAAGTCTAGCATTTAGCCTATCTGGTACAGCTTTCCAGTTTTTGCTGTGAAAAGGGACTATGCAAGTTTACTTACAAGGTATTGAGCAAAAGACCAACCAGCTGCAGGGCCTGCCCACCCGGCTTCAAGGTATTGCAACTCTAAAAAAAAGGGACCAAACACACGGAACAACACGAGTAACTGCAACGGCTACAGTACAACCATTAACCACACCCAGTGAAATTTTTAATATGTCAATGAACCAGCACCGTATATCTACAATTAGACCAGAGGGACAAGCAGCAGCATAGCTAATTTGAACCCACAAGCATCGACACGGTTCATCCCGAGCTAAACACACCAAACCGTGTGGAAAAATCAAGCCCATCATCGAGACACCGCTCATACCTCCTTGTTGACATCAGGGTGATACTTCAAAGCGAGCTTCCGATAAGCCCTCTTGATTTCATCGGGAGTCGCGGAAGGAGAAACCTCCAGAACTTCGTACGGAGACTCTCTTCGGCTCGCCCTCAAGAGGGTGCCGCGCGCATTCGGCCGCCGACCCTTCTTCCGGCTCCGCTCCCCCGGCCAAACAAACGACTGCGGAGCGGACACGAGCGGGCCAAGGGCACGCCCATGGCCGTGCCCGTGACGAAAGAATCGATCCGGTCGGGCTTGGAGATGGGGATGAGAAGAAGGGCAAGGAAGAAAGTCGGCGGTGGAAGCGAGGTGCGAGCAGCGACAGGCTCGGGGTTTCGGAGGCGAAGCTAATCCATGATGCATGTTCGTCAAAGCGAGCGGGGAGCGTGTGCGTGTGCGTGTGGATCTCATGCCATGGAGAACTGCGGAGAAGGAAAAAAAAAATGGAATCTTTGTTCTCGAGACGTGTCGGCCCGACTGCCGAGTACGAATCAGACTCTTGTAAGAAAACCGATCCAATCTGCACAATCAAAACCACCTTAGATTCTTAGCTGGAGAGACCAAACAATGTCAGCCGTTGGATTACTTGAGCTCATCATGTAATATACATATGATCCAATAACATGTAAAATACGGTTAGCTTTTTTTTTTATAGGATTATGTTTTTCACGATCCACCTTGCCCGTGAAATTCCTCCGACCACTCTCTCCATTGGTTTGTTATAAACATACACATCTTCAATATTTTTATGGATCAAGATACTCGAAAAAGTTCACCGACAAAATACCACTTAGAATTTTAAACAAATTTATTATACACTAAATAAGAAAACTTCAAAACACGTGCCCTCTCTCCTCTAATAACTTGTGCGCCAGCTATTTCGCCTCGCCACATGGACACCGCGACTGCCTCTTTCCACCGTGTTCTTGCACTCCATCGCCATGCCCAGTCACTCATCAAAACCATTTCTCTCTCTCCCCTTAGGTTGCTCTGTGAACTTGGCTGGCTAGGAAGTAGCCCGCTCAACTGCCACGTCCTTTATGATTACAATTACTATGTGAAAACACGGACCGTCCTCGAGCCACCTCAAAATTTGGGATCACGACTTACCCATGGCCTAACCTAGCAACATGCAGAGAGAGAGAGAGAGAGAGAGAGAGGCGGTAACGAAGGAACTCGTTCAGGCAATCATAGCTTAAAAGTGTGCAACGGTGCAATGACGACACTAAATGGGGAGAGAGAGAGACATTTGGTTAGGTCCCAAATGAATTGGATTTAATAACTAAGAGCGAGGTGAATTAGTTGTTTCAGTATTTTTTGAAGCTATTTCATGCTCAAGTGCAAAATCTCCATTGAGGAGATGAAACGGTGTTTATAAATGAAGTATACGATGAAAATAAAATATCTTCCATCAACAAAAATATAAAACAGAATAAGGGATAGCGCGAAACAAATTTATACTGATTCGACCTTTTCACTTGGGCTACTCCGTTCGCCCAAACTCTCACGGTATAGAAACAAGGTCGGACCGGTTCGGAGGGATATTGAACCGGATGATGAAGATACATGGGAACCGAACCGCCCGTCTCCGATTAGCGCAAAAACCAGTTTCGGACCGGTTCGGAGCGGTGCCTGTTTTGATGTCTTTCTTCACCAGGTGCCTCGTACGGAACCAGAACCCGCGTGGAACTCCATCGATCAACCGTTCGTACCACTCTTCTTTCGATGCCTGCGCCGCGCTGATCGACGCTTGTGCTCGTAACCGAGCACTTCGCTCGGGAAAAGCCCTTCACGCCCATCTGATCGTTACGGGTCTCTGTACTTCCGCCCACATTGCCTCCAAAGTCATCGGGTTCTACACCGACTGTGGAAGCGCGGTTGATGCACGACGTGTGTTCGATGAAATTCCTGAAACGGATGTCCGACGCTGGACCGTCCTCCTCGGTGCCTTTGCTCGGCGTGGGTACCATCAGGAGGCTTTCGATGTGTTCCTCGAGATGAGGAGGCAGGGGATGGAACCCAACGAGTTTGTGTTGCCCAGCATGCTCAAAGTCTGCGGGCAGCTCTCGGATCGACGAGCCGGAGAGAATGTGCACGCTTTGGTTCTGAAACTGTCGGTCGAAGACGATCTGTTCATCAATTCCGCGCTGATTGATATGTACTCTAAATGTGGGCAAGTTCAAAAGGCGCGCACGGTATTTGATATGATGGTAGAGAAAGATTTGGTCACATTCAATGCTATGGTTTCAGGTTATGCTCAAAATGGCTTTGCTAAAGAGGCAATTGGATTGGCGGAGGACATGAAGTCTTGGGGTCTGAAGCCAGATATTGTAACCTGGAATGCATTGATTAATGGGTTTTCGCAGAAGGGGGATCCTCTGGCTGGTCGAGACCTACTCAAGTCAATGAGCTTTGCTGGTATTGAGCCGGATGTGGTGTCTTGGACTTCTATTATATCTGGACTCGTACAGAGTTCCCAACACGAAGATGCTTTTAAGACATTAAAGGAGATGATGGCTTGCAGGGTTTACCCCAATTCGGCCACCATTAGTAGTCTCTTGCCTGCTTGTGCTACATCTGCCAATGTGAGGCTTGGGAAGGAAATGCATGGTTATGCAGTTGTGCTTGGAGTGGAGAACGATATCTTTGTGAGAAGCACTCTTCTTGACATGTATGCGAAATGTGGTCTTATAACCGAAGCCAAGTTGTTATTCTATAATATGTCTGAAAAGAATGCAGTCTCTTGGAATTCCATGATCTTTGGGTTGGCTAGCCATGGTTATTGTAGCGAAGCAATTGAAACTTTCACTCAGATGGAGAAGGAAGATAGTAAGAGGGTCGATCACCTGACCTTCACGGCAGCTCTCACTGCTTGTAGTCATGGAGGTATGATTGAACTTGGACAGAGTTTGTTCCACAAGATGCAGGAAGCTTACAAGATAGCGCCAAGGCTTGAGCATTATGCTTGCATGGTGGATCTTCTTGGTCGAGGTGGAAAACTATCGGAAGCTTATGACTTTATTGAGGCAATGCCTGTGGAACCTGACTTGTTTGTCTGGGGAGCCCTACTAGGGGCATGTAGGAACCACGGGAACTTGGAACTCGCAGAAATAGCGGCTCGGCATCTTTCAAGCCTTGAGCCTGGAAATGCCGGGAATAGTATGTTGCTGTCTGAATTATATGCCAATGCCAGTAATGATTGGAATGCAAGGTTAAGAATGAAAAGAAGAAAACTGATTAAGTTTCTTGGTTCTAGTTGGATAGAGTCTGTCTGATGCTCAGAGACAGCTTGAAGTGAATGCTACTATGTTATCTCCATCCTGAGAATGAAAAAGTTTACTCTTGCACATTAAAACAGGTGCAATTACAATCAGTTACAACTACATTGTTACAACTCAGTACGGGACTGCTGTGGAAGATCAGATGACGAGCAGAGATAATTGGTGATTCCATCGGATGGTTCAGATCAAGTGCGACCATTTGAATGGGGAGATAGGGAAACTGAGAACTTGCCAAGAAAAAAGATAGATCTATTGCGGTGAGAGCCATATTTCTTGTATATATCTCAAAATCCTAGTTGACACTATCGACTGGTGACTAGATTTGACATGCCCCACGGGGTTTGTGAAGGAAGGATTGGCATTGAGCCATGTCTTGTGGTTTGATAGGAGTGTCAACATGGAACCTGTTTGATTAGCCAAGCAGCATACTTGTTTCTCATCGTCTGAGAAGTTAAAACACATCTTATTGCAATTATTATGAAAATTGCAACAAATGGGCCAAATAAGAGAAATAAGTTTGTGTCCAATTCTCCAAATCCTATTTTAAGCCCATGAAGATACACCCCAGCGCACTTTCCTCAGCCAAATTTATCATTTTTTTTCTGCAGCTGGTGTTAATTTGAAGAAGAGGAAAAGAAGTAAGCAGAGAGGGAACGAGAAAAGAAAGAAATCAAGAGAGAGAGGAAGGGTTTTGGTTCGGCAAGCCACGGGCAACTCGACACGCAGAATCAATGTCGTTTTGAAGCGCTCGGTAAGAATTTGAAGTCTTGATTTCTTTAATCGAAGATAATTTCTTAGTACAGATGTAATTTAGGATTGTGTTGTATTTTGAGTTGCTAGGTTGGTTCTCGAGGTTGGTGAATTGAGAAATCATGTTATTAAGAAATTGCAGGGTGTCGTGAGCGTGTAAAATTCTATAGAAATTGATTTTTTGTGTACAGTTCGGTCAGAGTGAAATTTTGGAGTTTATTGCGCATTGTTCGTACCAAATTTGAAGTGTTGTGTTTGGTGCCAATTTTGACCCGCTTCTGGCCATCTTTTAGTGTGTCAAGTTAATTTACCAATGACTCCGGACCCTCTTGAAACGAGCATAGGTAAAGTTCAAGAAAACGGTTTTAAATTCGGCGCATGAGCTATTGCAGTACAGCGGACAACAGCGGTAGTTGTTCTGCTTTGGGTGAGCTTTTTGTTGGTTGTCAGAGTGGCTTTGTCACCAAATAAGCTTAGTTTTGTCAAATCTTAGTTAAGGTCGTTATTTCCTTGATTTTGATATACATTTGTCACTTAATTGATTAGATGTAGAGTTATTTCACTCAAGCTACTTCAAATTTTCAGGAGAGTGGTGCTTATGTTTTAAAGGAATTGTGAATTCATGTCTTGAAAATGATAGAAAAGAGGCATCACACAATATGATTTACATTAAAAAGAGAAAAAGGTTTGTGGTACTTAGAGTATATTTTGTCGCATCAAGCTAGATCATACCCTTTTGGTTATTTGAACTGGCATAGTAAAGCATTTCTTGAAATTAGTTGATTATTTCTAAAATGGTCGGAGAAATGCTATCTAAAATGTATGTTGCTTGATAAATTGAACTGGGAAAAGTTATAGGTTTCGGTTTGTGTTCCGATTTATAAAATAGATTTTGGATTGGTTTTGTGAGTTGTTGGAAAATGAGTTGGTGGTTTTATGCCCTTATTTAAGTGCTAAACCCATTTGAGAGGTTATGTACGCATAATGTCACCGGACGCCCTGTTTGGGCCAAGACACCGACTGATATAGGTGGAGACTTACGCCAAGGGAGGAATAATCGTTGTCATGGGACGTTAAACGTGAACATAGTTTGATAGTAAGCACTATCTATATTGATTGATGGACTGAATCATTGATGTCTGCATTAATATTGTTGATCAAATAGATATATTTGAAGTGATATAACTCGTCTTTGATCTTGCACGTATATTATATACTAGATTTGGATAAATGTGTTTGGATACCATTTGTAAATATATAAAATAAATGCTCAATTTGCTTAGAAGAGATTTATACTACTCATCAAGCTGTGATTTTTGCTCATACCATTTCTATCAATTATGTTCAAATTTTACATTTTGAGAGTTGGATTTGGGTATAAGTTAAGGTAATTTGTTAGTCATTGGAGATGTATATATTCTTTTTTGTGGACTTTAAAACTCTAACCAGCTTGCTGTTATGTAAATTTTGTAGATGTATATAATGTTGATTATGTCTGTGAGGCTGCGTCCTTCGGATAGGAGAACAAAAACGGACATGTCATTTCCCCTGTACTTGGAGAGTTGGGGATGTGACGAATGATCAGCCTTAATTATTCCAACGATTAATCAACAATATGGCAAGATCAAAGCTGACATCTGATACCGAAGATTTGAAGAAATGTTAAATTAGAAGCATGTCTCTAAAACTTTAGCTAGAGTCAAACAACTGAACAATTGTCCCATTTTCACTCTTCATCAGCTACAGCATTTTATTCTTCCCATCTCTTTGACCTGCTTCACAGTAAGAGTTCCAGCAGGATGCTCCTCTTGGGACTTCATTATTTCCCCTTCTGAAACAATAATCACCAGTGAGAATGCTTGCATGACAATAATGCTGCAAAGGAGGTTAAATAATCTAAGAGAAGCTCTTCCACTGGATAGAAGTCTGAACAGCTTTGAATAGGTAAATCTGCCTCGATATTCAGCTTACAGCTCCCCCTACTGCACTCTTTTTCTGCTTGCGCAGGGAAATGACCTCTGAAGCAAAATGACAAAAATCAGTGTTTGTTAGTATGTATAGCGAGAAAGCAACATATGTAGAAGTTCTCAAGCCACCCGGTTCAGGTCCAGTGCCTCTAGCATTTACACTAGATGCGATATTCTCATTAAAACCCTGTCACCAAAAGGTAAGATACGTGTCTATTGAAGTTGTAGGCTACCTTCGTTATCCTTAAGATACTTGTTCTTATTTTTGGGGGGTCAAAAATTAAGATGCTTGTTGAAAAGATGTGGAACCAACTCATCCCACAATTAAGCTAAGGTTGGAGTAGAATCTTTATGCGAGATTGAGGGGGGTGGGACCATACAGCTTCTTCCTTTTCTCCCAGAAGTAGAGTCAACTAGTGAAGACACTTAAGAAAGTTCGACCTATAGTATCATTTTCGGGAAACATACAAGCTGAGGATAAGGTCAAACAAGATAAGAGCATCAGGTACAATAAATGCTGACATTTTTGTGAACATGATGGCAGCTTCCTCTATACAAGAAGCACCTTGATGAACAGTCTAAACTAGGAAATCAATTCAAGCAGGATTATTGCAAGTTGACAAGGCCAGCAGTATCCATTAAGGTTCATAGCATAGCGAACTACGCTTTCCACCACCTTACGCAGATATATTGACTACCGGTCTGTAGCACAATTAGAAGAACTTCCATAATCCTTTTGGCCAGAAGAAAGACTATCTTGGTAAACAAATTGATTTTTTTCGAGAAGGATTGAAGCAAGTACCAAAATTTTCATAATTAAATAAGCCCACGAGACTTCAGATGAGGAGGCATCGTCTACTAACCCAAAATGCCAAACAGAGTAGAATGATGAAAATTCATCGCAATTCAATTCTCTGCTCAACTTTTAACAAGCGATCAAGCAAAAGCCACGATGCCCACTTCATCATTGATGTCTTATCTGTATCCGCGGGTCCTCCATCACTCATACCACGTGAATTAGAGGCTTTTAAACAGGCCTCTGTGACCCGGCTTCCTCTTTCTCTAGTACCAAAGAGAGACAACTTTTCCTAACATGCCAAAGATATTTCTTGACTCATTTCTAACCCACAAATGTTCACTCCACTCCAAAGGGCAATCACAATTGTATACAAACAGTGACAAAAGGAGGCAACCTGAACGTGTATAAGTTACATTAAGCAATGGCAGAAACAATTAACACTTGTTAATGGAAAAGAATCGCAAGTTCCACTTCTTTGTAAAGAAAGCACTACAATCGCCCGGCAAAACAGAGCTAGTACATGGGCCACGATCATAAGCAATGGCAAAATTTGATGCTACAGTGAATAACTGATGAAAGCAAGAAGCTCACCTCAAACCACCAATGCCATGTAATTCAGGAATACAATCACTTATCATTAGGACCAGAGCTTGGATATGATACAACCGATCCACATCTATTTCCCGACCAGTCCATCTGCGGTAACATGTACGGATTCGACTGAAACCCCTGGGGATTAGCCATTTGCATCCCCATATGCCCATATACAGGCATCGGCATATGAGGCGGCACGACATATGGCATCGGCATGGGTATCGGCACCGCCGCGGGCCCGTTCCCATGCCCACCTCCACCTCCGGTGGTCTCGTGCAAGCTCTGCGGCACCGGGGTCGACGCGAAAAGCGGATCCGATGAGGACGGGCCCTCGGTGGACAGCCCCTGCATCCTCTTCAAATAAAGCCTGTACTTCTGCAAGTGACTGGCGACGTTCTCGCGGGTCAATCCCTCCACGTTCATCAGCTGCATTATTGTCTTCGGCACGGCGTTCTTAATCCCTAGGTGCGCCACCACCTCCACGAACCGCTTGTGCAATTGAGGCGTCCACACCAATCGCGGCCTCTTCATCGCCTTCGCCGACGGATCCTCCACCGAATTGTCCGTCCTCATAGCCGAATCCGCCTCCTCGGCGGAGTCGATCTTCCTCATCTTCCTCGAATCGGAGCCGTCCCCGTCCCCGTCCCCGTCCCCGTCCCCCTCCGCCTCCGCCTCCTCGGCGACCGCCGCGTCCCGATCCTCCGCGAACGACTTGAACTCGTTGTTCGATGAGAACCCCTGGGACAGCGACCGGTGGCCGCGCAGGCCCGCCAGCGTGCTCTCCGACGCGCGGTTGACGTCGAGCAGGGTCCTGGACGGCTCCGGCGTGATGCTGAACGCGGACGCCAGCTCCGCCGAGATCAGCGGCTGCGAGAGCGGCGCCAGATCGTCCGCGCCCGGGAGGCCGGCCTCCCACTCGGAAACCCGATCGTCGACGCCGCCGCCGTATTCGCTCATCCTCACCTCCTCGCCCATATCCGCGCCCCCCGCCACCGTCGGAGAAGCCCGAGCTCCGATATATCGAACCCTGAAACGGCCGGAATCCGACCTTGGAAACGACGGATGCTCCGCGGAATCGCTCGGCCCTGAGATCCGAGAGACAGAGAGAGAGAGAGAAAATGATCGAGAGATAGGAGGAGGAGGAGGTAAAAAAAAAAGGGAAAGATAATTCGTGAGCGAAAAAGGGAGAGAGAATTAAGAGATTTTATTAAACAATAATTAATTCCTGCTCTTTTTGGTGGAAAAAGTGCAAGATCTGATTCCAGATCAGTACGCTCTTCCGTGCCGACGTGGATCACTTGGCGCAGATATTTTAGATCCTCTGCCCCCCCCCCGCCCCCCGGGCCCGCCCGCCCCCCTCCCCCACCCCCGCGGCCACGCACTCGCCCCCTCCGCCGTCCACGTGTCCCGCGGACCCGACCGGATCGCGCCACGCGGGCGCCCGGGTTCGGCGAGGGTGGCGGAAAGGAGTGGGGGGGTGGGGCCAATACCGGAGTTTTACCCCGAGGGCCATCTTAAAGTCGCGTGCCATTCGCGGCGAGTGGCCACGTAGGCGGTGCGCTGCGCTTTTGGAGGGCTTTTTTGGTAAATTACCGATTTAGCGATTTTTATTTCTTTTCATTGGTGCGGCGGCCGGACCAATGGGGTAGGGGGATGTTGGCGTACAGCTGGTTCGTGGTACGTGGGAGGTTCTAGCGAGAAAGCAAGGAACACGTGTGGAGTTCCGGATTAAAATATTACGGAAGTTCTACAAAGCATGTCAAAACAACCGTAATGATTAATTATACAGCTTTGAAAAAATTAATCATAGAGTTAATGGTATCTCATAACTAGTCGATTGAGCAGCAGCTCATGGACCACCTAAAAAATAATTTTTTATTATTTGATCCATATCCTGACATAAGCAATCTTATGGGAGCAAAATTAGAAATGGCAATTCATATCAGATAAAATAAGGTGATAACTAAAATGAATTATTGAATAACGTAGTAAAATAGATAAAATTGCCATGCAGGATGGTCCTATACCGAATAAACCAGTATCTCCTCTAGATGGAAAAAGATCCCTTTGAAAATAAGTTTTGTCCCACCTGCTAAAGCTCGAAGAATTCCCAGAGTAAGGTATTCGGGACCATTGTTGTATTCCTGCAAATATTTCTCTTTCTAACCACACGATTACGAGTACACCTATTGTGATTCCCAATACGAGAGTTAAAATAAGTGGAAAAGATACATGAACTTAATATATATATGTACTAAAAAGATTCACGAACTCAAGAGATACATGAATTGAAGATATTCATGAATTGAAGAGATTCATGAATTTAACAAATATATGAACCGAAGAGACATGTGAACTAAAGAAGCATGTCTTGTTTTGCTCACATGCATTGATCCATAGGCCCATAATTACAACAATTCAAACATTTTAATTCGATTATGAGCTAAGGCTTCCTGCACCTCATGTGGGGATTTTGTTAGCAATTCTTTTTTACTCGAGTCCACATGCGATTTTGCGATCCTAATTACACAATTCACCAAGCAAGAGACAAGAGCTAGATTAGCTGGAGGCAAATGTTGTGAAATCTCTGCTCTAAATTATGGGGAATTTGTGTCAACTCGCGTTATTTTCTCGCTTGCCAATGATATCTCCTCTAATATAAAAGCATCGAGACGAGTTTTGTGCACGTGCGATTGTCGGCGAATTACTTACGAAGAGAAAGAAATGGTCTTTTTTTAAAGGAATTGAATATAAGTGCGGAATAGTTATCAAATATGTGGGAATTGAGAGATAATTTAATGAAAGAGAGAGTAATAGGCAATTTAACAAAGTTAAAATACAACGAGGAAAGAGTTAGGATAGGACGGATCCAAAAACAAAATTGAAGCGAAAATTTATATTGAAATTAACGGAAAGTGAGACAAAACTAAGTTGATGCCGAAGCGCGATAGAAATTAGGCTAAACAGAAGAATCGAAACGATAACGAGGAACAAACTGTTCTCTCAATCGATTAACAATCGATAAGTTTTCAAAACATCCAAAAACTACTGTCTCTCAAAACCCTAAAAACGAGTTTATAAAGGGTGTTAACCCTAATGACAAAAAAAACGCAAAAAATACAAAAATACCCTTAATTCGAAAATTACTAAAATAAAAAAAAAACCATTTAAACGACCCCGAATCGCGAAAATCCATTGTTAAGCGTAGCTAAAAGCTACGAGTATTGATCAGCACGCCGTTTTGCTTCAGCTGACCAAATTTGAGCTTAATCCGACATCGCTGACTTCAAGCCCGCCAGTTCGTCCAGTCGCATAACGGGTCCGCCGGTCCCCTAGGTGCATCATCCTCCCCTGCTAGAGAAAGATTCGTCCTCGAATCTACTTCGTCTTCATTGTCATCAATCTCTTCAGGGTCTTCTTCCTCTTCAGTGTAGTAAGGTGACAAATCTGCTACATTAAAAGTTCCAGAAACATTGTGCTCACCCGGCAACCCAGGTGGCAACTCTTCCGGTACGACATTAGCAAACTCCTCAAGCAAGGGCAGAACTTGGGTAGGAATTTCAGGACTGTCAGAACTCTGCTCCATCACCACAATGGCAAAAAGCTCAAGCGCATTCACTGCCTCTTCTTGAAATTTTGATTTGGAAAGCAGATTACTTTTCCCTTCTTTTCTCAAATCTGAAGGACCTAGGGTAATGGTTCGACCATTCTTCTTGAAGGTGTACGTATTTTTGAATCCATCATGCTGTGATTTCCTGTCAAACTGCCAAGGTCTCCCCAACAGAATATGACAAGCATCCATTGGAACTACGTCACCCCACACTCCATCAGTATATTTTTTTCCAATCGAGAACTGCACTAAACACCTCTTGCTCACTTTTACCTCATTCCCCTTCCTAAGCCATGACAGCTTGTATGGTTGAGGACGATCTTCTGTTTTCAACCCCAACTTTTCCACCATAGTCGTGGACACCACATTCTCGCAACTCCCACCATAAATTATCATGCTGCATACTTTTCCTCTACTAGTGCACTTAGTATGAAAAATATTATGTCTAAGCCATGATTCATCATCCGCTACAGCAACATTTAATATTCTTCTAACGACTAGGGACTCACCAGAATCAGCATAGATAATCTCTTCCTATTCTGCATCCGCATCCTCTTCTTCGCCTTCAGATTCATCATAAACTGGGCCTTCATAAAAAACTAGATTATCAACAAGCGTCACAATCTGTCGGTTCGAACAATCAGCAGCAAAATGCCCGAATCCCTGACACTTGAAACACCGCTTGGCTGCAATTCCTCCCCTGCTAGTTCCAGCACTACTCTGCCCCTTGTTGGATGCAGGTTTATAACTCACATCCTTAACTGTGACCGGTGTCGAATTTACTGCAGATGTTCCCGCTTTTCCTTGGGATTCTTTATCTGACCACTTGGAACTGCTGCCTGATCACTTAGAATTACTGCTCTTTCTTTTAAACTGCCCCTCCACCTTTAGGGCTAGCCTGCACACATCCTCATATGTCCAATACTGCTGTAATTGGACAACATCAGAGATCTCATATCGCAGCCCTGTTAGATATCGTGCAATTGTCTGCTCGTCTTCCTCCGCCACATCACAACGCATTCGCAAGCGATCAAATTCTTCTGTAAATTTCTCAACTGTTTTATCACCTTGCTTGACGTTATGATACTCGATAAACGCCTTTTGCCTATAATGGGTAGGCAAAAATTTCTTTTGCAATAATTTCTTCATCTTATCCCAGTGGTTTACTTTTGATTTCCCCTCTCTAGCACGCTGCCTTTTCACATGCTCCCACCATATCGAGGCATGTTTTCGTAGCCTAATAGCCACTAATTTAACTTTCTGCTCTTCAGTCAGATCCTTAATATCAAAGATCCTCTCTATTGTATGTAACCAATCAATAAACTCATTAGGATGAGCCTTACCATTAAACTCAGGAATCTCGATCTTCATCCCGAAAATTTGCGAAGAGCGCTGATTTCCAGGTCGTACTCCTCGATTCCGCCCCTGGTTCAAAACCCGAAAAGGGTTTACGTTCTCCTCTTCATCATTGGATGGATCCTTAGATTCTGCTTCTACGGATTGAACGCCCAACCTCGCCTCCGCAAGTTGTCGCTCCAAATCCTGGATTCGTCTTCTATGTTCTTCAATTTCTACGTCTCGCAGATTTCTTAGACGCAGTTGGTCGTCTGCTTCAGGAACGCCTCCACGCCCTAGGCCACCACGAGCCCACCGTCCACGACCGCAATTCTGTTCAGCCATTAATTCAAGCAACCTGTGCTCTGATACCAATTGATGCCGAAGCGCGATAGAAATTAGGCTAAACAGAAGAATCGAAACGATAACGAGGAACAAACTGTTCTCTCAATCGATTAACAATCGATAAGTTTTCAAAACATCCAAAAACTACTGTCTCTCAAAACCCTAAAAACGAGTTTATAAAGGGTGTTAACCCTAATGACAAAAAAAACGCAAAAAATACAAAAATACCCTTAATTCGAAAATTACTAAAATAATTAAAAAAAACCATTTAAACGACCCCGAATCGCGAAAATCCATTGTTACTCGTAGCTAAAAGCTACGTGTATTGATCAACACGCCGTTTCGCTTCAGCCGACCAAATTTGAGCTTAATCCGACATCGTTGACTTCAAGCCCGCCGGTTCGTCCAGTCGCATAACGGGTCCGCCGGTCCCCTAGGTGCATCATAAGTTCTAGCTTAATTAAGTGGATTGGTACATTTGCAAGCAGCTTCAGGCCTCTAGAGGATATCGACCTAAAGTTTCGGTGTTTGGTAACCCAATCTCAGGGACCTTCGGTGCAAAATCTTACTTTGCAAATGCTCAAGGCTCAAGACAAATCAACCTTGCCCGGAAACTTTAACATTTTTGGAGAGAGAGAGAGAGAGAGAGAGAGAGAGAGAGAGTATTGCATAGGCCCAAGCCTATCCTCTACGATGAAAAGAAGACGACTCGATCGTGGCTGCGAAGCTTCGCGGAGGAGGTAGAGGGATGCCGGCGTAGCTTCGCCGAGGGTCGGGCGACACCGGCAACGGCAAGGCTTTGCCGAGCATAGATACATGTGTGAATGCGTGCGGTTCGAAACCGCCGGCACTGGGCTCGTCCTCGTGCCGTGCAGCCTCTCACGGAAAGCCCAAGCTTCTTCACTTTGGACCGCAAGCGAAAGCCTTCGGAGGGCCCGAATAGACCATGCGATGCCGTATCTGGACCGCTGCGACCTTTGTGTTCCTGTGCATCCCGATAAGAAGTTGCAGACCAGCAGATGTGCCATGGCCACGTCTCTCTTTCCATCTCCTTCCTCGCCCCACCTCTCCATTCTCAAGCTGAAATACTTCGCTCCTCTCAAGAGCTCCGCCCTCTCTTCGCTCTCTGCATCTTCCCAAAGAACCGTCAGAAGCTGCTCGTCTCTTAGGGCGTTGGAGAGAAACCCCAGAGCCGGAAGCTGGAGACTCAGCGCCGCCGCTGAAGATGCGCTGGAGAGTTCGCAGCAGATAGTGTCGTCCGGTGGCGGCGGCGGCGACGACGGCGTGTCCAACGCCGTCTCGGTCCTGCTCCTCATCGCCTTCGCTGGTCTCTCCATTCTCACAATTGGGGTAATACTATATGCTTCGTTTTTCCATGTTCAGGTCTTGTTGAGTCATGCGTGTGTGCAGGAATTGGCTAAAGTTGAGAATTTTTCTGATGTGGGTTTGTTGCTGAATCGCGGGTTTGAATAGGTGATCTACATAGCGGTGACGGACTTCTTGCAGAAGAGGGAGAGGGAGAAGTTCGAGAAGGAAGAGGCGGGGAAGAAGAAGAAAGGTGGGAAGAAGGGGAGGGTCAGGGCGAGGTCTGGTCCGAGAGGGTTCGGCCAGAGGATCGACGAGGACGAGTGACGATTGATGATTTGCTTTGATTGAGAGGAATTGCACTTCAGTAATTATGTGCTTTGGATAATTTTGTTTTTGAATGGTATTAATGTACAAGAAGGGTGTAACTGCATATCTTGAATTCTTTACAATGTTCCACAAGCTCTTGAATTTACTTGCCTACAAAATTGACTTCTATCTCTTTGCGTCCGATTAGTTAGCCACGCTAATAAGTTAGTAGATAAAATGTTACGGTGTGTTAAACCTACTAATCATCAATTTTATAGGGCTCAAAAAAGGATACCGCACGTTGAAATACTGAAGAAGAAAGAGCAAATCGATGTTTTCTTCGATCAGATCGAGTCCCGACTACTTAGCTCGTCACGTGATAACTAGCAACTCCTTTCTAGGACGCAATCATTGCTCTACCCTGAAACATGCCAACCTAAGCTAGCACTCAAGCTAACGAAGCGATGCGTAGCCTCTAGACATGTCAGAATGAGTCATAGATCCATTGCTTAACTCATATATGATGTACCTAATTGTTATATGAGTTAGTTATATTCCGCAAGGAAAATGACACTTTGATACTATATGCAACGTGGTGCCTGAAATTTTAATTTGTTTAATGCTGTCTTTGAAATTTTGGTACATGTTTGATTTAGTTCATAAACTATATGAAAATGCTCGATGTAGTCTTTCCATTAGTTCAAACTCAGAAACTACATTGTACATTTTCATATAGTCCATGGACTTCATTGAATAAATTAAAACTTCAGGGACTACATTGCATATTGAGTCAAAGTTCAAGAACTATTTGTGTCATTATCCCTATTCAGTAAATGGGTTATAAATGGGTTTAAGCATAATATGGATATTAAATGGGTCATACATGGGCCATAAATGGATCATAAATGGATTTACAACTTATTTAGACCCAATCCGCATCTATGACTCTTTCTTTATTTTTTCTCGCCTTCACTCGATCCGGCTGACTCACTCTACATTTTCATCTTAATTTGGGTATGAGTTTCCCTAAATCGAGTTAAATATGAAAATGTTTTATTGATATGGGTCGGGTCAAGTATGCGCCGTTAAATCTGCATTGCATGGAAAAATAGATCAAAACGGATTAAGCTTATCTATTTAGGTCGGATCGTATCATCCAACCCACCCATTTGACGGATCTAGTGGCCTCGCTTCTGTGTTTGCCTTTCCTTATAGCCCATTTGATCAAGACTCTCGAGATGGGAATGATGTCTCTGCATTTTCTGGCGTGGACCATCGATCTTCTCCTTGATATCAACATGTGCAGTTCCGGCAATCATACCCCTCCACTTCGAACGACAAAGACCGACCACCATGAGAGAGGCGCTGCTCATCATTTGTCTTTTCGGGGGAGGTCGTAAAAGCGAGAGAAAAGCGGGGGTGGGGGTCTGTCTTTTCGCGCGTGACATTGGAGGCCATGGACACGTGCTCTCCACCACCACCAAGCATGCTTGTCGAGAAGTAAAGATCCAAGGGCGAACGAACGAACGAACGAACGGCCGTCGCGACTTTGTAAAAGGCTCCAAAGCAGAACGGAGATCGCCACCGCGGCATCGATCCGATCCATGGCGAGGTGAACTGCTTGTCCTATTTGACATTTGCAGGCCGAGAGCCTTGATCAAGGAAGGTGGAGGATGATACCGGTGGGTACGGAATATAAACCTGGGGTGCTGCTCGCTCATTGTTTGGAATATACAATATGTTAAGTGTCGGGGGTCTTGTTTTGAAACCTTGACTGAATTGAGCCGATCTAGTTTGGGAACATTTTGACTGAATTGAGCTTGAACTTGATAAATTAAGCTCAACTTGAGCATCGGCCCTTAGAATTTGAGCTTGAGTAGTAACTGTGCAGCTGTGCTGACTCAATTTCGCTCGATTATGCGAAGGAACCACTGTTTTTTCCCTTGTTTTGCCTACAAAAGCACTATTCTAAGCGCATCGTGTTAATTCGTTCTTCTTCTTCCTTTTTTTTTTTTTACGGGAATGCCACACCATCCATTTAAGAGAGCATGTGGCGACATGCGAGGCCGTGATTTGATCGCACATAATGAATAAATTTCGAGTAAATTCCATCCATCGTCATCGTAGCTAAGGAAAATCTGCAATCGGGCCACCGGATATTCATTTTAGCCGTTCGGCACGTTAAGCTCCCGGTCATTTTTCACCAACCGATGCATTTCGACCGAGATCCGATCGAATTTTTGGACAAACAGCCGACGTGACGAACACCCGGGCCACTTCCCCAGACATCGCTCGATTGTCACCTGGGCACCGGGTCGGCATCCCATGCTCTCGAGAACCGAATCCGGTTACCCGGCCATAAATTTCGACTCCCTGAACGAGCCGGCAAGGATCCTACTAAAAGTGAACCGATTTTGAAAAGTAATGCGTCCCGTGTTAACCCGAGGCCGAGCCCCAAGCAGAGACGGGGGTCGGACGGGACTAATGCGGCGTGGGGAGGAGCTTCGTAACGAGGAATCTTCCTCCGGCGCGTGCGACCGCGACTGGCGACCGGTATTTTGAATTTTCAAACTCGGCGTCTTTGGCAGCGTCAAGTCAACATACTCCGTCCCCCCTCCTACGCGGTCTCCCGATTTGTCTTCTTTTTCCTCTATTTATAATAGAAAAAGGCAAAAAGAGAAAAGAAAAAGAAAAGCAAAAACAAAAAAGCCATTTCCTCACCGACTGCGTTCAACGTACCGGTCCACCCCCCTAACGCCGTCGCCCCCTCCCGCCAACCAGACGCCGCCACGTGGCGAGGGAGGCGTGAGCCGTCCTTCGCCGTTTATCCTCCCCCCTTAAAAGGGCCACCCCCCCTATCCTCCTCTCTCCCATTGTCATTATTACTCGAAAGTCATTCCGCTTTCTCTCTGTCTCTCCGGCCATCCCATACCTCCCTCCGACCACCACCACCACCACCACCACCGTTGCCGGCGGATCTGAAACGTCCTGTCCAAGGGGCGCGACCATGCCAGTCTCGACGGCGACCTATTGGTGCTACAGCTGCGTCCGCTTCGTCACCGCCCTGCCCCGCGCCGGCGGCGACGTCGATGGCTCCGTCTCCTGCCCCTTCTGCGACGGCGGGTTCATCGAGGAGATGGCGGCGGGGGCGGCGCTGCCGGGCCGCCATGCGCCGGTCAACCCCCGCCGCCGGTTGGATTCTCTGCCCGAAGACGACCCTCACCCGGATCGCGACGTCAGCGTCAGGCCTCGCCGGAGGAGGGCCAACGGCGGCGGCGACCGGTCGCCGTTCAACCCCGTCATCGTCCTGCGCGGGACCGCCAGCCCCGATGCCGAGACCAGCGCCTTCGAGCTCTACTACGACGACGGGGCCGGATCGGGACTCCGGCCGCTGCCGGCGACGATGTCGGAGTTCCTGATGGGCTCGGGGTTCGACCGGCTGCTCGAGCAGCTCGCGCAGCTGGAGCTGGCCGGGATCGGGCTCGGCCGGTCTGAGAACCCGCCCGCGTCCAAGGCCGCGGTGGAGTCGATGCCGACGGTCGAGATCGGCCACTGCCACGTGGCCGCCGAGCTGCACTGCGCCGTCTGCAAGGACGAGTTCGAGCTCGGGGCGGAGGCGCGGGAGATGCCGTGCAAGCACGTGTACCACACCGACTGCATCTTGCCGTGGCTCGCGGTGCGGAACTCGTGCCCCGTCTGCCGCCACGAGCTGCCGCCGGCGCCGGAGGACACCCCTGGCGCGGACCAGGAGGCGGTGGGGATGACGATATGGAGGCTCCCGGGAGGGGGATTCGCGGTGGGGAGCTTCAGGAGAGGTGGCGGGGCGGACAGGGAGAGGGAATTGGAGCTGCCGGCGGTCTTCACGGAGATGGACGGCGGGTTCGAGAACGGAGCTCCGAGGAGCGTGTACTGGGGGCTGAGGAGGAGCAGGAGCAGAGACAGAGGCGGGTTCGGGAGGCTGGTGAGGAACATCATGAATCTCTTCTGGAGATCAAGATCGAGCAGCAACGGTAACCCGGACAGCGATTCCGGGTCGATGAGGAGGACCCGGAGCGTCTCGAGCTCCTCGAGCTCGAGCTCAGTGATCGGGAGGTTCGTGAGGAGGCGGAGCCGAAGATCCTGGGTCATGGAGGATTAGAATTCGAGAGGTCGGGACGAACTTTTTCTTTCTTTCTTTCTTTCTTTTTTCATTGGGGTTTTTTCTCTAAGTCGCGATGAGTGGGAGATATTTAATTAATTTGTAGATGGAGCCGATTCAAATTTGTAATTGTATATATATGGAATAGAATGAGATGCGAATCCTTTTTATTTTTCTGGGGAGAGATTTTGGAACGCCGACGGTGTTGGCTGCGTCGCTGTCAGTGCCGCTCATCGGGGGCGAGGAGGACGAACCTGATGCTATCTTGAATGATTTACTTGGATGGGTCCAAGATTTCGTTCCCCATTTTAGCTTTTCTTGGAGATTTTTTACTTGGATCCGTCTCTGGCGGCATAAAAGTTTCGCTTTTTGGGTAGCCCCCTCAATCGATGACGTTCGAAAAGATTGGTTTTCGATGGTTCGTTCTGTAAATCGGGTACCCGAGTTCATGTGTCTGCAACAATGGCTGTTCGTTCTTCCGGAGGGGGAGGGGGAGGGGGAGAGAGAGAGAGAGACTTGATGGTCGGATCCGGTGAAAGAGAGGGGCGATGAATCCGAGGTAAGACAGCGCGGAAAGGAAAAAGTGTTGAAAGGATTGGTCAAAAGTTGGTGTGAGAAAAGGCGTGGCTGGAGAGCGAAGATGCTGACTGCTCTGCTTTCCCACTGCACTGCATCCAAAGAGGATCTGGTGTCCTCGATAATTTTGGAGCGTGAAAGGATAGAATTTTTTGAAATATTTGTCACATAACAGGCAAATCGTATTTGGACAGGACGATTTCACGACGTGGATCCCATCTCTCGAGAGTTCATAAAAATCCCAAAACATCGTGTGACAGAAAATTGTCATATACCCTTTCAAGTTCCTGTGCATTCACCACTTGCGGCCTCTATTTTTTAATAAGCATCTATCTATAACTGTATCATTTTCTTGCCAAATGTGCTCTTGCTCATTTTCTCACACCCATCAAGATACAACTCTAGCTTGCAATTCCTATCACTAACCTAGACTTCGCCCACCCCATGGTCACGCCGTCCGCAGCTCCGACCATTCACCGCAGCTGCTGCTGCCACCAACCGCAGTGGCGAAGGAACCGGTCATCATTGCGCCCTTGGATCCGAGGTGGCCCAAAAGTTTTGGTTTCACATTCGTGTCCTGGTGGAGTCGAGTTGCGGATGCTTTGGGGACAAAAAAACAATACCTTAGTTGTTGTTTCCAAGTGGGATGATGTGCGGTGGGTGAAATGGGAACACTCTGGAAAGTTGACCCGGTCGAAGATGACGTGCGTACGAAGGTGAAAACCCCAAATGCACCCCCCCCTAACCGCTCAACGACTCGTGACTCGGATTTCTTTTCCCCTTTCCCTTGAATTGGAGCCATTCTCGAGTGCCAGCTAGCGCATTGCCTGCACGTAAGCAAAGCAATTATTCATTCCCCAGTCTTCATTTAGCACGTGATTATCCGATTGGGAAATCAATTCGGATTTAGCTCCATTATTTGAAGTTTGATGGAAAAATAAGAAGAAAATAATGCATTCGGATTTTAGAAGAGTTCGCAATTGTCACGGGATGTACCCAATGCGATCCGTAAGGGAAGCTGGAAAATACTACCGTGTCAAAGAGTATTTTTCGTGGAAATCACGTCCTTTATCCACCAGCTCAACCTCGCAAATGTAGTTAAGTTAATGGTCGTAGCTCCTTAAAATAGCACAACATAAAAGGTAATCTTGTACTCGAATTCCCACCGAGTACTCGAAGTAAAGAATGGCCGTCTATTCTCTGATACTTAACTAATGACGTCAAAGTGAGCATTTGAGCACATCGATAAAGTACCAAGTTTAAAATCGACATGATCTGATTTTGATATGTGAAAGGTCTCAATTAAAGTAACTTAACTGAAAAAGTACGGATCAAATAATAATTCTAAGAAAATATTCATTGCGATAAAGGAAAAAAAGAACAAATTCTTCGAGGGCTCGTTTATTTGATAAATAGACAGAAAAGTATATTACATATTTACTTCTTTCGTCTTAAATTTTAATAAATTCATATACAAAAAATTATCGTACTATGAAAATCTAAGATATTTCAGACAAAAAAACAGAAAATAGTCAAATTTTGCACACTACGATACTTCCTAATTTTTTATTGCCCAATATGAACTTTATAATTCAAAAGAGGGCAAATTTCAGATAAAAGCATGAAATGCCCTCATTTTTTCAAATAAAGGCTTGAAGTGAATCTTGTTTCAAATAAAAGAACGAAGCGCCCTTTTATTTTCAAATAAAAGCCTGAAGTGGCTATATCAATCTTAAAGAAGGGCTTGACCTCACCAATTGATCAAGGACATTTTCATTCTTTATTTAATTTAATTTTTTTTCCTTTTTTTTCCATTTCTTTCTTTTTTCTCTAGCGACCCTCGCCAACCACTGGGGGAGGCCTCGGCCAGTTGCCGGCGAGGGTCGCCTCTCCCAGTCCCTTGCCAGATCTAGGCAACAGTCGCCTTGCCCGTGACCGATGAGGGCCCGAGTGAGGTGATCCTCACCAGCGGCCGAAGAGGGTCACCGGGCCCTTGCCCAGTGGCTGGCTAGAGAGAAAAAAAAAAGAAAAAAATAAATGATGAAAATGGTTAGGTCCTTCTTTGAAAATGATATACCAATTTCAAGCCTTTATTAGAAATAAGGTTCACTTGAAACACTTATTTAAAAAGAATAAGAGTACTTCGGGCCCTCATGCATAACATTCAGGGTCCACATTTCGGACCCTCATGTGAAATAAAGTTTATTTCGAGCCCTTATCAGAAAAAATTGAGAGCAATTCAGACGGATTTTCCCTTCGAAGGAAGCCCACGTGGCAGCTTCCAGAATCGTCTGGAGTCCGTACATCGAAAGCTTAGGACCAAGAAAACGCAGGAGAGAGAGAGAGACGCAGCCATCTCCTTCGCTTCGCTTCGCACGGCTTAATCCCTAAGCTCACTTCACCTCTTCCGCCTTCAACTGCAAAGTGCAGGTCAATCAATCATCTCGTCGCGCACCTTCCATGGCGTAAGTCCCTCTTCTTCACTCTCTGTCTCTCTCTCTCTCTGCGCACCGCGATTGGTTTTGCTGGTGAAAGCGAAACTAAGACGATCCAGAAAGCCGGAGTCAGGCCTCCCCCACCCCCTCCATCAATCCGTGCATTCACCTCGCTGGTCGCTGCGCAATGACCCGACGGCGCATTTTCCCGTCGTTTTGCATTTGCTTTTCCGAGTCTAATTTCTCCGTTTGAGGCGTTTCTCCGTTGCTCTCGCCGCATTGTCGCGTTCGTGGGGGGACTTGTCGGTGAAACGTTGCCGGATCGATTTCGCGAGATGTTTGCGACAGATTGACGCATTTGAGAGTGATGTCTGGAACAGCTGTTGGTTGGATGTGTCTTTGTTTGGAAATTCGGTGTGGATTTGACTGAATTGTAGTGTTTATTTTTAGCTCAATTCACGATAACGCACTGCCCATTAGCGGCATTACATGATCGTGGATCGTGCACGCCGTCGTTTCGATCTTTAGTCTTGTCGAAGGTCAATCATACTACGATTGCAAGATAAGGAGTCTGATCTGTCGGTGTAGCTAGGTGATAGTGTAAGACATCTGGCCCCTTTCTTGTCCAATCTCAGTAAACAGATCACCTGTTTACCGAGACACGGCCAAAAATTTCAAATGAAATTGCTTTTAGGTTTGAATTTTGTGGAACACCAAGCGAATCTTATCTTCGCTTCTACTAGTTTGTGGATACTCCAAGTGTGGACTTGCACTGCAGTAGTTGTTTTTATGAGAGGAAGAGATTGAGTTTAAGGTTAGCTTGTGAATAATGTTTCCTTCAAAATGTTTCAGCATTGCTCAATGGACTCTATACTTTAGAGTCTCTCTTGAAGTGCGGTTGACGTTTTATAAGCACATTATGGAGTTTTGTGGCATGCATTTTGGCTAACGTCACTCACGTGGAAGTAAATTATGTGATTTTGATGGCTTTTGCACGCTATGAAGATTGGAATGTGCATCTGAGAATCCATATACTTTTGGTGCTTGTAGTATTGCTCGAGCCTTTTGATCTAGGAAGACACCGGCACCGCATTGCAAATATGAGCTTTGCATACAGAGGAAACAGAGCAGATATTGAGAGTGGATTTCCAGGATTTATACATGAACGGCCAACTCTGGTAGGTTCACTCACATGCAACGAATAGCCAGCGACCTACTTCTTTGTTTTATATCTCAAGCATAAGGGTGTACGTTCCTTCAGTGACTTGACATTCTTACGGTCCTTTTTTCGTCTCTATTAGCGTATCCATGGCCATCGGCCTGTTAATTCCAATTCTCTGGCTTTTCTCGTAACAGGTAATTTTTCCTCTTCTCGACTAGTTCTTTTCCTTTTCTGTTCTCGTTATCTGTTAATAATTTTTATGACTTCCATCTTCAGCAGTTCTTTTGCTATTCATGGTGTTGAACTCCCATCAGATGTCATCCAACTTCCTGGTACTTAAGTTTGAGCAACTTTATGCCAGTTTTCCTTGTACCTAGAGTTATTGTGTATTAACTGAAGAGGTAGCTCTGTGAATGTAGCTATGGCTTGTTGTTGGTGTCTTTTTGCTGGCTACAAGCCTGCGGATGTACACTACTTGTCAGCAACTTCAAGCTCAAGCCCGAGCTCATGCGGCAGCTGCCAGCGGCTTACTTGGCCATACTGAATTGCGTGTCCACATGCCACCATCAATAGCATTTGCTACCAGAGGACGGCTACAAGGATTGAGGCTCCAGCTTGCTCTGCTTGATCGTGAATTTGATGATTTAGGTAGGAAACTGATTTCTGAAGCAGGTTTGAAGATAGGGAAATTGTAAAGCATGGAACAAATGATTATTTAAAGGGCGTTTAATAGGATTTTTTTATTGTCTAATAACCACTGGCATATGCATGGTAGAAGTGAACTTTTAGTTGGTGACTGCTTTCTTGAATAGAATCTAGCTGTAGACCCCACTACTGCTGTGGAAGTCTTGAAGTTTTGACTCCTAGATTGCTGTTTCCTTAGTTCTTTTAGTTGACTCATCCTCACAAACAACACATGCATCTCTCCTATTTGTGAAAGATGCAAGACTTTTGAGTTCTTGATAAGATTTAAAGATTTGAGATTTTTCAATTTAGGTTATCATTACTTTTAAAAATGCACATGGATCTAAATGAAATAGCCTTGGCATCAAGGATTAAGTACTTTTGATTGTGCCGAGCTCAAACTTAAGGAAAAAAAAACCCCAAAGAGTTGGTTGAGTGATTTAGTACTTTTAGGGATGCGGTATGTTCCGTGTTTGAATTACATCGATTTTCACCTAGAGTGACCGTAGGGATTAGGTCGCCATCCCATACGGTCGAGCTTGCCATCCATGGATGGAGCCTTACTCGATGCATCTAGATAGGATGTCTTGCATGCCTCCGAAGGATTATTGGACTTGCAGTTTCGAATACCAATTTTATCCACACAAAACTTAAGAAGAATGAAAAGCATGTCAGTGAACAAATGCCTTGATATATAAATAAGTAATGCACTCTATTATTGGGAAAATGAGCTCTTTGTTGAGCTGTCGCAAGTAAATGGTGAAAAGAGATCCCTAGTGAGCTGGCATTGAGCTTTCAATGTTAAATTTTTGTCTGTTTATTTAGGTAGTTGTATTTCAATAACTTTTCCAATGTGGCTTACTGATAAGCAGAAAATGAAGAGGTTGACGTGTTTTGAGCTGTCAACTGGTGGCTATAGTTATTGTTATAAAGGAATATGAAGTGGTATTCATATGATTCAGGCAGCTTTTATATATTTAGAGTCTGGGAATAATTGCTTTCGTTGATTGGTCTATGCTGCAGATTATGATACCTTGAGAGCACTGGACTCTGAAAACGTATCCACAACTCTTTCTATGAGTGAGGAGGAGATAAATACCCTGCCTGTTCATAAATACAAGGCTTCTGGTGTCCAGAGGTGAGTTCAAATGCCTTTTCTTTTGTAAAGTGGTCCAGATGCCTTTCCTTTTGTAAAGCAGCACAAATGCCTTTTCTTTTGTAAAGTGGTTTGAATTCGTTTTCTTTTTTTAAGTGTGTGTATGCCATATTTACCTCGCTTAGTGTAAATTAGTCTGAATTCAATGACGAAGACTGTAATTTGCTTTTCAAGTCATATTCTTAGATAGAAATTAATTGTTGCAGGATTACTAGCTCGGAATCAAAGAGAACTTTCTAATTAATCTCCCCATGCATGTGTGTGTAGCATGCAGTATGCATAAAAGCACAGAAGTTGTTTGCTTAAATTATTGATAAAGTTCCTCACAATAGTCTTAAATGATAATTTCTTGTTAGTTTTCAACAGAAGTGCAATGGAATAAAGGGTGGGATTGTGCGTGCATGAGCTGTCTACTCTCACTTGCCTTCAAAAGAAATTTACTGTGTCGCTGCTCCAAAATATGTGATGACTGCTACCTTCTGTTCATACAAATTTGTGGATCGTAAAATTAGTCTTGAAGTTTAATTATTACCTTTTGCAAATGAATTAGTTGCAGACAGAACTCGTGTACTCGTGCAATGTCTGAGCTTCTCAGTTGCTTCCTTCATATCGTGGCAATTGTGCATGTGGAAATTAAGTTGGCTTTACTGAGGTTTATGAACTGATTATTGGAAAAGTACAAGTATAATGCAAGACTTTTTGATCTTCAACTAAACTATTTGTTTATAAAAGCTGTGGCGAGCGATTAGCATGTTGTTGGAGATAAAAGCTTCTGTCATCCTCTACGGTTGGTGCAGTTGGTAGTGACATTGGAGGTTTCCAGCTTAAGAACTGGAAATCACCCATTCGAATCCCATCAATTGCGTGTAAATTGCTCCGGGTCAGGCCTCTTGCGTAGGTTGAACACCTAGGCTTGAATGGTTTGTGGAGTTTACGGGGTATTTCATGGGCCTCCAAATAGCGGGTCTTCATGCCCGAACCCCCAGATTAAAAAAAAAAGAAAAATAAACTGTTGTCAAGATTCCTTCTTTTCTAAGACTGCTCAAGAGGTCATAGGGATCCCCAAAATCTCATAGGATTGTTAGACAAAACTTTTTCCCCATAAACGTAAGTTGTTAGTAAATGGGTGCACAATGTATGTCTTGCATATTTCCTAACGCTAACCCTTGAGTGTAATCAAACCGTACATGTAAATTATGGAATATGGAAGTAATTGCATCAAATAGCAACAGGAGGACAAACAACAGTAATGGACATGATGACTATGAGAGGGAGCACCAACATTTAATTTCCTGACCTGAGCTCTAATATTATGTCAAATATATCATTTTTCCATTTTTTTCGATAATTGATGTATCATTTTTTCCAGAAAGGAAACTTAAGCTCTTTGAAAAAGGTCCACACTGTATATCTAACATATTTCTTAATAGTTATGTCCAATTTTATTTTGGCAAATGATCTCTCTGCTATGAGTTGCATCCAAATTCCACTTGTGAGTAATTGTATGCTTATTGCTTTGTTGATAGAGATGGCTCCTCGCTACAGAAAGCATCATCCTCTTCGGGCTCTGAGGTACTCTTCCTTTGGCAGCTTCTGCAGATGTTTGCCTGGACTATTGAATTCTAAACACAAGTTACTTCCTTAACTTTACTAGTATTACTATGTGTTTATGCTGCTTGGGCTGGGAATATAGTTTTTCCTGATGAGGATCCATACGTTCACAACATAGATTCTGTTTTCAAAGGTCTTGGCCGTGTTAGAATTCCTTGTTTCCTTTACACATGATTACCACCTATTTTGGTTTGCTCAGACGTGTGGATTGTCTTACTCTAGATGATCAGGATTCACCTTTTATATGTGTTGTCAGGAGTGACTTTGCAGGATTTTGGTCCCATGTCTTAATCCGATCTTATCTCCTTTCCTTCATATATAGAGCATGCCAATTTTTGAGAAAAAGCGTGAATTTCGTGCCGCAGTTGTCCATTTTCCTTTTTTTATTTTTTTCCTGTTTGGCCAATTCTACATTGGTATGTTGGCCTACGCCTATCTACATTTATCCATGGGCCACAATGTCCGTGTTACTCAAAGATGGAGCAAGCATTCCAAAAAATGCAGACAACAGGCCTGCACCTTTCTGTTGAGTGTCCTTGAGTCATGTTTTAGTGGCTGAGGTGGGAAGGGACTGGCAGGCTCATGTTCAAGTGCTTTTGTTTCTTTCTTGTTTTTCTTCCCTCCTGGCTTAGTTGATCTAATTGATGTGATAAACAGCTGAAGCAAGAGAGCAGAAATGCGGATACAAGTATGAAAGCCCCGGAGGATGAATTGACTTGTAGCATATGCTTGGAGCAGGTCAACAGAGGCGAGCTTGTTCGTAGCTTGCCATGTTTGCATCAGGTGTTTTTTCCTCCTAGTGTCTTGTTATGTCTTTTCCGTGTCCATTAGGGTTTTCTACAATCTCTCAAGGGATTGTCCCTATGAGGATTGGTGATTGTTGGATTGCAAATAAATAAATCTCAACTTCCATTGACAACTTTCTAAGTGTTGGTGTGGTAAGACAATTTGTGTGAGAATTACGACAAAGTGCACCTGGGCTTGACTGATTATGATGCAGGATTGGTCCCTCGAGGGACCTTAGAAGGCCCCGAGTCCATCCTTCAAATTTTGCTTATCTCATCCTCCAACATGCATGTGTGAAGTTTCTGTGGTTTTCCTAACATTATGAGATATTAATGGCTCCTTTTTTCACTTGTCCCGCCATGCTACTTATAGATTTTGTTTTAGTAGATGAGCACTCTATTGATCATTCTAGAATTTTGACTCCCCCCAAACGATTTAGATGCAAAAGTAAAATTGGTTTCCATGTTCGACTTCAAAAGAAAATCTCTTGTTTATTTCAACAATGTCTCTGGTCAATTTTCTGCTAAATATGAATAATATGGTTTCTAGGAGTGAGTGAAGTGTCTGTCGATTAATGGCTAAATTCGATAAAGGTTTTGCATTTGTTTATTTCGTGTATTTTCCCTTGCTTTCCCCTCAACTAACCATTCGATTCTCTCTCTCTGCAGTTCCATGCTAACTGCATTGATCCTTGGCTGCGACAACAAGGCACATGCCCTGTCTGTAAATTCAAGCTCGGCGCAGCATGGCAGGAAAGCAGGGATAGCGAGTCGGATGGATCGGACATGGTTTAAAGGCTAACCAATTACGTGTACCTACTTATGTTAATATGTTGATGTGTATCAGTTCTATAAGTCAATAAAGTTCGTATTTTATATTAGCATTTGGTAGGAGCTATGCCCATGTTGGACTTACAGTAGCTTGCATAGATTTAGCAGAAGGCATACATAACCCTGGGTGTTACGGGTCAGTCGACGGATTGAGAACCGCAATTTGTGCCTTTCGAGTACAAAATTAATCACTGTACACTCGAGGATTACTCATCAACTACTGTGTAAATTTGTACTGAGACCAGACTAGTATGCTTGGATGTTACATATACAATCGATCAATCTGTTTGGTGTAAATGCCCCACAATGTGTCTCAGAACTAGCTGGTTTTCTCCTTAACATTTCCGCGCCACAGTCTGCTTCATGTTAGCGGCCGCTTCATGTTAGCCCGTGATCTTGTAACTCTCGGTGACATGACCGACAGTTTTGACATGGCTGATATCCGGATCATGACATGGCTGATCTCTCTTGTCCGTCTTACAATGACGTGAGACAAGCGCATTGGTTCTTACGTCAAACGTTTAACCCGTCACAATCGCTTGACATATGAGTTTGCTAGGGCATTGGTTCTTCTCCCGTGCTCTTTCTAGTCTATCCTAGTCGTTGTTATTGCTTGTGCGCTACACTCTATCGTCCTAATACATAAAAGAGAAAAAGCCAGGAAGACTTATCTTAAAGGGAAGAATCCTCCTAGCGTGGAATTTGCTTCTAGATTACCAAACCGAGAATGATTTTTGTGTTCATCTTTCAGACATAACACGTGCCTCAACGGTTCGTGGTTTGAATCTAGCTAGCCATTCTTGAGTTCCTAGTCTTTCCGTCCGTCGCTTGCCTGATTTATGTGAATATTAGTGATAACGTTGGGATTACTTTTCTTGCGGGAATTAGCCGTGCATGTTAGGAATTCATGCCGGAATGGCTCGCTTTGGTGGGATCATGGGTTACCCTATCTAATGCAGGAGTCGGGTATCCGAAACCGAGAGCTCCATCGGCTCGCAAGAGTCACCTGACCCGTCGAAAAGTTAGAAAGAACCGTAAGTTTGAACAGTCGAACCAGGGTGTTAAATCTTTGAATATCTTGCCAATTTTGTACGTTTTCTTGAAGACTGACCCAAGATGGTACATCCGTACATGCAGGAGACAAAAGCCAGGCACATTCCAACGTCCATATTGACTCTGTCGTCCTTGGAGCATCTAAATTTACATGAGCTGTAAAGGCGGGGGGTGAAAATCAATGCATCGAAATCTTTCGTCCTCGGATCTATTGGGATTTTAGTGCATTTTTTATGCGGTTGCGAGGGGAGGTGAGTGATATTTTTAGTGCATCAATTTCCTAGACGATTTGAGTTCCATTAAGTATTTGTCATTCCTCACGAAACGAAGGACCCAAGAGAGAAAATACGCAGTACCGGATGGAGCAATCTCATGTGATTCAAATCTATTCGATGCAAAATTACAACCCCGTGTGAAAAGCCGTGCGTAGCTCACTCGACATGGCAACAACAATCACAAGTGCATCCAATTCCTCGGGAAAAAGAAGAAGAGTAAGCAGAAAACAAAATCGGAACCGCGCATCGGCTCCTCCGGAACGAAAATGCTTGTTCTCTCGCAAAATCCATTGCTGGATCGGATCCGTCTCTATGCTATACGTACGACAGTCCCCCTATATATGTATAGTCCGGAGCTTGTCCTGTCAGGAATCGTCGTGCTTGTGCCAGCGGAGGAGCATGGCGACGCAGCGCTTCATGATGTAGAACCTCGCCTTCTGCTCCTTGGCCAGGTTGCTGCACTTGCGCGAGATGTTGGAGCCCTTGTGCGACATGCTCCGGGAGAGCGAGCCCTTGGACGACGGGACACCCGACGACGACGACGATAACGAGCTCCGCTGGGAGCCGCTCCTCACGAGGTTACCGGGGGAGCTGGAGGAAGAGGTCTTGGCCGAGAAACTCCTGGAAAGAGCGAACTTAGAAGATGAAGACGAGGGTGATGTGGAATGGCCATTGCTCCATTTTTCCTTCTTGGATGGCTTCCATATATCGTCCATTGTAATGTGTACAAGGATCAAAGCTTTTGTTGAATGTGGAAAGGATCAAAGGATGATGGGGGAAGAGAGATTGCCACTCTGAGGTCATATATATAGTGAAGGTGAGGACCTAAGCTAAGGCTAAACCTAAGTGTTTGGTCTTTTGTTGTTATAAAAAAATGAAAATATCCTTGAGAAACTGTATGGTCGAGAGGAGGGAGTAACATGGTCTCTAACTAGCATTTACTAGGTTCTCCATAGTAATGGCAATTAAGAAATGCCAAGTTGATTGAAGATTGGTCCGCGAAATTGATTTATTGAGTAATGTGATAAACTGTAATTGGACATCAAAGGGACAAGACGAAGAGTCTATGCGTTATTGCGCAAAATCATTGTGATTTTATCAACTCAATTGCACGTCGAGAATGATAAAATCCATGTAAAATTGCGAGGAAAAAAAACACGTGTTTCAATGTATTTCTTGCATCTGTAATTGATTCACGCGCAGTACCTTCTGTAGAATAAATTTTGGAGATAGTCATTTTTGCGGACATAGATGATATAGATGTTCGGTGAATCCCATTGATTCAAGAGCATCGTCTAGAAGTCGGGCAAATCCCATTGATCCGAGGACATCGTCTATGAATATCGACTGTGTTGAACACTGCATTAGTACGTCAAATCTCAACGTAATTTGTTACTAGGGTTGAGCACGCATTACGTGCATGTCATGTGAGGAGTTTTAATAGATTTATAGAAAGAAAAACAATTATAAATTGGGGGATACCTGAACAAGAAATAGGGTAGTTTATTTATTTATTTTTTCTTGTTATTGTATAAGGCTAATTTTGGAAGACACAAAAAGTGAGATAATCGAGGGTTTTGGCCTAATGAACAAGAGATGCATCATTTTGAAAATTGAAAGTGATGGATATCATTAGAATTTTCAAATTGACTAACCGGCCCCGTATTTTTTTTTTTTATCGAGAGGGCCTTTTATCTGGCTAAATTCCTGTTCAATGACGTGAGAACCGCCATCGAACAGCAAACCTAGTGTACGGCGAGCCAATTTAAAATTCGAATTTCTAAAAAAACACAAAGCAGAGAGAGAGAGAGAGAGGATGGGAGGGGAAGGTGCTCTAGCAATTTGGCAGTTGTGGATTTTAATATGAGTTAATTTACATGTGAAGTCTCTGAGGCCTGACCTGTGCTCATTATTTAAAGAACTTTGATTTTCATTTTTATTATTTATTATTAGCAATAATCAATTATTAATCAATAAAAAAATACATATTTTTGCAGGAGTGACGACAGGATCCCGTCATTTAATTGACCAGCAGCACCGCCACTGCCAGTCTCTTGGTTTGTGTGATTCCCTCTCGTTTTAGAGTACCATCCGCGCTTCTAAATTTGACTCTCTCTCTTTTTATTTATTTATTTAATTTCTAATCATATGATTTGGCAGATTAAACAAAATTTATGTGAATAACGGATTTTCTTTTCTTGTGAATGGATTAAAGATGACTTTTCCTATTTTGCAGTAAATTTTATCATAAAGATGTTGCGAGATATCTAAGAATGGAATTCACAATGAAATGCCGTGTTAGAAAGTTCGGCCCTGAGCATATAGACCCGCCGTCCGTGCTTGCGAACGATGTGTGATTTGACGAACAGGTGCGCAAGTGGAATAAGTTAAAAATGGAACATAACTCTGATACCACGTTAAGATGTTCAAAGCAAAAACTTCAATTTATAGGTGAGGGAGTCCATGTGTATATAAAGAGCAAAAAAAAAAACCCTATGGACCACCGATGTGAGATATTTTAATATGCCGCGTACGCGCATAATCATTATCTGATAAAAAATAATCTTTTCACTTGACAATGAAAACGATAAGAATTGCGTAAAATTTACGAGCCCTCGATAAAATGATATACATAGATCTTATTTGACTTGCGAAATGTATTGGAGGCTCCGTTGGTTTCGTGGGAAATGAACGATTTGGAAAACATATTCTTAAAAATGATTGTTTGTATCTCTTACAAAAATATGAATGAACGAAAAATATTTTCATCGTCCACGAAAATATATGAACATACATTATTGGCGATAATGATAATATTTTCTATTAATTAATCATTTTAAGTGATACAAGGGGTTATTTTCAAGAAAACGTTTTTTAAATCATTCATTTTTCACGAAATAAACGGAGCCTTAATTAAGCGTTAAAAAAAATCTCAAAATAGTAGGGTAATATGTTTTCAGACACAAATATCTCATAATTTTAACTAAATCAAAATTTTGTAAAATAAAGAAAAAGAACCTAATTTTTTTTTGGTAGAATAATTAAAAAAAAAAAGGACCTAATTTACTAATTTCCAAATGGACCTCCCTCGGATTCTGTTCGAATTCCAATTTACTTCTTTGTCGAGCCCCAACACATATGATCCGGTTTCCACCGGTACTTTGCATTGTATTCCTGGATTGGTCTCCCACGGTACGATTAATTTACTATAGAGAGTTTCGGGAAGGCTCCAAATTAGAGGATTTCGACATAATTTTATGCAATTAAGGTACAACATTTGTCAGTCTCGATGGTAATCATGAAATATTAATCAAGTATTTCGGTAAACCTCGTGAGTTAGATCAGACACGATCATGAGCTTGAATGAGCATTCGATGCAGATATGAGATTGGTTTGCACATATCGATATAGGAACATCGAACCTGTAACGCATGCTTGAATCCGTGCACTCGAATTCGATCCTAAAAAAAAGTACTCAGTAAGTTCATGGGATCTTAAGTCAATTTCATGCGTGGAATTAATTATCCAAAAAGTCATTTTGAGATGATCCATCTTCGCGCTGTAAGAGACGGCGGATTTGGTGACAAGACTTTTAGCTACGATGCCGATTTCGTCGCTGATAGTTACCCTAACGCGACGGCAGATTATCTCGTCGCCTTATGCTAACGATTTGGGTAAACGATTTTCAAGTTGAGGCCTACAAAAGTACGTATTCCATTGCAAAAATGGCAATGACTACCGGCAATCTGTCGTGTATCGTCTTTCGAGCTGCCAATCTGAAATCTCACTGCACTGGCTCGCGCCAAAATCTTTTGGCAACGGAAAACAATGAGAGGGGGCAAACTTTCGGAGAAGAACATGGACCATAGTAAAAAGATTCCACGATTCGATGAATTTAAACAAAACAAGTTCGTGATCTATATGTATATATACCTTAGCATTTATGAATTTTGACCAGTCCAAATCCATTTGATGCATGCACAGAGGTTTTCGCCACCGACATGGGTGGCCTTCGGGTATCCTGGTCCTTGGATTCTGGTCGATCGAAATTATTTTCGAATAAGAAAAACCAAAAAAATCAACAAACAATGAGAGAACAAACACCATAGACAAATAAACAAATCAACAAAAGAAAGAAATCAGGGAAGACCCATTTAGAAAAATGTGGCCAATTCCATGTGATCACTGACAAATTGAATTTCAATTTCCTCCAATTTTTAACACCACATTTCAGCCAATTTGTTCATCTATTTTATTTGGGCATCCAGCATCAAATCAGGTCCACATGCGACTTCTTCTCTCCTGTGCCTTTAGTGAAGAAGCTGCGGAGGGGAGGGAGGATTCCAACTTTGGTCAAGAGATAGCTGACGTGGGTCAAGATTGTACAGGCCACATGGCGATGTTCTTGTTAGGGTTCTAATGAAATGGGAACTTGAGCTTCATGTGTTTGTTACGAAGCTTTGGTCTCTCTCGATGATCGATCATGTGGGCTGGGAATATCAGCATTTGAGGCTGCACGTGCCGGCATGTGACGAGGAACCAGAGGAGATGCTGCTGCTGCTGCAGCAGGGCAAAATAGAAATAGAATAAGGAGTGGGGAAGGAACCAGAACAGGGGACTTTGTACTGCGATTCAACGGGAACTGGTCAAGCCCTTCTACGTATGTTGATATTTAAATCAGCCCATGAATAGGGAATGGAAAGAGATGCGTGATGTGGTCTTGTTTTTTTGACGCGAAATGGGAAATGGGTTTCTGTTTGTCCTAGCTTTCAGACCGAGGTCGGTTTGGTCTTTTGGTTTCTCGGGAACCTGTGATCAGTGCCGGTCTAGTTGACCATGCTATAAGTTTGTCTGCATTGGTTGTCTGGGCTTCTTGTTGTGTGTGTTTTGGCCCAAGATCAAAGGCTTAGCTCGATCTGAGTCGCTTCAAGAAATGCAATCCATTTGCATGGATTCAGCTGTTGTGTCTTCCAGTTTCGAGACCTATTTCGCAGCTCATTGTGTGTCATTCATGCTGTTAGCCATTCCAACCACTGGACAGTTGCCAATTCATGGCTTTACATGGGTTAATAATCATGCTGGTGTTTGTTGTGTCTTGTCTAAAAAGTTGCTTATAGAAGGCGATTAGAAGAAAACCTTATGACATGCATGGCCACGGCCACGGCCCAACCACGAAATGGTAGTGCCGAGAGAATCATTTGATCATATCATCCAATACCATCGCAGACGCTAAGGTACAGTATCTCATATGGCTTCACTTGATATTGAAGGCGGTGGACAGAATTGCGGAATGCAGCAGCAAATGTCGGATGCATTCTTAAGCATGCATGACTTTGCCATGTGGGCACTGGGTGTTGCGGCAGCGAAGAGCAGTTCAATATCTGGTGGATCCATACTGAATCGTCAACAAATATCTGTATAACCTGTTGACAAACATTAGTAATCCCTTGCAAGGTCGGGCCATAGAGGAAGAACGAGATGGAACACACAATGATGAGCTTATCCTTGTGTACATTCATACTGAAGTTCAGAGCTGCTTCAGCAAATTGAGGTTGCTGTCATCATTCATGTCGGGTTTGTGATGTTTGTGGTCGGCGCTGGACCACAGTTCGAGCTAAGGCAGTTTAGCTATACAGCTTTTCGCTTTTATTAAGACGGATGTGGATTACAGGGCCCGTATGAAGCCGTTCCTTCTGAAAGTCATTATACAAAGAATCTGGAACTGCGCCAAAAATAATCAGTGTTAAGGCGGGAACAATGCTTTGCTTGGGTTTCGGCAGGACTAACTTAGCAATCTAAACACTTAACTCATACATTCAATTAGTTTGCCTACTAGCAGTCCAACTGACGACTAACCGAGCCAGGCAGATCTGCAAGCCATGCTAAAGAGACTCTTGTAATGGCTCGTGGCGCTTCACCACTGAAACTTAAGCAGTTTCCTACTAGACCGTGCGTGAAGTATCCTTCCTTTTCAACTCTGCAGCATCCAGTTGCCGTCTTCGTGAATCACCAAATCCTTGTTGTCTGTCACCTTTAATTTATCTATGTATATCTTAATCAATGCTTCGTCCAAGGGACGTTGCTTAAACCCGGCCTGCGAGACCTGCGTGTGCCACTGCTTGTAGGTTTTGAGCCTCATCACTCTCTCCGATCCTTCGCACGCAATGACGTTCATGACTTGTCGCCCATAATACTCCCTCTCAATGAGAAACCTGTTGTTGTCGTCACGGGGTATATTGTAGTCGAACGTATCATGCAGTGCAGAGAAGTGGAAGAGCGCTTGTCAAAACCATGGGATGAAGAAAGAAGAGTCGAAAGTTCCCGTGACAACAGACAGCACAAATATATCTGGTCTCATCTCCCTTATTAGTTTCAGGACGGCATCCCTAGGATTGTTCACGACAACTGTCTAATCAAGTAAATTCTCGAACCGGTACATCAGTTTACGGCAAGAACCTCATTTCTATGGATTTTCAGTTCCTCCAATTTGATAGTTTCCCAATGCTGCGAAACTATGGCATTATACTCAAATGGAACGCCAAACCACTCGCAGTACTTCGCCAAATGACAACCTGCTTTGACAATTCTCTCTTCAGGTCTAAAACCATGTTGAGGAAGCTCTATCCCTGTGAGGCGAAGCTTTGGGGGCCTCCTCGCTAGTAGCTGAATAAGGAGCGGCCACCGGCAACTGAACAAGATGCCAAAGTCTACAACATGCAGCACCTTTGCTGTCTCGGCTACTTTTAAATCCATGTTATCCGCAAAAGAAATCACAATCTTGGTGAAGGGGAAGGCCTTATAATGAGTTTGGTGCGGTTTGAGGAGCTCACTGATTGGCGACCTCTTCAGAGTCAAATATGTGAAGACGTTTTGAACTGCGGTTCCAGCCAAGAGCGCATCAAGACCATTGGCAAAGACGCAGGCCAACCTTTGACAGGCATCGCCAATGGGAGAGGAGTGAAGCCTGATCTGCTTTAGTATGTCGCCAGCATTCCTGCGGTCGCCAGTAGAGATGGCTTACTGGCGACCGCAAAGAATGAGGAGATTCCTCAAATCCACCATGTCCTAACTGTTTTTACCCTTTTTAGCACGATTCTTGCGACCACTAGAACCACGCATATGCGCAACCAGAGACAAGTTTCTGACTGCTGCATTCGGCGTTTTACCATCGGTACTTGTGGAGGGCTCCGGCTCCGCTTCACAGAGCAAAATTCTATCAAACATCTCTTAAGACTTCGATCTCTTTCATCGAAGCTGCTGATAGTTTGTTGAACTTCCCTTCCCTTTCACATAGTTCTTCCCTTCCGTGATTCTTCATTCCCTTCAGACCATAAAAAGGGCCTTGCTGCTCCTTAGCATCGATTCCAACTTTTAGACAACGTTTCTTCATGGCTACAGACATATTGCCATTGTCTGTAGCATCAATACACGCAGTGTCCCCCGAGAGAAACTTACAAGCTTCCTCAAGCCCTCTCTTGCACTGCGAGGCTCTAAGGGAATCATACTGAACAGGAAACTCGCTTGTAGGAGTGGCCAAAATCTTGTTTGCATAGCCGGCAAGGCCTTTTTGGACGGTTTGAGGATGGTCATGAAGTGGGCAAGTCAGTGGACCGTTAGAAACAGTCGCTAGAAGGATAAACTAGAAATGTAGAGCCTCTGTTCTCTCGGTTGTCCGCAAGTGTCTGTTTTTCCCTAGAGTTTTCGGTGCAACCAATGTCGCTGGTTCCATTGCTATTCGCCGCAATCACGGCCTGTTCTCGGAAAAAGAACATTTTGGCAAACAAACTTTGAGGTTTCATTAGGTAAAGCAGGATGTTTCTCACCGAGAACAATAACCTTGTGCAATGATTTCTCAGATGCTCGTAGAACCGACGGATCATAGAACAAGCAGGGTTTGTCCTCCATGTTTTCCTCCATAGGCATGCTGCTTTTGCACTTGAGAATCTGTCTAGAGAAATCATTGCCATCTGAGTTGGAGGTCCCTTCTCCATCCAAGCTCCTACTGCGACACGAATCAGACAGCTTAGCTTCCGAGTTCATGGCGATGGGCGGCGCAAGATTACCGAGGCCATGATTTGGTAAAAGGAAAAGAGTGATCCACGCAGTTTAGATTGCAAGGAGGATGTTTAATTTGGTCAGACCCAAACCTTCGGTAATGACACTGACCCTTACTTGGAGAAGTGTTAAGACTTCATCAACTAGAGAACCATTCCCGAAATGAGAGAACGCGGAAAACACCGACTACGAGACCATTTTTTTTTTTCTAATCGGAAGTGCAACAAAAGTGAGATCATCTGAGCTTTCAACGAGACCATCAGAGCTATTTCTTCTACTTTCATACGGCATCAAAGCTCATTTGATCGTCATTCCTTTCAACTTTAAGGTAAACAATTCAAAGGTAACAATGATGGCATGGAAAAATCAACACGGAAGTATCTGACCTGGTTTGGAAGGAGAAAGAAAGCAGCTGAAAATGTTCAAGAATATGTTATCTTATGAATGCAAGCTCAAAGCAAAATCAAGTCAATAGCAGAAGGTGAAAGAACTTGAACACTCGTGGATCCGAAGAAACAAATTGAATCGGAGCCAAAAGAACAAAGAGAGACAAAACGCAGGCTCTAGGACTTGCACTTGTCTTGTTTAAGATGGATGAGTTCTCTCTTCCATATATATATACACAGACACAGAACAAGAAACAAATAGAGAAGCATGGTTATTGCTTATGTTATATAGTTTTGTCAATTACTGCCTTGAAGATTCATACATCACTTCTGATGCATACAGATCATAAAATATTATCGTGCTTACATAGGTTAGAACTGTATTAAATAAAGTCCAAAAACTACAGCAAGATCTGGGAGTCAGTGTTAAACGCGTGTTAATCTCGATTATTCACTCGTTGTCTAGTGCATTGCCTTGACATTGTTAACCGATGATGATGATGATGATGATGATGATGATAGTACTTGGATTGCTGTCTTCTGTGAATAGTAAATTTCTTCTCTTGAAGTGGTAATCTGATTAAATTTTGTATCATGACTTCTTTCTGAACTCATTTTAGAAAGATAAGAATCTCTTTCAAGTTAACGGACCAGACCCAAAACAAAAGAACAAGGCACCGTTGTAAAGGCAGAATCTTTCGTTCCAACTGAATGAAGGTTTAAAATTTCGAGAGGAAGTTGATTGGCAACAGCAGAATATACCCCTGGCTTGTCCCAACGAAAAGATACAACAAACTTACAAGCAAATTAGATAAACTTTCGGAAGATTCCAAGCAATGTAATCTGACATAAGAGATAAAGCGAGCTGCTTATCCTTCATAAAGAATGTCGGACCACCCCATCCGTCCTTAGAAGTAGAATTCTTCCTTTTTAAACACGTGCTCGCAAGAATTACGCCTTCCTAAATTATCAATTACATCACCATACCCTCAGCTTGCTAGAACTGAAATTTTGCTATTGGCTCGGTAATTGAGGAGGTGACATCTTATTTTAGTGCAAAATATTACTACATGATCCTTCGAGAAAGAATTTGTTCAGCATCGAGGAGCTACAGAGTGAATATCAGCAGGAACAATGCAGAGGAAAAGGCAATGTATAATTATTGCTGATATCGACTAACCAGACACAGATACAATCACCTTTGCAAAAGAACCAGTTACCAGAACCACGAACGAGAGTCCACTTTAGGAAGTGCACCTACCCTCATACAAAGGATCCTTTGTACATTCTATGCCGATTCCACAATAAATGCTTGACAGATATCTAACCACACGACTAAGAAGGAAGAGCTCAAGTTCTTTTGATTTGGGATGATATCTTGTACCAGAGAGCAAAGTGATGTTAAAAGCACACAACTATGCTAATAGCTGAAGAAGCCAATGACCAGAATTATTCTTAATTTGTATGCAAAGAAACTTCATATAATCTTCGAATGCAGCAAAAGACACATTTCATCCGTCTGCCTGCTTATTCTAGGATTAAAGTTCTGGTCAAGAACAACATTCAGTTGATCCTTTTTAGACTAATCAACAAGGCTGCACCGTTTATCGCCAGGCATGCACGAAGAAGTTCAACTATAAAAAATATATCATACACAGAGGTATCAAATCACATAAGCTGGTGAGTACTGTCTACAAAAGAAGTACATCTCCCTAATGTAATCGTGTGAACCCAGATTCTGCTACTAACTGTCAGAAAAGCAAGCAGCTATAAAAGTACAGCTGGTTATATCCTACCAAAGTAATGACAGTGGCTCAATAAGGAACGCCCGCACCTCCAAGAAAGCCCCATAAATGTTTTCTGCTCTAGTATTGTCAAAAGAAAGATCACAAGCAGCAGCTCCACAAATTCACGCTCTTTTCAGGAAACAAGGATGCCTTCAATGAGTACTCAGTCGGGTCCATCTGGTAGATGACTCATAAAAACAAGCTCAACAAAGTCCTAGTTAAGTACCCAACAAGATGAAGCATACAGAATTCGGCCCTTCCACCCCTGCAGCATCCAGTGGCCATCTTCGTCAACCACGAAATCATCATTGTACCTCTGCAACTTATATCGCAATTTCTTCATAAGTGCTGGGTCCAGTGGCAATTGCTTGAACCCGGCCCTCATATTGCGAATCTGCCATTGCTTATATGTCTCCGGCCTCTCAATTCTCTCCGTCCCCTCACATGCAATGGCATTTATAGCTTCTCGGCCAAAGAACTCTTTCTCAAACATCAGTCTCATCTGGTTATCCCTCTCTAAATTAGTATCAAATGCATCAAACATGGCAGAGTAGTGAAAGAGAGCCTCACGGAACCGTGTCACGAAGAAGGGGGCACTAAAAGATCCATTGACAATGGCCTGCACAAAGATATGTGGCCTTATTTTTCTGATTAAATTCAGAACAGAATCCCTGGGATTATTCAAGACAACCGTCTCATCAAGGAGATTTTTAAACCGAAACATGGTATTCACAGCAATGGTCTCGCCGTTCCTTATTTTGAGATCCCCAATTTTGATAGAATCCCATTTCTGAGCAATCGCATTGTACTCAAATGGAACATTGAATCGCTCGCAGAACTTTGCCAAGTGGCGTCCCGTCTCCTGAACTCCTTCTGCTGGTCGGAAACCTCGTTGGGGAAGCTCTATCCCTGTAATACGCAGTTTGGGTGGCCCGCCTGTCCTCCTGGAGAGACGAGAGATGAAAGCTGGCCATTGGAAACCGTACAAGATTCCAAAGTCGATAATATGAAGCGTTGTTGCTTTCTCAGCTAAATCCAAGATCATATGGTTCGCAAAGATGGTTGCCATTTTCTGAAACGGGCAGGCTGAATGATAAACTTGGTAAGCTTTCAAAAGAGTCACCGCTGATGTCCTTTTAGAACCTAGAGCAGTATAGACCTGAGAACCAGTGCCTCCTAAGCGTGCCTCAAGGCCATTCGCCAAGTAATGTGCCAACCTCTGAGACCCGTCACCAAAGGGGGAAGCATGCTGCCTAATCTGCTTTAGATAGTCATCAGCGGTCCTTCGATCGTCAGAAGAGACAGCTTGTGCACAAAGGATCAACAGAGTTCTGAGATCCACCTCTGTCTTATTGCTGGTCGTGGTTGGTTTCTTATTATGAGTCTTCCCGCCATTAGCAGCGTGTGTCTGTCTATTCTGCTGCAAAGATTCGCTTCCTTCTTTTCGAGAGGATTTATCAGCTTCGCAATCTGGCCTCCTGTCTCCACGATTACAGATTAAGATATTAGCAAACATCTCGGATAGCTCAGCTTCATCAACATACACTGCTGACTGCTTGTTACTCCTCTCATCTTCAAATTCAGTATCCTCTCTCTTGTGGTTCTTCTTTCCCCTTATTCCACTGAGAGTCAAAAAGTCACTTTCATCCTTCTCCACCTTAACCACATGCACTGATTTCCTTTCCTTCAACCACGAGTTTTCGCTGCTCTTCTCCAGATCAATAAATAACTGAGTACCTTTGGGAAGGAATCTGTTAGCTTCCTCTACACCTCTCTGGAACTGCAATACCGATTGGCTCTGGGTCGAGAAGTTAGGGAACAAAGGGCCACTCCCTAAAGATGCATTCATCCTATTACCGTTACTCAGCAAGCTGTTTGGTAAGGAAAAGGATGGCTGAACATGAGCATCCACAGTGGACCGAAAAATGAAGTCTCCGGTGACAGGAGATTGCAGCATAGAACTTCTGCCGTCCCCGAAATCACCGAGCCATTGATGATCAGCAAAGTTGCTGCCGCTGGTAATGCTAGAAGGGCTGCTCTTACCGTAGTCACTACTGTTTCCCGAATAATTCGTCTCCGGACTCTCCATGAACGGAGGGGACAGGTTCGCTTCAGATGGGTACGTCTCGCCGAGAACGTCATAGAGCGACTTCTCAGCTGCCTGGAGAGCCAAAGGGTCATGAAACATAAGGTCCTTCTCCTCCATGTCCTCCTCCAAAAGCATCTGATTTATGTACTTGAACACGGTTTCGGAGAAGTCGCTATCGTCGGACGGGAAATCCGCCTCCGTGCTCGCGAAAGGCTTGTCCATGAAGCTCAGATCCGAGGACGGGGGGTCGCCACGACTAAACCCATTCGCGAAATTCAAGCGCTGATCCGAAAACGGCAAGAGCGTCTCGTCGTCGAACTTGAAGGCGCTCAAGGAGCCGGAGAATCCGGTGACGCGCGGCTCCATAATCATCTGCCGGCGCGACTGGCCCCGCTAACACCAACCCCCGCTTCCAAAAGCACTTCCTCCACAGAGACCCCAGAATTCTTCCTACCCGGCAATCGTCGTCAAGCAGCAAAATCGCGCATTTCCCAACCCCTGAAACCGCGATTCACAGAAACAAACAGACAAAAAAAAAGCGATGTCAGGAGAAACCATGATCCACGAGCTCGAATCGGGTACTCGCACATCAGAAATCCTTGGCAGATCAAAGAAGGCGAGGAGCGCAAGAAGGGCACTGACTCAGACCATCGTCGGAAACCGTGAAACCAGTTCCGACCACAAAAACAGGAAAAGGAACAGAACGGACAAGAACCTTCCAGATCTTGCGGTGGAGACGAAGATCGGAAGCCTCACCTCGGAACAGAAAAGGACCGCGAAGCCGATTTCTAGAGAGAGTGATTTCTACAGAAAAGGACCTCGGCTTCAGGCAGCACCTCGCAGCTTTTTCAACAGCTTCTTCGCTCGTGAGCCCGGAATTTCTCCTCCCTTTTGACGTTTCGCTGAACTTGTCTCTCCTTCAATTTCTTCTTCTTTCTTTGTTTTTTTTGGTTTTTGAGCCGCCAGAGTCAAAGTCAATTACGGCAAAGCTCCAGTATAAAAACCTCATTATACGCAAAACCTACGTTGATTAAGGTTGGTTTTTATTTTTTTTTTGGGTCTGAAATTAAGGTTGATTAAGGTTGATTTGATTGGTTAATTTTTGGGACAGCTTTTGTCCTCCTCTGCCAACTCGAGGGACCGCTGCGGCTTGGCCTTTTTCCTTAAAGTAGACAGGGCAATCTTTCTAGTTCCCGAAGGAGTTATCTGGTGTGCGACGGTGGAAATAAAATTAATGGATATATCGTCTCCCTTTGATCCGCAGAAGAGGGATAAAGAGAGAGAGAGTCGACCGTGACATCGAATATGACGCAAAATTTGTATTGGTGCGACAAAAGTATTCTCTATCTATCATAAAAGATGCTAAATTTTGCTCGCCGTGGCACCGACACCTGAATCTCTCTCTCTTTTTCCTTTTCGTGTTACTCGTGTCACAAAGATTTAGGGGTTTCCTTGTCACATCGATACAAGTTCGAGGGTTTTGGACACAAAGATAATTTAGGATATCGATGTTAAAGCGCATATTTTTTTTATGACACGATAAGAAGTTTAGGATATTGATGTCATGATGAACATGATTTAGTGTTTTTTTTGTGGTGTTAACCTTATAATTAATAAGTGATTTGCGGTCGCGGATGATATGGGTGATTGCTCCGAGGGTTGGTTCTAGTTTGTGAAATTGGGAACTAGCCCACCTTGTCCTGGAACTGGACGGGACCGGTCCCGTCCGATTCGCGAGTGAATCTAGGAACCGACCGTGATATCTTTCTCTTTTTGTTTTTCTTATTCTCTACAAGACGATGACTCTTTCGTTCTTTAATGTTCTGGATCTTCAATAAATGATACGATTAAGTATCATTGACTCAGGTCTGCGTGGTTCAGCCCACACCTGAAAACCAAGAATTGGACTAATAATTACTAGGTCCAAGATTTCGGAATCAGAAACTGGACAGGTTCACCGCCCAGAATCGATCGATCGGTCGGTCCAATTAGATCCTGTTCCGGTGCACCCCCAGATCAGATAAAACCCTCTTGGGGCATTAAATACGTCGGAAGCCATTTAGATCGCGGAAACTGCGACACGCAAAAACGCACTTCTCCACGCATGGGTTGCTCGGGTGGGTGGGAGCCTGGCGCAAACTCACAGAAAAAAAAAAAAAAAAAGCTTAGTTTATGTCAGCGCGTCGGTCCGATGCGATGCGCACACGTGGCGGTCGACCGGTCCCGGGCGTAATCCTGTGGGCCAATGAGCGCGCGCTTTCTCGGGTGGGGCGTTTTCCACGCGGTTTTCGTCGGCACTCGAGACAAAGAGACGCCACGTAAGCAGTTTGCGCGTGGCAGCATTTTCTCTTCTTTAACCATGTCTGCCTACGTAGCCTGCCCCGGTCTACGCAAGTTACGGGTCAAGGCTTTGACCCGATTAAAGTATCATTATCCACACTAATGCTGCTGTCATTATTATTATTGATACTAAGTACCATTTGCAAGTATGGTCATTCGTGTTGATATTATTAATTACGAATTGAAATTCTTGTTGATAATTTCCTCCCCCGAGTGTATGTTTACACGACCGTTTTGTCAAGTCACGCAAGGTTTTTTTTTAATGTATCGACAGTATATTCGGGACTAGACTTCTGGATCAATCTATACATTTTCGTCGGTGAAGTTGACATCGAGGGTATATAAATCATTTGAATGGATCATTCGGGGGCACGTGTAGTTTTTTTGTGGTAGGTGGGGGTGGGCTGGGCTGGGGTGGGGTGTTGTCACGTATTTCTTGTCTTTTGTTCCTCACATATAATTATAATTTGTCTTTAGTTCATGTTCTTAGTGCATACTTACATCATGTAGCATCTGCTTTAATCGTAGAAAAGTAATCACTCACGATCCATGATGTCATAATTTTTCCTAAAGTTATTAGATTTCTAGATTACCACCTAGGATTTAGGACACATTTTGCATTTATAATAGAGGGCAACTTATATGCTATTTGCAATCTAAGTACATGTAGATGGGCAGATTGACCTATCCTATTAAAAGGAGAGTACGCATCCCATCCAATGTATACTACCCCGATAACATACGTCTTGTAATTTGATAATTCTCCATATGGATTGACACGACGCGACAATGCATAGCATAGTACAAAAGCACGATATCAACTCAATGCGTGATAAACACGTTCGATCGATACGACAATTGCTTTGTGCATAAAAAACATATAGTTTTACGAACTCGAATCTTTTATAACACCACATATATACGCGATAATTTCGGGAAAAAAAAAAAGAACAACGGCGCATTTTATCAATTCGACGCAACAATTTACTACTTCTGAGTCGAGCTAAAACCGTTGCGATTCGCTCGACGTACTTGATAAACGGTTCGCATTCGGAATAGAACCCCACGAAATTTGCAATCGAGAGAACAAGAGCAATCGAGAAACATCAAGAGAAAAACGGTAAATAACTGAGAGTCAGATTTGGCAAAAAGAGAAGGAGGAGGAAATCAGTGATTAACAAATGGCTTAATAGTGATGCCATTCGGAAGAGATGAAGTAGACTGGCCAAATTGCCTAACCCCGTGGAATGTGCAGCCACGCACGATCGAACGATTTGTATGGATGGATACGTGAGGAGATAGAGCGTTAGCTTGTTGGGCATCGGTTGGTCCTGATTTGACCTCCACCGAGCCCTGCCGCCGCTTTCGCTTATCTTCCGATTTCGTGACCAGGACTCGCACTTACCCAAACTCCACCTCGTGCACTTGGAAAAATGAGGTGAGGAGGGTAGGTCGTGTTGCCCATTTGGTCAACGATGAAATCATTGTTCCACGTGATTTGCCAAGAGACTTGTATCTCTCTGTCTCTCTCCTTTTACTTTGTCTCGAATTGAATTTGAATAAACAAAGCTCGGTTCTTGACCCTTCTCCAAGCACCTCGAGCCTGCGTTTGTCCCCGACCTCTTCTATCAGATCGATCTCGATCTCATTTCGGATATCAACGAGATCTGTATTGGGTCTTGGAAGAAAAGAATTCATATTCCCCAAATGCTCTTTGATCATTGATATCGGGTCCACTCACCATTAGCCCCGTCAAAGCGGGTGGGTCGGGTTGAGACTGGGTCGGATCAAGAATAGTCCGACCCAAATAGATCATACCCGATCTGACCTATATTGCTAAAATATTTTCATATTTAATACAATATGGAAAAACTCGTATCTAAATAGAGACGAGAATGCGGAGTGAGCGAGCACGACATTGAACGGGAATTAGAGGGAATGAAGCGAAAAGTCATAAAAATGAGTTGGGTCTTAATAAATTCTTTTAAATCTATTTATGACCCATTTTCTAATTATAATTAACTTACATAACAACTCAACTCACCAAGTAAGGGTTAATAAGTGAGTTTACGACCTATTCTGATACGTCCACTCGCTATATATATTTTTTATGAAAATATTGTGGTAAAACGTTACTCCCATGCACCCACAAGTGGGGTCCAGGTTGGCCACGATCGACACGACGTGTCATCGTTGGTCAAATTGTCATGAGCACGGGGTCTTCGGGAGTCGTTGCACGATACAATGTATGTGGTCTCTATCCAAAGGGTCCGCCCGGACAGGAACTTGTTGGGCAGTGGCTGCCTAACTACGGCTTGACCCACCGCGGCAAGAAAGCTCCTGGGAATTTAACTTTGATAAGATGGTAAAAAGTTAATCGTTTTGCAGCAATTAGAGGGGTGAAAAGTGAAACCGCGGGTTGACTCTCGAGCGCGGTTTTACGTGTGATCGACGGGAGATAGATTTCTTCCTCCGCCATTCATGCTACTGCCTTTTGTTTTCTGTCCTTCGTAAAGGGCTCAAAAAAGGAGAGTAAAAAGGAAAAATCTTCATTTGGCAGCGTTGGGCGGCTGACTTTTAGTTCCTGGGTATGTGAAGTCGTCACGAGTTCTGTTCGTTCTCGTGGGTGAATCACGATACGTCGTCCTACTCGGCACACTGTTTGGGTGTATACCGTGAGTCGCATCAACCAACAGAAAGAACGTCGACTTTTAATCTATAATCTTTACTAGCTGAACGTGATTTACAATCCTCATTACCAAATCCTTTGCATTCCGTACCAAAAAAAACAACGACGCTCTTTTGTCGCTATCAACCGTAGTTCCTCGTACACATCAATAAAGTGGGTTGCCAAAGATGACCCGTAACAGTTTAATGATGGGATTGGACAGAATTTGTAAGGGGTGTCATTTTTCGTCCCCACGACTAAATAAGGGCTTCTCTTTTTTTTAGAGGTTTGAAATGTCGTTTTATTTTTTTTTTCCCAAAGTGAAAACTAGCAAAAGGTCGAGCTTTCTTTTTTTGGGGGTACTTCGGAAATGTTGGGATATTTTGTTCCATGTGCATAGGGGTGCCAATGGGTCGGGTCAGATCGGTTTTCATGATACTTGACCCGACCCTAAACCTATAGGGTGGCATTTGACCCGACCCGATTTGACCCGAGACCCTATTCATCATATACCCCCAAGAGATGGGTTGGGTCGGGTCTGTCTGGGTCGGGTTTGTCTGGGTTGGGTTTCGGGTTGGGAGAGGAGAGAGAGGGAGATGTTCTCTTTGCCGCTTGCGAAGTGCGGAGTCCCCCGCCCGGGGATCCGGTTGAGGGATGCTGACAGCGAGAGTGACCAGAAGGACCCGTCCTCAACGGCGGCGGCGATCGTCGTCGAGAGAGGCGTGCCGGAGAAAGGTGGGACAGCCGCCGCTAGCAGGTGGAGGGAGCCATCCATGGCGAGGGCGTAGCCGGGAGGCGCGGCGACAGGGTCCATATAGCAAGCGAGGGCAGGCATTCCCGCGGTCTCTTCTTTTCCGAGGGGAAGGAACAAGTAAAGAATCAAGAGCTTAGAGGAGCAATTGTTGCCGCTTTCGTTGTCGTCGTCTTTGTTCGATAAATTTGTGAAGGCGGGGGCTTTAAAACTTGCCGAGGCCAAGGCCGAGGCCCTAGCTACCCCCTCAAACGAAGCAATTAGAGATCGGAACCCTAGAGCACAGCGAAACACTCTCGCGCCTCAGCAGATCTGTAATAACTACGGCGGAGGCTCGGTAGGAAGGGGAGGAAGCGGACGGGTGGGCAGCAAATCTCCGGCTCGCCGGGACACGGTCGTGAGTGCAATGGCGGCGGCGATTTGGAGGTTTCACTCGCCGGAGCAAGATCTCACCATGCGCGGAACTAAGAGGCGCGAGCACAAAGAGGGAGAGGGAGAGATTTGGTTGCAGGTGGATCTTGAATGTGATATCAGGGGTAATGGTGTCAAAAAAGCCCACCTCGGCCTAGCTCAACCCAATCCTACCTTGACAATACTCATACCTTAAAACCCAACTCCAAAAAAACTAAGGCCTGACCCCAAAATACCCAAAATTTTAGGATAGGGTCCGGCCGGGCCAGTCTGGGTCGTGCCGGCGCGGGCTTTATTGACACCCCTACATGTGCATATAAACTTAAGTGCTATGATAATGTCCATGCTAATTTTTTTTTCTTTTTGCTTTTTTTCCTTTGTGGGCTTTGGCCCTTTTGGGACAAATCCACATAACCAAATCCATCTGCCAAAAGGTTATCTTGGGCCGGGCCGTTGGATATGGTCTCGGGCTCGTCAAAAGGTTGACTGCCCAGCCCGGTCCATATTCAGCATCCGGGGGTCGAGCCGGCGGCCACAGGGCGGTGACGAGACGTCCGCCGCCGCCGCCGCCCGATGGGATCGCCGGCGGCGATCACGTGCAGTCCACTGACGTACTAATTATTTGAAGTGATTTTTCCATGGCCATGTCTCTCTCTCTCTCCATGGACGTGTCGACCAATCGGCTGCAGCTTCAGATCTGCAACGAAGCTTTTCCTTTTTTTTTTTTTTTGGGGGTCGATAATTCAATTTTAAAAGATTCTCCAGCGACGTAATCATTTTAGAAGTTGACAGATTATCGAGAAACATACCGTTGCTGGCTGCCGCTGCTGGTCGCCTTCCTTCGTCAACCGGGAACTCTCCCTGCGAAACCCTAGCCGAGCTCGACGACGTTCTCGGCCCGCCCCTCCCTGCGATTTCTCGCATCCCGGCGATCGATTCCCGGTTCCGTTCGCGAGAGGGTTTTGGGAGGGATTTCCGGTGCAAGTATGAAAGAGGGTAAATCGGCTAAGCAGAATCAGCAGCAGCAGCAGCACCAGAAGGATCACCTGTCTCCGTTCAAGCTCGCGAAATTGTTGGATCCGGAGGCCTCGTGGGACAAGGTAATCCGAGCAACCTTGGTGCTTGAGGGTTCAATTACTCCCGGCACTTTTTTGGGTTTTGGGTTTGGCGTTACGCTCTCGGAGGAGCATGCGAGGTTTGGTTAATGTGGCTTTAGTTTGCTTACTCTTGCCGTTATAGATTGCTAGAGTGCTATGGATTCATCAGCTGAACTGCAATTGAAGTGGGATTGATTCGATTTTGAACGATTCTGATTGGGCCCCGAAGGTTGGGTTTTGTCGGCGCGATCGAGTCGTTGATGATCGTGTGCGTCCGTGGTTGTTGCAGGATCAGTTGGGAGATGTGCTGCATTGGATTCGGCAGGTGGTGGCGCTTGTGTGCGGATTGCTGTGGGGTGCGATACCTTTGGTTGGAGGCATATGGATTGTCCTGTGAGTTGATTGCTTTTCGCGTTCACGCACCTTTTCGACCTTTCACTGTTTCTGTGCTATAAAAGCTTGAAATTCTTGTAGAGGACTAGGCATCCTCGTAGATAAAAGAAGCAATGAAAAATAGAACCTGGATCCACAGCTCTCGAATAAAATTGAGCGCCTCAATTTGCCAAAGATATTATGTTAGGAGTTCCCTGAGCTAAAACCATGGAGATGCTACTGATGCTATTTTATCTTATAATATAGCAACTGTAATGGCAAATGTTGACCTTCTACAATACTAGGTTTTCTCCCTCCGAATCATTGCAAGTATTGGATAGAAATAACATGGCTATGAAGGCTTCCTCCATATCTTTGCCAGATGCTTTGAAGGTTATGGGCACTAAATATTGCAAATATTTGAGAAGGAAAAAACCCATCATGGTTTAGACATCTTTAGTTTCTTTTGGTACATCAGCAAGTGTGGAGCCTTTTTCCAACAAAGTGGGATGAGTGCGTTGATCTTCCCTAGCCATTACACTCTGGTTGAACTTTTGAAATAAGTTTATTCAAAATAAAACAAAACGGCAGAATGTTAGTAGGCACCCAAAATATGCATCCATTAGGAATTAGTAAGTCTCTCTCTTATTGAGGAGATGATTTTGTTTTGACATATCTGGGTTGCGCTTACATGCCGAGTCCTGACCAACCAATGTTGCGTTTGGTTGGAGAGAACTTTCTGAAATTACTGTTTTCATTTTCGTTTGAGAATGAAAAGTTAAGGTAAACATGTTTGGTGGCTTGTTTGAAAAAATTAATTTGAAAATACAGTAGTCCAATTTCTCTTGAAGGTGCTAGGTTTTTGGAAACAGCTGAAAGATGTTCCCAGTGCTTTCTTTCTATTTGAAAACAAGAAGGCCATCCAATTATAAGACCGAACTTTTGTCTCACTCTCACTGGAGCATTGTGGGGGTGAACTTTGTTCGTTGAACCTCTTTTTGGAGATGGATTGAAGATGGGCTATTGCATTCTGAACAATGGGAGTGGCTAAGAATAGACTCTGGCAGATGAAAAAAATGGAGAACGGGAGAAGAAATAGAATAGGAAGGAAAAAGAACAAATATTACTTACATGGATCATATTTGAAAAATTCATGGTAAGTAATATTTTGTAATTTGATTAATTTGAATTTATATATTAAATTGTTTTTAAAAAAGTCAATATATTGAAGTGGATTATTGACTTGTGAACTTCTACTGAAAATGTTAGAATAGAAAAATTCTACCAATAATAGCATAAAAAACATATTTGCATAATTTTATTTTTTCTTGAAAATTGTGTTTTCATGAATCAAATGTGCTTTCAAGGAACAAAAAAATGAAAACGAAAACTGAAAATGTTTTCCAAGACCAAACGGGCCCAATATTACATGTCAAAAAGTCGTTTCGTACTCTTCAAGATTATGAGATGGTTGACCTCAAGTTTCTACTTAAAGAGGTTAGATTGAAGAGGCATCGTGCATGGGCCACCCATGACTCATTCACTAGCCAACTTAGGCTTGGCTTAGGGGCTGCCCACATGCTATTCCAAGTAAATTGCTTTCCTAAGATGTAATTGGTTAGAGGTTGCATCTCTTAGACCTTGCTATTTGTATTAGTAGAGATATAGTAAGATGGCAAGGCAATCACGTGTAATGTATTTTTTAACTCTGAGTACTTAATTGGAAGCATCTTGATAAAGGGCTAAAGTTGCAAAACTAAGTCTTGATTTAAGAAAGATAATATAGATGATTAGGGTAAATTGTTGAGCCATCAATTTGCCTATCACCGCCGAACATTCCATATCGTTTATGAGTAAAGGAGTTCAGATGTTTGTCTAAGCAGTAGTCATCTACAAAGGAAAATTGTTTGCAGGTTAACAAAGTCAGGTAGCATGTTATACATTGAGATCATGGTCGTTAAAATCTGGTCATAGCATCTTACAGTGCTATGATCTTAATTAATTAGTCTTGTTAGCGGTTCCCATCCTAATAGATAAAGTCATAGGGTATTTACAATCCTTCCAATTTTTAGCAATTTAGTGTCAGTTGTTGATAACTTCAATTGAATTTCTTTTAGTTTTCTCTCATCTGTGATTTTTAGGGAAGAAGATCGAGTTGGCCTTGTCAACAACTTGATGCACCATCTTCCTCAAGAAACTTGTAATTCCATTAGAACGAAAAACCCTGTAGTAGGAAATGAGGAATTTTGAAAAATCAATACATAGAAAATTGTCAGAATGTTCAACCCAAAAGTTTAAACTTAAAACTAGAGGGAGATTTCATGAATATAAGGTCCACTGAAACACTATAGGCAATCAATGTGGGATACTTTAACACTCCCTCTCATGTGCAAGCTGAATTAAGAAAACACATGGAATTGACGAACGGGGGGCCGTATGTGCGAAATATACTGCGGTGGAACTTAGCTTTGTTACCATGTTAGAAAGTCCAACCTAAAAACTTACACTTATAGGTGGAGGTGTAAAGAGCATATAAATTCTGTAGATAACAGATGTAGGATGCTTCAATGAAAACCATCAAATTTGACCGAGCTGTTGAGGATTTTAGTCCTTAAAAAGTTTCACGAAGTTTGAAAATGAAGTCGATAATAGCTAAGAACAGACTGCACTTTTATCGTTACGAATTTGGATTCCAATAGTGTGGAAACGAGTTATGTTGCGAAGTCGATAGGTAAAAAATCATCGAATTTGCCTAACTATCTGAGAATTTCAAATATTGAAAAGTTTTTCAAAATTTAGAGATGAAGTTAATAGATGCAGACAATCTTCATATCCATTGGGATGAACTTGGATTTGAGAGTGGAAGCTCATATAGTTTGAAATGTGTTATGAAACCATTAGATTGGAAATTATCAAATTTCACATAACTTGCGAACCTCTTTGTAGTTCAGATACTAACACATTGTATATAATCGATGTCACAAAATGGTTTGTAATATATGCATTGTTTCTGACATTTGTAGGATGTAATGATCTTATCCTTAAGACACCCTTTGATATGAAGTTGGATCTTTATTTAACGACCTTAGACGGCATAGTTGCTTAAAATATGGAGTTTCTCGAGCCAATCATTCCAAGTGAAGAATGGGGCAGCAGTTAAAAGTGGACCTCCTTTGCTGTAGATGACTGTTGTCTTTTGTTCTCAGGGTGCACTAGTCTGATAGATTATGTCTGATGATTGGTTTTGGAGCATACTCTGGGCATTTTGTTGATATTCTCTTGTTTCTTTCTGGAAATAGTAATGTATCGAATTCTTGAATATTTAGGCTGCGCGGAAGACTTAAATGATTTGTTGCTTTGGTTTGGGGTGGATGCTTTGATGATACCTGGGTTATTCAAACTGTTAGTATTATCTAGTTTGATTGAAACTCCTGGAGAAGTTTTATAAACCAGACTCGTGCCCCTTTGTGGTTCCTCGACGTCTGTTGTGACAATCGCAGTTTGAGACTCTAATGAAAGCTAATAACATGAGTAGAAGTACCAGAGAAAGGAGAGCATGTAAGATTGTGTGCATAACTATGAACTTGATGACCCCATCTTAATCTGCTACCATATGGAATATGCCATCATCATGCTATATAAATGTATTTTGTGTCTCAAATTAAAAATTTTGTTTCGATACTAAGAGTATATCCTTCTGCAGGTTCCTGGCAATATCATCTGGCATAGTGTATGGCTATTATGCGATGATACTAAAGATTGATGAAGAGGAATATGGCGGTCACGGAGCTCTTCTTCAGGAGGGGCTATTTGCCTCCTTGACTCTCTTTCTGGTATATGTCTTTTCTGTGCAAAATGGAAGATGTTCTTCTCTTTTTCACCCTTTTCTTATTGCTTGTGGGGAGATACCAAGACTTTTGATTTTAAAGCTTCTTCTCTTTCGGCTCCTCGTCTTGTATTGATTAATATCGCATGCTAATCAGTGAACCTTTTCCATGAAGGAAAGAGAAACCTTGAAGTTGCATTACTTTCTAAACCAGAGAATTGCAGCGGGGTTCCTTGTTCTTTTCTACATTGCTTCTCTCTTTCCTCCCATACTTACAACTGTCTATTTTCTTTTTCAGCTTGCATGGATTCTAGTCTATAGCTTGGCTCATTTCTGATCAGATAGTATTGCGGGATGGCCTGTCCTTATGGGAACAAGTTAGATGGTTTTTGTGCCCACAAATTTCAGGGAGTTCGTGGGCAGTGCAACATTACCAATGGCGACAGTGAGAAGCTTCTTAGTTGCGATTATTTCCTTCTATTTTTTGAGCATGCAACAGTCAAATCTGGCAGAGCATCAATTTGCCGGATTTTGGCTCATAATCACCGGATGCTTTCGACGAATTCTTCCTCTTCTTTTTTGTCGTTTTCAACAAACATCTCAGGAAATGTAGCAATACACGATGCCCTCACGGACGATATCCGTGATGTTATTTTCGTCACTGAAATAAAGTTATACGGAAAAACAATAGTTGGCGACTTGTTTTCTTTGGTTTCCCCACTTGTGGACTCTCTTGTAATCTTTTCTATATCACTGTTTCCTCTGCTGCCATGTTGGCGAGCAAAATGCTGCTTCATGTGGCAGCTGAATGTTTTTAGCTTCATCTCTCGGCTTTGTTCCTCGGAGCTGACGACAGCTCACTGCAGAACTAGCTAATTGACATGTGGGAAATGTTTCAGTCCTCCTATGTTGCTTCTGTTGTAGTTAAATGGCCAAATCTCAGTTGACATATTTTTCCCCGATGACCAAGAACTGAAAATTCGAAAAATGAAAAAAATAAAAAATAAAAAAAGCCCCTGCTTTACAGGTCATCTCCTGAGCATGATCTATTCCGGAGGGGCTTATGTGGCCGAACTCAAGCTGGTCAACAGACATGAAAGCTTAAATTCATGTAGTTACGGTACAGTACTACAGGTACAACTTTCAAGAAAAGACTGGGCTTACAATGTCCAATTTCGTGGGTTATGTTAAGCTTCAGATATTCCATCTCTCTCCCCTGATTAAACTTCCACATCTGAGCCTTATCGAGGCATGATACGAGGCATTAATTATGGGTTCATCTACTTGTTTTGTTTCAAGGAGAAAGTGGTCAGAGGAAATTTACAAATTCACATAGGGGCAACGTAAAAAGTGAAGTACTAAAAAACAAAAAAAGAGAGAGCTGCGTCTGCCGGGAGTCGAACCCGGGTCTATTGCTTGGAAGGCAATTATCCTAACCGTTGGACTACAAACGCTAGTTGGTGGTAGTGTTGTTGTGTGGAAAAATATACTACTTTTTTGAATAATGTTTATCCCATTCGGCCGCAGACTATGTAGGACCAACCTGCGGTTTTGTCACTTGTTTTATTCGATCAACCTCGGTGGATGAAATTTACCCCCGAGAGTTAAAAGCACTGTTAAAGGAGACTCGAATGGAGCGGAGTTAGGGAGCACATTTCGCTTTGGAGTTCAGAGCGATTTCCCTTTTGAGGGTTAACAACGGAGTTGCCGTATACTTACAATGATGTGTCTATCGGGTATTGTAATCCCAATTATTCCGTACCCGATGGGTATTTACTAGAATTGAACATATCCATATCTATAGAGCGATTTCAAGGATGCGCACCAATGTAGTGTCCAAGGGTATTAAGTAAAATCATGAAGATGGAGGGAAAATTATCAAATCAGTCCAAAACCTATTGTACAGCGGTCAATTCAGTCCTAAACCTTTTAAGTTTGCTAATTCAGTCCTAAACCTTTTAAATTCTTGCCAATTGAGTCCTTCCGGCCAATTTTGGCCGGCCAACGCTGACGTGGCGGCCGTCCGGTCAACGTTGACGTGGCAATTTTTAATTATTTTTTTTCAATTTTTTAATCTTTTTTTTTTCTGCTTTCTCCCCTCCGGCCGGTCCGGCGACCGGCGGCCGGCCAGAGGGGAGGGCCGGCGAGGCCTCTGGCGAAGCTCGCCTCGCCGGCCCCTGGCTGGGCAAGGCGAGGCGAGGCGAGGCAAGGCAAGGTCGAGCCTCGCCATTGCAACCCAGGCGACGGCGAGGCTCGACCTCGCCTCGCCCAGCCAGGGGCCGGCGAGGCTTGCCCTCGCCGATGGCCGGCGGGGCGAGCTTCGCCAAAGGCCTCGCCGGCCCTCCCCTCTGGCCGGCCGCCGGTCGCCGGACCGGCCGGAGGGGAGAAAGCAGAAAAAAAAAATTAAAAAATTGAAAAAAAATAATTAAAAATTGCCACGTCAGCGTTGACCGGACGGCCGGTGCCTTGACAATGGCCCACGTCAGCGCCGGCCCGCCAAAATTAGCCGGAAGGACTCAATTGGCAAGAATTTAAAAGGTTTAGGACTGAATTGGCAAACTTAAAAGGTTTAGGACTGAATTGGCCGCCGTACAATAGGTTTAGGACTGATTTGACAATTTCCCCTGAAGAATGGAGGTGCTTAGGAGAGAGGGACGGAGGAGATTCCAAATGAGGATGGTCATCACTTTGTCGTCCTCTTTTACTTAACATCACTTGCGCAGCTTCTTATGAATTAATCAGCATGTCACTCCTTTTGATTACGACTTCAATGGGCCTCAATACTTCAACAAATGTCGCCCATTTCGTTGTCTTGCCAAACAAGATCTTTGCATGCACACATGCGTTTGTCCGTAAGCTAATGCGAAGAACTAGTCGTGCCGATTCATCCCTCCTATTCCTCTGTCAAAATGAATAGAGAAAGCAGCTGACATAAGGAGCGGGGGTAGTCTTTTCATTATTGATGGCGTACATGTCTTCTGATTCGTCACTACATCTATCTTTTTTCTGTACTTGGTGAGTTTTTGTAGATGCATCCGCCAAATGGAGAGCATGGAATGTTTGTCAATGAGCAGGATTATACTATTCGCATTTCGCTTTCATGACGAGAAAAGTTTGCTATGGATTCATTTATTAATGAACGTTTCGCTATTTTCGTAATCGACTTCGACGGCAGTATTTGCAAATGAGGGCTTAGCGGATGGGTTTTGTAGTAAATTAGGCGTGCTCAAGTTTGGTTATGATATCTCTGGTTCATATGCGATAGATCTTGGTCATTGCAAATAGACCCCGAACTCGTGCTCTGAAGTTCTCAAGAAGTTTCTCAAAACCCGTCACAGATTGGGAGATGGAATTCCAAACCGTCCGAGATCTTAGGCTCGAAACGGTGGATTTCGAAAAGAAGAGTACGATTATGCACGATTAATTTTGTGTTTTAGGATTTACAAATTGCGCAAGGAACCTTTAGTATCTTAAAAGGAGTTGGGGGGGTGGTTTTGTGAATGGCTCATTAGATTAGGCTGTGAGTAATACGGCACGCACATTCTAAACTTGTCACGGTTCCTGTCGAAAGATCCTTTAGGATCTGGACGAGATGGAAATTCTACTTTTAGTCCTCGACTTTGAAATTTTTTTCTAATCCTTGAATTGTTAATCCGATCTGATGAATCTTTGAACTTGCGTAAGTTTAACTCCAAATTCGATTAATTAATCGAGGCGTGTTTGTTGGAGTCGACAAGAGTGGGATGAGGAAAGCTCAATCCTCAATGCTTATATTTTTGAAATCATGTTGCTCAAGGTCCGATTACGGTTTTCATCGTCGGGATCTGTCGCCATGCACGTTATCTGGTAATCCGCAGTGGCAGGAAGTTTTTCTCATGCTGGACTAGACGCTCGTCGGATTCGACAAACATGCAGTTTCAATTGATCGGATTGGGAGCCGAAAGGCATCAGCTGCAAACGTTATGAAGATCGATTGATTTGATTAGACAAATTAAAAAGGACTTGATTGAACAATATGCGCAAACCCAGGGGGTGAAAGTTGAAAAACTTTGCCGCGTATTCTTCTATCCGCGCGGCCAACGACATACATCAAACCGTTGCACGCCACACCAGGCAACGTCACCAACAATAGACCAAGCAAAGAACCAATATAAAACGGAAACCTCTGCGTTTTCGCGAAAGAAATCGTGCGAGATCAGACATGGAATATGAACTGTAAGACAGGAGGAACAACGGATCACGAGATCCTCGTCCCAAGCACAAAACCAATCACCCACGTCACCTGATTTTGCAAGAACTCATTTGTTTTTTTTCTTGTTCCCTTTAGATCGATCACATCCGTATCGCGTTGTTTTTTTGTTTTTGATGACCCGGGAACCGCCGTACAGCCGACAGCCGGCGACGTAAACCCGGGGTGACGCTAGCGCGTTGTTTAGCTGCTGAAGAAACGAAAGAAGAGAAGTTTCCCTCCAACCCAATACAAACAAGAACGTAATCTCCCCTCTTTTGATGATTCCTGTTCGACCCAGTTGCCATCGAGATTGAATTTCGTCCCGCAAATCCCAATGTCGATGGCAAGCTAACGCAGTTTCGATAAAAAGAAAGAAGAAGTCGCAATGAAGGGCAAGAATTCTTCGCCGGAGGTACAGATCAAGGTGCGCGGGCAGCGCGGGGACGGCAGGGCGGCAGCAAGGGCGGAGGACCAAGTGTTCAGCGAGGTCAGGTACAGACGATGGGTGCCGTGGCTGGTCCCGTCGTTCGTGGCGGTCAACGTGGTGATGTTCGTGGTGACCATGTACGTGAACGATTGTCCCAAGAAATCCGGCTTTTGCATCGCCAGGTTTCTGGGGAGGTTCTCTTTTCAAACGCTCAAGGAGAATCCTCTGCTTGGGCCTTCATCAGATACGTGAGTCTTCCTTCTCTCTCTCTCTCTGTTCTTTCTCTGTTTCTGTATCATTTCTAGCATGTATATGGGATTAATGCATGGCATGGTGGGTGGAATGCAATGTTTAGATGTGTCTGCAGGTGAATAGGACATGGACTTATGGATGCTGGATAGGGTTTTTTAGAATGATCCTTGTAGTTGTTGACTGGTGTGAGTTTGTGCTCCGTTGGTGTTTAGTTTACTTGATCCTATGGGTATGGAAATCTAAGCTGTGAAAAGGGAGAGATCTATATCCAGAGTTCAAAGGCATTGTGATTCAAGATGCATAATGGTAAATGCGGAAGCGCTCATGATGTCAATTGTTAGCGGAGAGAGGAGTCGGAGATGCACTAACTTTTCTGCTAAAATAAGGCTCATACTATAGTTAATGTTCTGTATGCATTGCCACGTACTTGTTCCAAATTAGGGTTCAGAAGGCAGAAGGTGGATGGGCAGTAATGGAACCGCAAGATCTGGAGTGGATTGTACCAAAAGGTGGTTGGATAATAGAAATCTTGTGTAGTAACCGGAAATCTCTTAATTTGAATTGGAACTAAGTAGTTGAGTTCAATTTAACCACCTTGTTCGTGTATGATCTAATTTGAAGGCCATTAGACAAACTTAAACCCCCAAAAAAGGGGAAAAGAAGCAGCAAGACAGAGAAAGGATGAGACTTACAAATGTTTCTGAACATGATAGTGCTGGGCATAGCATTTCTTGCAGTCCTTACCAAGACACGTCTAAACAAGAGAAGATGTTGTCAGATTAATTCTGAATGATTGACTCTATTGAGAGTTATTTCTGAGCTGTTTCGCATGTGTTAGATCGTGATCTAATGTTAATCTCTAAAATAGAACTCCTAACTCTTATTGGTGGAGATTTACGTTATGTGTTCAGCCCATCTTGACATGCAATTTGGCGTGCCATATGGCAGAGTTATGGTTTAGGGAAATTTTTCATACAACAAAATTATGTCATCTGCTGTTTTCCTGTTCAGGTTATACAAGATGGGCGCATTAGAAGTTGCTGACGTGGTTCAGAATCACCAGGCTTGGCGCCTATTTACCTGCATATGGTTGCATGCTGGGGTTTTCCATGTGCTGGCAAATATGTTGAGTCTAGTTTTCATAGGGATCCGACTTGAACAGGAATTTGGTTTTGGTATGCATCAATTTTCTTTACTGTAGCAGATGATTTTACGGCAACTTCATAATGCATCGTCACCTTTACCTTGAAAGCCTCTACCTGTTTGAGATTCTGACACAAACCCAATCGGATAGGCTCCCACTGATGCTTCCATCAAAATATTAAGTTCTTGTTATTGTGAAGTATTGTAGCTTTGCAGAAATTAACTTCTAGTTTCTCTTCCAACTTTTCAGTTCGAATCGGGCTACTGTATGTTATATCTGGCTTTGGTGGGAGTTTGTTATCAGCCCTGTTCATTCAATCTAGTATCTCGGTTGGTGCATCGGGTGCCCTTTTTGGTTTGCTAGGGAGCATGCTCTCCGAACTCATTACAAACTGGACAATATACGCGAACAAGGTACACATAAACAACTGAACATGGCCTTTATTAAAACCTTCAGCCTTTAGAAATTCTTTGACCGTGCCTCTTGACCATCTAGATCATTTTGTCTGTATGTGCAGTTAGCAGCATTGTTAACTCTCATCGTCATCATTATAATAAATCTCGCAATGGGTATTCTGCCTCATGTGGACAACTTTGCTCATATTGGGGGATTTCTTTCTGGTTTTCTTCTTGGCTTCGTGTTTCTAATTCGGCCCCAGTTCGGGTGGGTTAGCCAAAGAAATGCTCTTCCTGGATATCCAACCGCTTCGCTTAAACCAAAGCACACGATGTATCAGTATGTGCTATGGGTGGTTTCTGTGATTCTACTGATCTCATGGTAAGTTTGTTATGTTTCGATCATTCTAAGCTTCTGTTACATTTGATAATCTCCTTCTACAGATCTGAGGAATGTAGGATTATGAATATGAGCATTAGGGGCATATTGTCTTGACAGGTTTACGGTTGGCCTGGTGATGCTCTTCCGTGGAGTTAATGCAAATAAATACTGCTCGTGGTGTCATTATATGAGCTGCTTCCCCACCTCAAAATGGAGCTGCAAATCGCAACTAGTATCCTGCATGGTAACTGATGCTGCTATTGTGCACTTTATATCAACTGGGCCGATTGCCACCATCTACATATTTCTCTAGTATTATCTACTGTAGCAGAAGTGATTTCCTCATTTGACAGTCAAAAACTAGAAAGGAAAAATAAAATTTGGCGTGGGCCTGCTTGCTATGGGCAAATTAAAGTGAAGCCGTGACAAGGAAAACATGCCTGTATAGTCAGCATCAAATTGATACTATAAGTGTATACATTTTGGTTTCGTGGAAGATACTTCTTTAGAAGTCCATGATAGTCGGACCTTACTAAAAAAGATCTCTAGTTTCATGATAGTAATAAGGGCCATCTGTGAGAAACTGAGTAGTCAGCATGGCCTTAGCCGTTTATTTAGCTGCAAGGTGTGACCCTAGAGCTTAGAGGGAGAGTTCTGCAATTTTAGGAATTTTTCGAATGATAAAGCTGTGGAATTCCTCATTTTTCTTGTGTAATGCCGGTCTTCTTAACTTATAAATGTGACTTTTGCAGATGAACCAAACTGGGAATGTGCTTGACTTGACATGCCTAAGCAACGGGAAAAGCAACGTTTATGTATTGTCGGACGATGATCCTTCCGTGATCCAGCATTTATGTACGCAGTTATGCAGTTAATACTGACTCACAAGAACAGGTATAGGAGCTTTGCATAAGCAATATTTCTTGCTGTACATAATTCGAATCCGCATTGGCAGAGAACATTGTCTCGCATCCCTTCAAAAAGAATTAGGAAAAAAAAAAAAAGAGCCAATGCACTAGAACTGATTATGACTTAGCTCAGAGCCATTTTATTAGCTCAATCCACCAGCAAATTAGTACTCGAACGTCAGTCTTATGAGGTGAACTGGATGAATGAATCACGTTCTTGCTTTGACATATGACGAGGAAAAGTCGAAAACGCAATGTGACACAAGTGGACTCTTAGGAATCCCAGTGGAATCCTAAAGTATCAGATGCTGTTGAGAAACCGAAACGATATCTATGCATCGCATGCTCATGAAATGTACTTGTCACTATTGACAAACAGCACCGCTCCGCAGAAGGTAAAATTCACCAGCGCAGTTGCACACAAGAAGCAGTTTTAGCTAACTAGAGGATGCTCCATTTACTCTGTTCTTGCACGGAAGTGAAGATAGGACAGAGTGTGATTTGCCCTTGGGTAGTGCAAGACCTGTTCATATCAATAGTCACTTTTGAGCTAGTCATATATATGGTGCTGCTGTTAAATCTTTCTGGTTTTGACAGTTCACTCAGTGTAAGTCTTTTGCACACTATAGTGCCTATATTTTGTTTGACGAACATGTAATAATTTGGAGGTACTGCAGAAAGAGTCGATATCGCGGCTGTTGAATCAATGAATATATTCAATAGGAGAGCTCGTCCGGAGAAGTAGTACAACAAATTGGAGATGAACCCTGTCAGCTAAAGCTCCCGCTTCTCTCCCTTTAGTTTCAGAAAGAAGATAAGGCAAAGAATACTGCTATCAATGCCTTACATCTTGACGTTTTAGTCAAAAAATAATGTTAGATACACTACTCATCTATCAGATTTATTTATTAAGCGATACGGCAGATTTTTGTCGGGTGTCCGAATGGTTCCGCTAGTTTAAATAATCACTTATGAAGTGTCACATAATCTAGTAGACACAAAGTCATTGGCAAGATCACAAAGTCCATATAGATCAGAAACTCAATTAGTCCTTCAACAGATCATATTACCCTCTGGTTCAGTAGGTGACGCTAATCCAAGAAGCACATGTTCCGAGCCAACCAGAGCTTGCAATTCAAAGCTGAAGTTACTTTCAACTCGAGTCCTTCGCAATCTTCACATCAGTATTTAACTGCATTGTCGTGAGCTCTCCAAACGATAAGTGAAAACTAGCATACCATGCAAGCTTCAATAGCTGCTTTTGAAAGAGTGAGTAGTTATAATTCTCAAATCAAATATGAACGAAGCCATTTGTGTATAATTTTCTTTACACCGACGACGTATGCCTTATTTTTTCTTTCTTTCTACTCTTGTTCTCCGTGGCCAAAAGAGTTTCTTGAATTGAGAGGTTCCCATTAGGAGTAAGGCAAGAGATCTGGTGGGGGAAGATACCCTTTGGAGTGTCGATGATGGGGAAAGGAAAAGAATGTCTAAAAATGATATGATTCCATTTTTGCTTTAGCTTGCTTGAGAAACCAAACAAATCCTACAAAAGATGGGATTGCGTAAAGATGGGGGGAGACCATGTTTTTGCAGGCATGCAAGCCGCATAGTGCTTCATCAATACAGTTCTTTGCATGTTTTTGGGACAATCTGGTTATGGTCCCGACATCATCCAACTTCACTCTAATGACCGGGTCATCATCCATCATTCCATACTTGCCAACTCTAAGTCATCCTCATTGAAAAAATTCCGACCTCTAAGTCGGAAGATAGAGGGAGACCATACGTATGTAAAACTTATATAAGCTCCTTACACGAGCGACGCGAGAGATACTTTTACAAAGACCGTCCAAGCGAAACGATAAGTTACTGTACTCAAACCCTGAAAGAGCTTCCACCAATAATGTGAGACTTTCACATATGCACATTTGAATTCTATTAACATAATGATCGTTAATGCCTTTAAGTTTCAAATGCTCAGACTGTTGGTCATCTAATGTCGTATGCCGTGTGTTGGAAACTATACTTTCGCCGACGGCTGACGTCGAAGTTATGTGGATTGAGGTTCAAACTTCGAAGGGTAGTTAACGAACATGATAATTAAGCTCGTAATGATGCTTAGTTAGTCCTAATTACACGCCAAATAATTCATTATCCTTATAAAATACCCCCAATATCTTCTACCCAAACCTCATACTTTAATCTTGTCCCCCCCACAAAAATCATCTTTTCATCACTTTTAATTGGAATTTCAATTTTGATGTCTTAATGAAGTATGCCAATCGAGTTCAATGTTAGCAAGTATGGCCCATGTTAACTAACAAAACCGTCTGTCGGTTATGCCAGTGCTAGGCCCAGTCGACATCGGAATCCTGAGTGGCCCATACGTTTTAGATTTTTTTCTTTAATGTTTTGATCTTCGAATGCTAGTTACGTCACTTGATGTCGCGTCTAACTCCATTTCTTGCCATTCGGTTTATATGTTATACACTCCGAAAAAAGCTAGGAGATTAATGTGCATTCATTCGCGACGCATTATCAAGAGATTTTTCAAATCAAACTTCATTCGTGACGACGATCATAGAATATCGCACGGCGTTTGTCGCGATATTGGTTTAATCCATAAGTAAAATTGCATTTTTATGCCAACCGTAATAACTAGCGTTCTTATGGATGAAATAGTTGTGTCTTTTACTCGAAAAAAGCGGGATTTACTAGTCCGAATTAGCAAACGCCTCTTTTCCTGAAAGCTTGTTTTCGGTATAAAAATCATTTCAAATTGAGTGATTTGACTTATGTTACATATCCACAAATATGGACACGTAAAAAGTACGAAAAAACATATGGGATCATATTTTTGATTCATGTGATTTTTGGCTTGTTAAGACAATCAAATTGAATTAATAAATTTTTCCTTTCCCCCCCTTCCAATAGCCTGCCCAGCCTATTATGCACCCTTATCATTAGTTGATTTTGGCAAAAAATTACCCACTCGGTACTATATATATTGTATGGATGCCAATTTAGTTTTAAACTTTTCAATCTTGCCAATTTAGTTCTAAACATTTATGCGAAATTCTTCCGATCAATTTTCGCCAAAAAAACGGGAGTATAAGAATAGTCCTCCCGATCTTACGATGCCTTTACAAATCGAATACCAATCCCCAACTGTGATATTTTCGGTACTCAAAAACCCTAATCATATCGCAACCATTTTTGCTCTTCTAAGCTGTTCTATCCCTATACGTCCGTGTTCGCTATTTGGAGCCCGACAAAGAAAACTAGACTAAACTAAACTACCCGACTTTTGACCCTAAAAAGAAAAAAAACTGCCCAATGAGAAACTAGTAGAATCGATGTCAAGAAAATTTTCGAAAAAGTCCTAGATCTATTGCATTTTTTCTCAATTCAGTCATAAATTTTTCAATTTGACCACTTTAATCGAGAAAAAATAATGCATTAGATGATTAAGAAACCCTTTCCGGAGATGAAATCCACAGGAAATTGACCTAAGAATGATGGTGAGCCTCACAAAGTCAAAGAACACACGGGCTTGATTGAACTTAATCTCGCTTCATAAGGCTGCATAATGATGTAAGAACTGGATGATGTTCTTCACATGACTAGGGGCAGGCATGATCATGTTTCTTTGGATGGTCAGCAAATCGTACAAAATTCATGAACGTCGATAAGTGATCATGTTAGGAGCTTGATTATTGACTAAAAACTCTAGCCACTCTAAACTTGCAACTAGAGGTGGCCACGGTTCGGAACCGACCGGTTCCGGTTCGGAACCGGCGGTTTCGGTTCGTGGCCAAGTGTGAACCGGAACCGGAACCGCCTCTGGCGGTTCCGGTTCCGGGCCGGTTCCGATTTTTTTTTTCTGTTTTTTTTCTTTTCCTTTTCCTTTTCTTTTTTTTTTCTTCCTCCGCGGCCGGCCATAGCCGGGGCCGGCGCGGAGGTCGCCGCCTCAGGCGAGGCGGCCCTCGCCGGCGTCGGGCGAGGCCGGCCTCAGCGAGGCGGCCCTCGCCGGCGTCGGCGAGGCCGGCCTCGCCTCGCCCAGCGAGGGCCGGCCCTGCGAGGGCCGGCCTCGCCCGACGCCGGCGAGGTCGAGCCTCGCCTAGGCTTGTGCGAGGCCGAGCCTCGCCGGCGTTGGCGAGGCCGGCCTCGCCCCACCAGCGAGGGCCGCCTCGCCCGACGCCGGCGAGGCCCCCTCGCCCGACGCCGGCGAGGGCCCCTCGCCGACGCCGGCGAGGGCCCCCTCGCCCGACGCCGGCGACCTCCGCGCCGGCCCCGGCCATGGCCGGCCGCGGAGGCCATGGCTGCTCTGCGCAAAGATGGCTTGCAATGCAGCCGCTTGATGCGAAGCCCCTCGCACCTGCAGGCTCGCAGCTTTTTTTTTTTTTTTTTTTTTTTTTTTTTGCACCGGCCCGAACCGGCGGTTCCGGCCGTTTCAAATTTTTTCGGAACCGGAACCGGGCCCGTATGCCACGGGCCGGTTCCGGTTCCGAACCGCGGGCCCGGTCAACGGGCCGGGCCCGGGTTTGACCGGGCCGGTTCCGGTCCGGTTCCGGGCCAAAACCGGCCCGTGGCCACCTCTACTTGCAACCCATGACGAAATGTTCATGCAAGCGACCCGTGGTGCGCACGCGCGAAAGTGTCATGAAAAGATGTCTCGTATTGGGGATGCGGTGCAAAGCAAATCAATTAATATATCTTAATTGACCCCCATTATTCAATGGCTTAAATATTTTTAAATGAATACGGGTCAAATTGGGATGTCATTCGTAAGTTTACTTTGAGCTCTTCCTCCGCAATCTCCTCGTATCAAGGTATTGAATTTGGGCCCGTTTGATTCAGCTTTTCAAATGCAACTTGAGGGAATGCAAATACCTTTAGGTAAAAGCCACTTGGGAAAATGCAAGTGGTGTTTGGTAAAAAAAATTTTGTGAAGCTACTTTGGCCTAAGTAGTGTTTGGTAAAAAAAATTTTGCAAAGGGCTTTGGCAATTTTTATTTTTAATATTCCGGTTTTGCCCGTATTACTGTTCATCTTCTTCACGACGAGGGTGGCCGGCGAAGGGCCGGCGAGGGCGGATCTGGCCGGCGAAGGGCCGACGAGGTCGCCTGACCCAGGCGACGGCCGCTTGGGGTCGGGCGACCGCCCAGGCGCCGTCGCCTGGGTCGGCGGTCGCCTAGAGTCGCGCGACCCAAGCAGCCTCCTAGGTCAGGCGACCTCGCCGGCCCTTTGCCGGCTAGCCTCGCCAGCCACCCTCACGGTGAAGAAGATGAACAGTAACAGGGCAAAACTGGAAAATTGAAATTTGAGTGAGGGCAATTTGGGAAGGGAAAAATAGGCTTCAGCATTTGTAGAATGTTGAAAGCCCAAAGCTGGTCCGGACCAGCTTTGGGCTTTCGGCATTCCAAATGCTGGCTTTCGGCTTTTCGGACTCGGAAAGCCGAACCAAACGGTTCAGCATTTTGGGAAGGGGCTTTCGGCCTCGAAAGCCCCTTCCCAAAGCTGAACCAAACGGGGCCTTTATGCTCCGTCTTCCAACGCGGACTCTTTTGTCTTCCCATCCTTTTCTTTCTTTGCACCCCACTTTATCTTTTCCTTATCGGACGAATCCGCCGAACTAAATAAAGCCTAAAAAATTACCAAAAAAGTCATAAACCTTTTGCAATTGTGCCAATTCAGTCCTAAACCTTTTTTTTTTCCAATTCAGTTTTAAACCTTTTGCAATTGTGCTAATTCAGTTCATCCGGCCACTTTTTGCCGGCCGGCACTGATGTGGACGCCGGCCGGCTGACGTGGCAATATTTTAATATTTTTTTTATTTTTTTTTCTCTTTCTTTTTTTTTTCCCCTATCTTCTTCCCCGGTCACCGGTCCATCAACCGGCGAGTTCCGCCTCACTGGCCATGGGCGAGGCTGGCCCTCGCCATGGCCAGGGCGAGGTCGAGTCTGGTGACGGCGAGGTCTCGCCAGATCTGGGCGAGGCCTTGCCGTCGCCAGGCGAGGTTGGCCATGGCAAGGTCGAGCTCGCCCGACGACGGCGATGCTGCCCCGATCTGGGCGAGGCCTCGCCGTCGCCGGGTGAGGTCGAGCTTGCCCGGCGACGGCGAGCTCGACCTCACCATGGCAGACCTCGCCCGGCGAGGGCGAGGCTCGCCCTCGCCAGTGCCAGCGAGGTGGAACTCGCCGGCCTCAGCCTCTCTCCGGTCGCCAGTTGCCGGACTGGCGACCGGGGAAGAAGATAGGGAAAAAAAAAAGAGAAAAAAATAAAAATAAAAATTCGAAAAATAAAAAAATTTATTAAAATATTGCCACGTCAGCCGCCCGGCGTCCACGTCAGCGCCGGCTGGCCAAAAGTGGCCGGATGGACTGAATTGGCACAATTGTAAAAGGTTTAGGACTGAATTGGCAAAAAAAAAAGATTTAGAACTGAATTGACACAATTACAAAAGGTTTAGGACTTTTTTGATAATTTTCCCCTTTATTAGCAGCGGCGAAAATCTAAAAAAAAAAAATCCTTCACCTAATTGAGAATTGGAATAGAGGACTAAGGGGATGTATTTTTCCTATTTAACCTCCCTTTTCGTTTGTAAAATTTCTTTGCTCTCTATTGCATAGATCCATCTTTAGTTCTCTTATCTTGTTCACTGTTTATGACAAATCACGTTCAAAGTCAAACTTTCACTTATCCAAGCTTGACCAACTCTTCTTTTTTTGAACACTTTTAAGTAAAGTTTGACCATATTCGCAATTAGTCATTCAAAAGTTCTTATCCCATTATTCTCATTCAAAAATTCACAATTCAGTTTGGTTGTGCTGCCTTTTTTGCCAACTTTGTTAAAGTTAGTTTTATTTTTTGTTGACAAATTAAGGGAATCCCTCTTCAAGTCTTCCCAGCTCACTATGGGCATTTTGTATCAAACAATTAACTAAAGTATTATAAATCAAGGGAATCTCGAGCACCGCCTTTATGGGCCCGAGTTTGGGTGCCGGAGCATCGGGTATGGGCACTAGGAGTTCGGGCCCAGCCTCGATGGACCAGTTGTAGGCGCCGGGGACCCAAGCTAGGTCCCAAGCTAGGCCTCGATGGATTTGGGCCCGACTGCTAGAGACCTAGTCGTGAAGACTGGGAACTGGGAACCAACGTTGGGATTTTCATGCCCAAGCGTAGAGTTATGGATTTAAGTGCCGATACATAATCATATTTTGAAAAACGTTTTTCGATTCTTTCAAAGACGAAATAATTTTCCTAAATTTAAGTTTTGGTAAAGAAATATTTTCTGTCGACTCATTTTCCTAAGCGAACCAAATGCCGGGAAATAAATAAAATGTTTTACACGAAACAAATGAACCTTAGTGCAAAATTGATTTTCGAGAGCATTTGTTTTTTATTGAAAAGTTTATAAAAAAGAAAAATATTTTTCATGAAAATCATTTTCATGAAACGTGATTAGTTTTCATTTGTTTGACAGTTTAGGAAAAGTAATTTCTTTCTTATCAGAAAGGGAAATCGTTTTCCACAATCAAAGTTTATTGCTTTCAGTCCAAGGAAAACATTTTTCATATATCAATTAGTTTTTCGTCATTTAAACCCCCGGAAACTCGGAAAATAATTTTTTGGAAACAATTTTCTTTCAAACAAACCGACCCTTAATTTGCAATTCTTCGAATATCACTCACAACACTAATTTAGCCATCCTCATCTACCCAGCTGATATCAAGGTTATTTTACATTGTAATTGTTTAAAATTTATTTCTTGTGATTACATAAATCTTGTGTTTTTCTTTTCACTACCGACTGGACTTTATTGGAGGCAAATCAATACAGAGTCTTAAGGAGGAAAATACCTCAGATCATTGTTTGACAAAAAAAATTTATGGTGGTGGGCAATAACCCAATTAGCAACTTCATTAGCAACCTAATTAATTACTAATCCAAGATGCTACACTTTAACTCATAAACCAACATATGATCATGTGATGATAGATTGGACCAACCATATACGCACAGAAAAAAACCCAATGGACCCAAAATGTCACTAAACCGCATCAAAGCACCGTTCACGCCTCAACTTCGGATTGAAGCAAAAGCCAACTCTGTACTTGCACTTAGAATCATCACTTTGTGCATCTCCTTTTTTTGGTGCCCTTTTCATAGGTAGAAATGCTTTTTTGCTTGAAATACTTTTGGTCGTGATTGGCCGGAGCATAGGATACGGTTGAAGGTCGGGTGTACTCATATGTTGCCCCGGCTCAACTCTCGTTGACCACCGTTGCCCAAACCTACCTGTGTTGCCTTTGGACTCATCGAATTTGGGATGACCTGAGTAAACTCAAAGAGCCGTCGGGTCTACTAAGCCCGACCCTCGTTAACCACCCTCACCCAAGCCAACCCAAATTGCCTCAGGACTGATCGAGCTTGGGATGTCCTGAGTAAGGTCAAAGGGCTGTAAGGCTTACGATCAAAAGAGCGCACATCTAATTTGTAGTTCCAAGACTATATGTATACTATCATGCACCATTCAATTTCTTCTTTTATATTTTTTTTCCATAATACACACTTCAATTTTTCATAACCTACCTCTATATCTAATACTCTTAACCTACTCCTTATCTTGCACTTGAAGAAAGATTTTATAGATAAAAGCTAACACGTACTTAGCTTTTATCTTGGGATAAAACCGTGGTCGGGGAGCAAAAGTGATTCAAAATCGCTAGCTTTTTAATTCGTAATTACCTGCGTAGCAACCTTAAAAGATGATCGAGAAAAAGGAGTTAACACTTTTACCAACCGAAAGCTCTGAAAAATCGCATTGTATTCCGTTCACAAGAATTGACACTTTAAGGAGTTCCATGTGCAGCTCATATGGTACGATGAGCCAAGTAGGGTGGGCCAAAAATCTTGGAGGAAATTGCACCGCCCCTGTTTTTTCGTCTTTATAAGCAGGGCTAGTTGAAGTCTCCTCGTCGCCCCACACACACACACACTCTCTCTCTCTCTCTCTCCCCAAGTCCAGCTTCATTAGCATCCTAGAGCAGAGACAATGGCTTCAGCGAGTGTGATGGCTCTGGCTGTTGCACTTCTCAGTATCACCCTGTCCACAACATGGATGGTTGAAGCAAGAATACCAGGCATCTACACCGAAGGGCCGTGGCAGAGCGCTCACGCCACCTTCTACGGCGGCGCCGACGCCTCCGGCACCATGGGTACTTCTTCATTTTCTGCTCTCCCAACACTTCTACTCTCGTGCCTTCGAAATATGCACCTAGTTTGGTCTTGTTCCCCTGTTTTCAACCATTAGTTCCCAAAATTACCTCTCACACAACTAGCAGAGCCCACCTCCCACAATTCCAACCTTCAAAAGAGAAATATGAATTAGCCAATCTCGTGGAGGAAATGTTTAAACGGTTGTAGCTAATTAACTGACTGTCGCTTTCATCAAGTAAAGAATGAATTGACCAAGGAACTTGCCAACAGTATAGATTCTAGGAACTTCAGTCAGTGGTCATCACATTGTGTGATGACCCTCATCCAAATCCTACTTTGCGTTCGAATCTTTTCATTTACCATCGAATCTCCTCACTGATGCCCGTGAAATCAACGAAAACTTCACAAACTGCAGAGTCACAGAGTCAGCAGTCTCATAGACCCATCAAAATGGAATCTGATACTTGTCCTGATGTTCTCCTTTACGACTTCATAGGTGGAGCCTGTGGCTACGGCAACCTCTACAGCCAGGGCTATGGCGTGAACACGGCCGCGCTGAGCACCGCACTGTTCAACAACGGGTTCAGCTGCGGCGCGTGCTTCGAGATTAAGTGCGCCAACGACCCACAGTGGTGCCACTCGGGCAGCGCTTCCATATTCGTCACGGCCACCAACTTCTGCCCCCCGAACTATGCGCTCCCCAACGACAATGGCGGGTGGTGCAACCCTCCCCGCCCCCACTTTGACCTCGCCATGCCCATGTTCCTCAAGATCGCTGAGTACCGCGCCGGGATCGTCCCCGTCGCGTACCGCAGGTAAAGGGACCATTTTGAATATGATTTCCCCCCTTCTTCACGACTCTTCGCCAACATTAGTTCATGGCTCGAATGTTTGAACATGCACAACCTCGTTTTCCATTTTATCGCTGTAGATGGTCTTGGGAACAGTGACAGAGGTGATGTGTGCAAGAACTGTCACTGTTTAAGACAGAAATTGAGCATTGAATAGGATAGACTTTAGCTACTAAACAGAGCAATTGGAGGTTAGATTCCATTTGTGGGCCTTCCTCCTTTATTCCGTTTTCTTGTCAGATCATGGGGAGGAATTTCTATGTTTCCACACTTTAGTGTTCGCCAACATGCATCCAACGTTGCATTGCGGCTTTTAGTAACGGTCAGTTATAACTGTCGGTCGTCCTGCGTTGTGTCGTTTCGACACTAGCTAACGTGGTCGCTTTCGCCTGTTCATTTCCGCAACTTGAGCCCCCGTGAGAATTACTTCCTCACCTTTGCGTTTTTCTCGCGTAATCACCACAGGGTGCCGTGCCGGAAGCAGGGCGGCATCAGGTTCACGATCAACGGCTTCCGGTACTTCAACCTGGTGCTGATCTCCAACGTGGCGGGCGCGGGGGACATCGTGAGGGCGAGCGTCAAGGGTGAGCGCACCGGCTGGATGAGCATGAGCCGCAACTGGGGCCAGAACTGGCAGTCCGACGCCGTCCTCGTCGGCCAGTCACTCTCCTTCCGGGTCACGGGCAGCGACCGCCGCACCTCCACCTCCTGGAACATCATCCCCGCCGGATGGCAGTTCGGCCAGACCTTCACCGGCAAGAACTTCAGGGTTTGACTCCGGCATTGACCGAGGGCTCATTCTCTTTGGTTTTCATATAAGGGAAAGAAATTAGGGTGTGAGACTGTGATAGTTTTCTAATTAATTTGGGTTTATTGTAAGGTGAGTTCAGAGGCATAGAAAAGTAGCTGAAGTGGCTGCACAAACACGTGGTAGCCCGCAGCTTATGATAGTGCTCTAGGGTTTGATATATATACTTTCGATATGTGTACGTCTCGATGACCCTATAATTATAATCATATGATTTGAGAAGTTGTGGTTTGGTGATCGTCTACACTTGGAATTGGAATGCTGTTATCTGCTTAAGATTCAAGGTTCGACTAACTTGAAAAGGAATTTTGGTCGACTGAAAATTGGAGAATGTCCATCACGAGTTTGCAAAGTGGACTACGCGTGCGGGTACTTAAGATTCAATGTTAATATAGTCATAAACTTTTTGATTTGATCAATTTTATCTTAAACCTTTTGATAATTTGTCAATGTAGTCCTTCCGGCCAAAATTGACCGGAAATCACAAACATTGACCATTTTTATAATTTTTTTTAAGATTTATTGAATTTTTTCCTTTTCTTTTCTTTCCTTTTTCATCATTATTGATTTTCTTCCACCGGTCGCCGAGCCTCGGTGATCGCCGGTGACTGCTGGCCACAGGCGAGGGTTGGCCGAGGGGAGCTCTTCAAATACAACGTTGCATAGAGAAAGCCCGTTCAAGTACGATGAGGTGAGGAATCAACAAAAGCTTGGATTTTGTTGCTCCTGCGATTAGCAGAGAGAATAGGAAAAAAAAGAGAAAAAAAGGAAAAATTCATAAAATTATAAAAAAATTGCAAAAATTATCCACGTTAGCTTTGGCCATACCACGTAAGACGGTCTGCACCCACGTCAACAGTTGCTGGCCAAAATTAGTCGAAATGACTACATTGGCAAATCATCAAAATGCTTAAAACTAAATTGGCCAAATTAAGAAGTTTAAGACTGAATTGATCTATACAATAAGTTTAAGATTGTTTTGGTAATTTTCCCGATCCAAGTGCCGGACAATTCTTAACATGCTCAAACTTGGGTATTGGAGGAAAATGGAAAATGAAGCTTCCTCTTTCTTTTTCTATTTAATGCACTCGAGAAAAATAGCTAAGAAAATAAGAAAAGGAAGCTTCGAATTCAGCAATCTAAAACAGAGAGTCCAACATGAACAGAAGATTGGACGAGAGAGAGAGAGAGAGAGAGCGTCTTTCATGGGCTCACGTACACGTTGAAAGCGGGGTTAGGCCAAAGGAGAAGAAACTTCGCCTCCTCTGTCGGTCTTAAGACTTTTCCAATAAAGCATTTCTTTTTGAAATTCAAGCGCCAAATCTCAAAGGCAGACGTAGGACTGGGATTAGGTAAAGATCTCTTTCGTTAGGCCTAAGGTTTAGACATCGAGGAGCGCATGGCCGTCCTCGTGGAATTCTGCAAGCGAAGTTTCTGTGCGCTTTCTTGGATGGTTCGTGGGTATAATTTTTCTTTGTCCAGCGCATGCTGCACATGCAGAGGGAGGGAGAGAGTACAGAGGGGGGGGGATGACATGAATGGCGAACCGCAACGCGATGCGCTCTGACCGCCTCGGACTCTCTACTGTGAAACGGGGAAAATTGATGTCACGTGATGGAAACGTAGGTGAAAGCGGGTGTGGTGTGCACGTCGGGCATAATGCCTAGACATTTACATGCGTAGAGCCCGTCTCGAAATGCGATTTTTGTATTATCAATGTGACCAAAAGAGTTTAACTGACGCCCGAAGAGAGAGAGAGGAAAAAGAAGAGGAATATGAGAAAAGGAGAAATGCTCTCGTTGAGAGTCGAACTCAAGACCTCCCGCTTACTAAACGGGTGCTCTAACCAACTGAGCTACGAGAGCTATGCGCTAAGGCTAACCTCATAGTTTTATATAATCTTGATAAACGACGAAGACGCAGTGACAGTCAATGTCATCCTGCATAGTGCATGCCAAGCAAAACCCTGAAGAAGTGGGTGTTTTGTTTGCTCTTTGCATTTTGGTTTTTTGTGTTTTCAATTTCACTTATTAAGTTAATTATCCAAAAAAACTGTAGTTTTCGGATTTATCAGCCTGGCCGTAGTTAAATATCTCTAACGACCATATAGCCGAAGAGTTTCGCTTCTTGTTTATATCAATATGAACCCCACAGCAAATGAAAGAAAATGAATTTACTCCCACATGATCCCTATATAAAATAATAAAGGGACAAAAAGAAAGAAAGAAAATATATCTAGTATGTCTCCTATGATAAAAACTCACTCAACTTCACGCACGCGCGTAGCATGCGCCCAATTACCAAAAACTAATAAAAGTGGAGAATTTCAATATGACTTACCGAAAAGGTTAGGCCCGACCCTAGTGACACTTTCCTCAGGATTATCCAAAAGAACTATGATTCGTGTTTTTTTTCAGCAATAGTTCTCACCCAAGTTTAACGAGGATGAAAGGCTTTCGGAAGGGGAAATAGCCGATTCTGAAGCCACTTCAGGAAACATGGGGTCGATTGATGTCGCGAAACCGCTCTTTCCATGCGTTGTATGAACTACATAATTCTGCATGCCAGCCACGGGCACATCAAAGCCTCGTCTTCCACCAGGTAAAATCCGTCGTGTATCTATCGAACAATACATTTAGGCAAACATGTACAGCGAGAAACCATCATTTGCACGATTGCATCCCCATTGCAGATTTATACACCCGGTCCATTTTCTCATGATGTTGCCATGGAAGCGAATTCAATGGTTGATTGCATAGCAAGAAATCTGAGAAAGGGTTGCTAATACCAGTTCAGTCATCTCATTGGATCTCTTATTCCATCCGAAAATTTAGTTATCCTCACAGTAAAAAGCACGAGAAAGTAGAGTATTGAGTAACAGAAAGTATGCAGCCCCCAGCGGTTCCAGATACAGGGAAAAAACTACAAGTATAATCTCCTGAAAGCACGCATCAAATGGTTAGGCTGAACGGCCTACTACTGATTTGATCTCTAGTTGTTATTCTTCATTGTTGAAGACTCAATGATGTCGATGAACTCCGGCTGATCACATTCAAGAAAGAGAACAGATGAGGCACCCATACGAACAGAACAACAACAAATGGTGATAAAATATGCTAAAAGACAGGATCACCTTCAAGGAAGCTCCGCCAACCAAAAATCCGTCCACATCTGGCTGGGCCGCCAATTCTTTGCAATTTTTTCCATTAACAGAACCTAGAATAAATGTGCATTTAGGTAAAACAAATCTACCGAATTAAATTGTAATACTAGGAAGGAGCTTCCTCCACTATTGTCCTTCTTTTTCCGATCTGACGAAAGGGATTTTGAGAAGTTTCTTTTCAAAGGAAATAGAGAAGGGGGAGAGAAAAGAAGGCATTGTTGACATAGAATGAAATAACTTGACGAACCACTAATGATCAATAGAAATTCCAGCTTACGACAGGAGTCGATTAATCCGAAACACTTGGCTTCAGAAACCCAAAAATATACCTCCATATATAATTCTGACAGATGCAGCAACTTCGGGACCAGTATTTTCATGCAGCCATTTTCTCAATTCTGTATGGACCTAACACACAAGAAGTTATTCAGCTACTATAACATATTTAGATCATAAAAGAACCAAGAGTCAGCACGTTGTGCAAGCACATGAGACGACACGGGTACACAGGATCACAAAGCAACATTAGGTGTAGATTTAGAGCAGCAATATCGTAAAAACTGTAAAATATCTAAAAAATTGATGCATAGCATAAATATCCATTCACATGATAAATCACAGCAACAGAAAGGATGGCAGGCAAGCTACAAGAATTCTTCTGCCAATCAATGGGTGCAAGACAAACTCCCTTCATGTTTCCAGCCTATTCCACCAATGTATACGTTGTGGATTTTGGAAATACAATAATTATTTTCCATTAAGAAGTCTAGAAGTACTTTACATCATAATGTTAAGCGATGTTGTAGAAAGAATAGTCAAAACCCTGTGTATGTATTATTCAAACATAAAATACGTGCATTTCTACGTGCGAGCTAATTTGGAGAAGAGCCAGCTTTACAAGCACAGGTAGATCCATGGAAGTTTTTCAAGAGAAGGAATATCAAATGAGCACTGGATTTACCTCCTGAGCCTGAGCCGGAGTTGCAACCTTTCCAGTTCCAATAGCCCAAACAGGTTCATAGGCTAAAACAATGTTATCCCAGTTCAAAACTCTCTCTGCAAAACCACTGAAACAGGTCATGCATTTTTTATATTAAGTTTAAACAAAAGAAATCTATCCTGACTAGGCGAACCATGCACACGTACATTGGTGGTCCTGAAATTCAAGAAACACAGAAAGATCTGTTCAAAATCCATATTCCCGTATTAAGGAGATGGCTTGGTCAGACAGAAGTACCTGCAATTGCTTTTGTCTGCGCAGCAACAACAGCCACTGTAGACCCTGATTCACGCTGCTCAAGAGTCTCCCCAACACAGGCAATCACTTCCAGGCCTTGAGATAGCGCGTATGCGACTTTATCACCAACAAACTGTAGAGCAAAACAAAGCAATCGGATATTCCATCAATGCTTGCGAGTTCTCAAATGACAAATGAAGAGAAGAGGCAAAAAAATGAATGGAGATACTTGAAGGATTGATAATTAGAAGGGAGTCTGTGACATTGTCCAGTCGTATACCTCATTCGACTCATTCAAAAGAAGTCTCCTTTCAGAATGACCGAGGATGACCCAAGGAATGTTCAAGTTGACAAGCATTTCAGCACTGCATAACGTAAAACTCAGCATCACATAAGTATCGAACTTGAAAACAGGAAGTGGGCTAGCAACTCTTAATTTATTGAGTGGCATGCAAAAATAGAGGAGACTAAACTGTCAGCTAAATGCAATTGCCATTGAGATTGAGATTAACAGATCCAATGATGTCAATTGTCTGGAAGCATTCAACAGTGAGAACCAGGAAAAATAGCAAACACAGTTAATATCACCAGTTTGATCATAACTCGGAGGTAATAACCATACTATGGGACTGCATAACTAGCCTTTTGCTCTATTTAACACTAAGAAGGCATAAAAGTCCTGGATTAAATACACTAACAATCTGGACAATTGTGACAAATTATACAACTCCAACATGGTAAACTGCAGCTGAAGTGCACTTTAAACCTTGAATGGTTCGGCACCTTTCGAGACATGTGGAGCTTACTGCTTAGCATAGTTCACATTCTATTTCACAAGAAGAAAGGTTCTGCATACAAGAATACCTCCTATACGCAGTAAACTTTGACATCTGGAGCTATTTTACAATTAAGTCAAATTGAAAAAGGAAAACTGCAAGTTTTTGACAAGTGCACTATTTTTTGTTACAGAAGACCAAATGGTCATTCAAAAGGACAGTTGCATCTTTCTGTTAGTATGGCAAACCATTACTCCATTTATCCCTGAACTGCTATTACTGCTCTAAGAAAAGCTCTTTAATCGAATTGCCAACATTGCTCTAAGAAAAAAATCTTTCAGCAGTGTTCTACATTTTTGCAGTCTTTCATTTGATTGACATGGTCCGATTTGGAAATGCACATAAACATTTATAGACCTTCTCAATTTTTTAGGCCTTTAACCAAACCTCTGACAAGAACTACTCTGCAAAATTGAGAGGTCATAAACCAGCCAAATAATGAAAGTTTGCGGTCCAAACGAGTCAGCCAGAATGAGACATCATAGGAAAATGAATAGCCAATTTTGAAGGTCTAAGCAAACTCTAAGCAATCAGCTAGACTTCACCAATTACAAAAAGATCACGAACTTAACAGGCACATCAGAAGCTCCAAGAGCCTTCAAGAACTGGATTACCTGATCTCTCCGGTGAAGGCACCGCCTTTGCGGACCCAACAGTTTTGCGCCGCGACCCCGAAATCAGATCTCAGCAGATTTTTTACCAGAGGAAGAAATACATACGGAGGGCTCACCACCACCTCTGTAAATACAAAGATCACAAAAGCTTCACCACAATGACTATAAGGACAACTAAGTAAAGACCGAAGATAAGATCACATGCTCGCAATCTCATGCAGATACACATTACAACAACCGAACAGGAACTCCAAAATACAACAGAGGGCCAAAAAAATGATCTCACCCACGATATCTTCGGGAGGAACTTCGGCTTCGTTCAACATGCTAACGATCTTCTTCACATCATCGCCCGTCCCATTCTGCAGCGAATCACAAGCCCAGCACGTATCAAAGTCGAACCAGGCACGGCAAACACGAGTCAGCCGTCCACAGTTCCCAAAATCAACCTAGATTGAACAAATTCAACAAAACACGACACAGGTAGACAGATTGATCGATCGATCACGCGGTCGAGAGTCGCCTGATCGAACTCACAGAACAGCACGTAGCACGATCAGTTTTACGGGGAATTCGAAGCGTCCCGGGTCATAGAGCCGCGAAAGGGATCAAAGACACGTCTCAATTTGACCACAGTAGAGAGAGAGGAGGAAGCAATGGCGGCGAACGTACGCATTTCCAGTTGCCACCGACGAAGAACGTTCTCGCCATACTTGCGATCGCGATTTCCTCAGGAACGCAGAGAAGAAGGCGAGGAGGGAAGGCGAGGATCGCAGACTTGAGGATTGAACTCGCGTGTTTTCACTACTACTAGCTCGGACTGAGATTTGAACATGGATATTCACGTGCGCTTGTACGACGTGAAATGGTTTCCAAAAATTAGCTTTACCAACTTTCACCAATGGACTAATTAACCAAAATAACTTTTTATTGGACAAAAATATTCATGCATAAAATTAGAAAAATAAATTTCTAAACTTTTTTTTTGGTCAAATGAATTTCTAAATTTAAAAAGGTGAAAGTTGCTCCTCTTTTTCGAGTCGACTCGAAATCTATATTCCCATGTTAAGGAATTCCGAAATCTAATAGGTAGATCCATACGCATTCAATGAAATCAATTGTACAGCGCTTAGTTCGGCATCATAATTCTTCAATCACCCATTTAAATTCCTTCACTTTCAAATTTCTTTTATTTAAGTTATGTTGATTATTTGCTTGCCAGAAAAATCGACACGACATTATTAAAAAAGTCACCCAGTAGCCTTCTTTTAATTGGAATATTGCCACGTCACCAATACCGGTGATCCGAGTTTGGAGTAACTTAAATGAACGATATTCAAAAGTTAAAGGAACTTAAATAAGCGATCGAAAAATCGTGGCATCAAGCTGGAAGCAATAGAAAAGGATTTGAAACTTCCACTGTGCTTTTCCCCAAGTTCAGCTACCAGAACAGCGCACTTAAACGAAGTACATTGACAGGACACTTTGATATTCTATCCTTTGACAGCACGAACAAAACTACTACTAGATACAAGACTGTCAATGAGGTAAAAAGGAAGTAGTTGAGGAACCTTAAACCAAAGAGTTTCTCAGCCCCAAACTACAGAAAGACCTCGACTTTGAGCCTTGAAATTTTTCGCAGCAAACGTCAAACTTTAGATTTGTATTTAAGGTACTCCAATGCAGCAGCCCATTCTTTGCGGATCGATTCAGGCACCTCCTCGTTGTTAATGTGCGGAATCCATGTATTGGTCGAAGCGTCTTTCAGTACCCATTTTACCTGATCGGGGCAATTTTTCCAGTCAAAAGTCGACGGCGGCAGGGGTGGCGCTCGGCCTGCTTTCTTCTGTCTTTGGCCTCCAGAGGTCTCTGCTTGCTGTCGAATTATTTTCATGTGAGCGTAAACAGGTTCAAATGACCAGAAAAAAAGATAAGCGTCGGACGGGGGACGAGATTCCCCTTGCAGCAATGAGCAAAACAAAAGGGAGTAATGCAAAGAAGTTTCCTGATTACCGCTTTATTAGCACTGGAGTTCCCCACGTCATTATTTGCATCAGCGTTCTCCATCTTCTTTTTCTTCCGGGAGAATCCCGTTTCAAGAAAGTATAGGACCTCTTTCTTCGAGCGAAATACACGGTGTGACACTGGATCGCAGTAATACTGCAGAATAAAATGATAAGTTAGCCAGCATAGTCCAGAACCCTACTCTTGTATTGTAAATATAAATCCAATAAACACAGACCACTGTCAACTTTTTATGCAACAATCTAACAACTTTTGTAAAACTCCAAAAAGCCGAATCTTTGATCAGCTAATTACATTTAAACTTAAGCTGCATTATTCTTGGTAATATAACCAAGACAAGTCATCAAGCTTGGCAGCCTGAGTTACTTTTTCCCTACTCATATAACATAAACTGAAAAAACGAACCATCCAATCTCAGCCTTGAGTTTCTTAATAAGTCCATCAATCAGTCACAATGGATATAGACAAAAAAGCGAAAACTGCATCTACAAGTTGCAGAGCTTAAGATGGACACTCATTTTTTTTTCACTCGGTAGACAATGCTGCAATATTTGCTTAATCATGTAGAAAATGATCCATATTCCCTAGTCGACCAAGGCAACCCAAACATGGTCACGCTATCTGTTGAATCAATGGATTCATGAACTCTTAACACAGAACAATGCAGTACTACTGCAAACCAATAAAACTTCCCCTTCAAATGATTTCTTTTTATTTTGAATCACTCTCACATATTTGCATTGCCTTTTCTCCTGATTTTGTTGCAAATAATGTCAGGAAGGATGAAAACTTCAGCAACTTAGATAGGATAGACTATTTCGACCAAAAAAAAAAAAAGATAGGATAGACTACACGATTTGCAAATTCTTATTACCGCTATTCTTTTTCAAGTGAAAAGCCCTTGACTAAAGAAGTTACACAGTACTCCCAATGCACTAAAACTGCTAATCTACCCACACCAACAGTAAAATTGAGAAACACGAGAGAAAATCAGACATCTTTATGTATTTATATAGACAATTATGATTATGCAATGGATGAAGGAGCAAAGTCTCTGGAATCTATCCAAGTAACCTGGGAAAGTCACAGATCAGAGCGGCAATGCTTGGAAGGAGATAACAGAAAAAAATCTAGGACAGCGATGACGGATGTAAATGACCATTACCAAGAACACTTTTTTTTGGTCAGATCGCTGAGAACACATTTATCTGGCTCTAGATGGTGGGCCTGGTGGCTTGCATGATGGTGATCGCTAATCCCAATAATTATAAATGCTCCTTCCCTACCCTAATATTAGAAACAATCCTCAACACTAATGACTAGATACTAACAAGTAAATCAGATACTAGACATTAATGCTGAATGCCGTGGAGACTACCAGACAAAAACTTTCTATTTCCTCAGTATTTGCTATCCATCAATGCACTGCTACACAAAACATTTTCAAAACGTACCACAAACCAAACTGAATGAGTAGCAGTACACGACCAGTCGGTTACTATTTTACAAAATAATGCAATCACCAGAATGGTTTTCCATTTGGCCGGGATGGTCAAGGCACCCATTATTATCCATAAGGTCACACCTTCGAGTCCACCTTACAGCAATCTAGCCTCTTTATTTTTTATAATGGGCTTCAGTATACAGATTGAAAATGAATTCCCCACATTTAGCAAAGAGAGAGTGCAACTCATGTGTTTGTGCTTCTTTGAACGGCAACCAACAGGTCAGGGGTTCAATCGTTTTGCCTCGCACACCCCAACATTTAGCTTTCTTAACAAAAGATTCGGACAAAACAGCACTAGTTCACCTGATCGACTCGTTGAACCGGGTCAACATCAGTTTTTTAAAAGGTTTAACCTTCTGAAAATTTTACTAAGGCAACGGGACCGGACCAGGTTCCTTCATAAACCATGCCTAGATACCCGAAGACCGGTTTTCTCGAAAAAGTCGAAACAATATGACTTATGATACTGGATCCAGGCAGAATGGCTATATACACCTCTAAATGGCCGAAGAACCGAAAGAGATGCTGGTTGGGTAATATCATTGAATTCATCAGCTCCGACTGAATGAAGGGGGAGGAAGCAAGCAAAGCAGGTAACATATACTGGGGGTTCACTTTCTTTGGGATGAACTCGCAAAGATTGAGAATCAGATATTCAATGACCAAAATAAATGAAGGACCTGTGCAGATAAATGAAATGAGGGAAACAAATCATGTAAAATGGAAAATGCCTTTTTCCGGACAAATAACTTGCATCCTATTGGTTCCTTAACAAATACAAAGAGCGCACATTGAAAAACTATATTTTGGCATTTACGGACAAAAAAAAAACTATGAATGTTTAGACTAACACTTCAAGTAGTTAAACTGAAGAGAGTAAGCTCAGGGAAAGTTTTGACGAAAGGTACTGACCTTAACAACACCGCACCAATGCAAACAGTAAGAGCCCAGTGAAGTGATATCAGGAGACTGGAGAAGGATAATTGAGAGGTGATTTATAGGGAGAAAGTAAACTAACTGATTGGGAAGAGTAATTGACAATGGAAACGTGGCAGCTTTGTTGCCCGGATTTAAAGGAGGGAGAAACAATTGTTACAGTGTGGAGGCGACTTAAAACATGAGGAGGTTTAAATGAAGTATGTAACTGACCCTGGAAGAGTGAGTGACACAGAATTGGGGCAGTTGAGAAGGCAAGCATTCAGAGAAAGAGAAGGCTGTCATGATGCACAGTTGAGAGAAAAAATGAGGAGATTTTCGACTATTCTGCTACGGACATTGGGAAGAGTAAAGATAACGGAAGTATGGCGTAAGGAAGCTGAACATTGAGAGAGAGAAGAAAAACCGTCATGGAGCCAAGGCGAGGTAAAACGTGAGAAGGTCTACTTGAGGCACTTCAAGTTTCTCCAATAACTGACGTTGAAAGTGTGACAATCAGGAGGGTGAGCATTGAGAGAGAGAAAAACCATCATGGTATCTATATGAGGAGAAAAAAGAGAAGGCTCTGGTTGAAGAATTTAAGAAGATCTCTCTTAGTAATGTTGTATAGATGAAGCAAACATATCCTACAGGTATCAAGGTAAAGAATTTTGCCGGTGGATGCATACATGAGCGCACAAAACAACAAAGACATAAAACCTACGTAGTGTACTTTACTAATTAATGCTCAAAGACATGCTATAAGAGCATGATTTTCCAACATCAACCAACCTTTGAGCTTTTAATGATATCTCAAGAAGCAACATAAGATCAATAACACAAAAACCTTCTTTGAATTTTCCTGTTTAACTCTAACTGAGACCAACTTGAAGCGACTTCTAAGATGGATGCACTGGAAAATACAGAAACAAACACCCACCACCACAAAGCCTTTGTCCTACTTAGTGGGAACAGCTTCATGGATGCTCAGGATAGCACGCCCGAGGCGCTGCTGTGTGACAATATTGACTTCTCTTGGCAGCATTCCACCTGCTCATCAAGTCGAGAGAAAGCAAATCCATCTATACTAGACAGAGGTGCTTAATTCTCTTAGAACTCACCCATACTTACAGAGAGCTCCACGATGCTCTCCAGCCACAGCACCAGATACAATTCTGAAAATTACTGTCACGAATCTAACCAACTGATCTTTTGGAATATGCCTGTAATTAAAATCACACCCAGCTGTCTTTTTTCTCATAAAGTACTGTTTAAAGACACTTATATTGGCTGCAGAGATGACAAATAGATATAATACCGTCGGAGCGATTTGATTCGTTTGAAAGACACTAGAATTTGGAAAAGTAAGCCTGTGAAGCAGTAGCAATTGATTGTATAGGATAATATGGTTCAGGATTGCAAGTGAATGAAATGAATTTAGAAAGGCAAAAGGAGGATTGAGTTCTAGCTCTTCTTTTCCCTAAAATAGGCACATGGCTAAGCGGCTTTCGACACATGCAAAGGCTGATACAATATGTTACAACGTAAATACATGAATCTTCCAAATCCTGATAGTCAAATATGAATTAAATACTACTAGTTGCAAGAGTGTAATCATGGACGTTTAACTCCAAAAGAATATTCCAAGTAAAGAGAGGGAGAGTTAAGTCAAATGTGTCTATATACGATGGCTCTAGAGCAGTTCCCTAAACACCATCCCCAAGTTTTCCACTGCATGGTTATTTCTTCATGAAATGGTAACATCACTAGCTTCGGCAACAATGTAAACCCGACGGGTGATTTACTCAGAAACATTAACTTCTCTCGTTTTCGCAGCCCTATACCCAAAATTACTGTTCTCAGTTCACAACAGCAAGATTATCTGCTCTAAATGATGTACATATCTAGCCTTCTACCTCACAGCACATAACACCAACGCCTTGCTTTCACTACTCACTTCCTCTTTTCACAAGACAGATGGTATCAGAGAAACCAATCCATCATCAAGCTAAACAAAGTTTTTTTTTTCCCAGAATAGCTTCTCATCACTCCGTTAATGGGCACTGAGTCTATTCCATAGTATCAAGGTTCAACATACCCATCAGTTATTGCAACCCAGTTCCTCAACGGAAAGCAATCAGCTAAGCTTCTACATTCAGCTGAGACCACAGACAAGTCACAGTGTTCGTCATCGGGCAGTCTTGTTCAGTCTTGTTAATACTTGGGCATTGAAGAGCTAGTTCAACTTCATTCTAGTTGCAGCTAAAACTACACCATGGCGATTGAAATAGCTGAAGATTAGCTCAAACAACGGTCGCGAAGTTCACCTTATCTCTCGTCCCAGCTGTTACACCGGACGTCCTGACCCGATCCTCCACGTACCAACCGGCGGGCAGCCAATCCGGCGTCTCCGACAACACCACGCGGGTCTTCCGCCGGCTCGAAGGGTCATCGGCGGAGCCGGCGTTCTCCGGCGTCGGGGGCACCGCCTCCGCCCCGCCGTTCGAGCTCGGCCTCTGCGGGGTCGCGGCCCCGTCGGCGGAGCCCGGGGCCCGGCTCGAGATCGGAGCCGCCTCCGCCTCCTCGGCGGCGCCGTTCTGGCCCTCCCGGTCGCCGGGGGCTAGGGCGGCGTCGTCGTCGGCGGGATCGATGAAGCAGCCGGACTGGAGGAGGGGATCCCGCGGCGCGGCCCCGGCGAGGTGGTCGGGCTCGGGCGTGCCGGGGTCCGGGACGTGGCCCCCCGGCGGCGATTCGGGGTCGGCCGTCGACATGGGCGGCGGGCGGCGCGGCGGCGGAGGAGATCTCTTGGCGGACGCGCGTGCCTTCATGGGAACGGGGTTGGGGTTGGGGGGGTTGTTTCACTTTTCAGCGGAGGAGCGATGAGGACAGTGCGATCGAGCGGAGAAGAGACGACAGCCGTCGGATGTTTGACTCCGCGCGGAGCAGCACTTTGGTTTCAGTTCGAAGCACGAAGTGGTGTCGCTCTGGGTAAGGCCATCTGGTCTTCGTTTGCCGAATCCCGGGTCGTTCAAATGATCTTTTCCTGTTCGTATTTATCCATTTGGCATGACCGCTCAAGGAAAGGAGGATTTGCCCCCCATTCATTGCCCCCCCCCCCTCTCTTTCATTACTGTTTTTCTTTTCTTTTCTTTTCTTTTTTTGGCTCGTCGTCTCGCGAGCTCGAGCTTGACCTCAAGTGGCCCGGGAGAGCTGAAAGAACCCCGAATGCGCGGGAACTCAACCGAAGAGCCGAGCCGGACATCGAGGGATGTCGTGTTCAGAAAAGCAAGCCTCGACGGGCCAAATGAGTTGTTCAGGCCCGTGATTTGCTTTGATGATCGGTCGGCACGTAAAAAGGTTCCTCAAGTTCGAGAGGCAAAACCAAAGACCAACGACGTGTTTGGTAAGCGAAAATTAGACACCGAAATCGGGGTTGCACTCCCCATCTTTTATTATTTTTCATGATATTTTCTAATTTGATATATAATGACCGTCCTTTATTTCGTCTCAGTTTTTTTCGCCGGACATCTAAATTCACTTCATTTTTATTGGACTCTTTATTGCTGGTTGCTTGCAATGTGAGTACTGCTCAAAACTACGCGCAAACAACTTTTTGAATATATATATGTACTTATATCTTTTTTAATTCTGAAGCCACGCAAAGCATTTCTTAATACTTTTATTTTTTTGGGGTTAGAAAACATCTCGAAATGCTCAAAATTCAGAAAGCTGAAACGATCAGAACAAAACGGACCGGTGATTGGGCCGGATGGGCCAGAGCCCATTGAACAGAAGTAGTCCGCTAAGCCCGCCATAACACGTAGAGCGGCCCATAAAATGGGAACCGCTCCTTCCCTTCTTTTTCTCGTTCCAAAACAGATTTTTGAAACTTCGCTTTGCCGCGAAGTTCGTCCGGCAATTCCTCTTCATCAACCGAATCGCCTCTGTATCCATCCAAACTCATCGAGTCGCGACCACAGAGGTAAAGCAAGCATCTCTAGACGTCGCAGTGATGTCTCGTCCGGTTCCCTTCTTCCTTTTTTATCCTGGGATTTAGTTTAAATTTTAGGATCCGATGCATGTATAGTAAAGCATTCGCATTGTTCATGTTTCCTAGTCTTTATGAGCAGCGTTCGTTGTCTGTGTCGGTGTGATTTTAAGGTCGGGCGGGTGTTGGATGGCGACGCGGCTATGTATGTACCGACTCGTTTTAAGGTGGCTTGATTGCGGAGTCTGCAAGTTGGGGTTTTCTTGAATTCGGGGTTGAAATCTCGGCTGGGGTATGATTTGGTAGTTCCGAAAGCCCACGTGTCAGTTTGGTCATTGCGATTGCTGAGAAATCGGAGACGGGTGTTTATGATTTGTCCGGTTTGGTTGTCGGATACAGGGCTTCGTAGGCTTTGAAGATGCCGGCCACCGCAGGAAGGGTTCGCATGCCCGCGAACAATAGGGTTCACAGCAGTGCAGCCCTTCAAACCCATGGCATATGGCAGAGCGCGATCGGGTATGATCCCTATGCCCCCAACAAGGATGATGCAAAGAGCTCCACTCCCAACGAGGGGGCTAATTCAGAGCGTGAGGCCGAGAACTCGTACACGAGCTTCCAAGATCTGCTTGCTCTTGCCCGTTTTACTGGGTCGAATGCCGACGAGGCCCGCGGCGCATGCAAGAAGTGTGGCCGTGTTGGCCACCTGACATTTCAGTGTAGAAACTTCCTGAATACGAATGATGATAATAAGGAAAAGGACACGGAGGCAGTGCAGGTTGCGGTTGCATCTTTTCCTGGGTTGGATAAGCTGAAGGGGAGTGGTAACAAGGCGAATGGTAACACTGAAGCGGGAAGTGAGGAGGATAGCAAAGAGGAAGAAGACGAAAGTGAGACTTCGGATTCTGATGTTGGCGTGGAGATTGAGAGGGTAATTGCCAAGCGTGAGGGGAAGAAGCCAATCACTAAGGGTAGCACAGAAAGTTCATCAAAGAAGAAGACGAGAAGGGGGGATGGTTCAGAAGATGATGACTCGGTTAGTGATATGGGGGAGAGAAATAAGAGAGGGAGGTCGAAGAAGAGAAAGAGTGGAAGGAGAAGAAGCAGTCTCTCTGAGGATAAGGATGAAGTTAGAAGAAAGAGAAGGAAGGGGAGGATGAGGAAGAGGGACAAGTCATCAGATGAGGAGGAGCATCGACGAAGGCATAGGAATAGTAAGACGGATGAAAGGAGGAGAAAGAGTCATAGATATACAGATGATTCCAGCTCAGATGAATCAGGTGATTATGACAGGAGGCACAGGCAAAAGAGCTGGAGGGCAGCTGCGTCTTCTGATTACCAAGCAAGTAGCTCAGATGACTCACGTGTTGGGAGGGAAAGGAAGCGATCTGCCAAGAGTAGCAGAAGACACCGTCATAAAGAGGATGACTCTAGCTAAGATATATAGGTAAGTGACTTGTACGCGGCTATTTTGTCAAAATAATTGGGAGTGGGAACGTGCCACGCAGCCACGCCTGATCTTAAGTGGAAGACTTCTATGTTGTGGAATGTCTTTCTATACGAGAATGTAATCGAAGTGTCAACTAAAGATTAGATATTTCTCTATGTGAATGAGAAATGATGTGGTTATTTTGCTGCAAGAAAGCTACTTTTTCCTCCTTTTATTCTGCTATCTAAAAGCTTACTAGAAGAACTGTCTATTAGTTACATCAATACTTTGAATTACATGACAGTGCTAGGTGGTGCAGATTGTTGCCTAATGAGTAGTTTTCTTCCCTCGCTATTGAGCGATTGATATATGTTTTTTATTTTATAAAGGGTAATTGTTAGGTTCATTTATGGAGCCACGGTGGTGATTCTTGTCTCCTTAATAAATTTCATCATGACATTTTGAATATAGAGTATGGCTGTGAAAATACTCGCTGTGGACAGTTGATATAATGCTCAGATATCCTTAGGGAATCCTTAATCTGAAATGTGTGAGATGTGTGAGATGTGTTGTGTCTCCGATGCTGACGATATCTTTTGAACCTGCTGATTCCCAGAGAAAGGACATGAAGTCTTCTGTGTATTTCATTAAAGCCGATGCACTGCATGACGATTGACCGGCCTGTTTGCAGCTCTTTAAATATTTTACTTAGGTCACTTTTGGGGAGAGCAAGAACTAGAACGTGGTGTCTTGAAAATGGAAAAGCCTTCTGAAGTTCTTTAAGCTAAGACACAATTTCTCACTTTTTGCTATCAATTGTTGAGTATTAGTTTTCCGAAGGATGAATTAGCATCCTAAGAACTGCCGCCTTAGTTTTACATTAAAAATTGCCTTCGTAAATGTGACTTGCTTTGTTTATTGTGACGTGGGACTCATGGACTTCAAATTCTTGTGCTGTCAGAAGTAAATTGTTCAACATGAGCTCATGATGGCTTGAAAAAAATTTCTTTTTGCTTTTACTTTTTATTCCCATGGAGTATCTTTGGAACCAGATAACAGCACAGATGATCTCTGTGGAATAACAGGATATGCATCACTTTTGTGTTGTGAGTTTCATTCTTGGTGGAATCGGTCTAAAACAGAAAAAACTTCTATGCTTTATACTTTGATGTTTGAATTGCTGAATTTGCTGAGCATCGTTCAAAGGTTTGAACAGTGTTAGTCTTCTACAGGGAACGATATGGAGCTCAACGAGTGCATCCTAGCCCTTGGATATGGCAGGCTCTACATAAGACCAGCCTAATCTGAGGATTCGGTATGCACCCGTTGCACCAGTAGCATATTCTGTTTTAGCTTTCTTTGGTCACACTTTCTTGAGCTGCATCATGTATTATGTAGTGAAATGAACTCCTGCGGGGTTAGTTGAGCTGTTGTCCTCAAATGAAGTGATTCGCCTCCAAGTATGCTTCGCTCATTATATATCCAGGTTTGTGCTTGAAACTCTCCGAGGAGTATTTACGCTTGCACCTGCTTGTGTGTAGAATAAGACCAATTGTCAGAAGTATGCAAGTACATATGTCTCATGTGATTGTGAATGACATTTGGAGGTACATGTTCCATCATAGACCTTAAAAGAAAGACCACATTTGGACGCAACTTCTTGTTGGCTTGATGCCTAGGAAGGCCTTGTTTCTCAATAGCACCAGTATCAAGGATGGAGGAAAACCAGGTCCAGTATGTGCAAGTTCTTGTGGTGCTTTAAGATAATTGTTTTTGCTGTTTCTTCGCCTTAAAATCTTCTTGTACATATTACTGCATACGGCTTTAGACATCTTGGAGTTCCTCATGCTTGCTAACATTAGGGCGATGATGTTGGAGTTGATTGAAATTATAATGAGTGAGTAGGCAGAGTGTGGCTCGGGTGATGACTGAACTGCCGCGTAAATGGCACATTGAGTTAACTAGTAACTAGGGTCTAGGTATGTTCCTGGTCCTGCCTCATGTGACGACCGAAGTTCGTGTAAAATGGGCTGGTCATGGATGTCGAGAATGACGCTCCTTAGGCGATTAAATGTTTTGACAGTCATCATGCTCCATCTTCAAGGATTTCAAATGCAGAATCGTGTTTCTTTCCTATGCTGTTGCTATCGCTGCATCAGTTGTGGAGCTGATGTAGGAACATGCATGGCAATCTGGACAGAGTTTTAAAAGCTGATGGATGAACTCTTGACCCGTGCTCTAATACCATGTGAAATTTCATGAAATCACAGCTAACAGTTTTAAAAATTTAAATTATAAAAAGAGGAAAAAGAATTATTGATCGAAAGCGTGATATGATATTTATATGTTTTAACACTTCACTTCATGCGTAAGCTGAATTTTGGAAGTAGATAGGAATTTAGAAAGATTTGAATTTAGGATTTCCTATCCGAGTACTTTGGGCAATATTATCATTCCACAAGTGCAATATATAAGTAAATGAAATTCACTGATTAAGGTGAGTATCACAAGTTCTCTATTTGTTTCGTGAAACATGAATGATCTGAAAAATATTCCTAAGAATAATGGCTTGTATTGCTTATAAAAATGAATCCACGGAAAATATTTTCATCGTCAGTTAAATATAAGAATGCAGAAGAGAGAAAACGGAAAAATTTGTGTATAATTCGATATATCATAAAGAAGAGTACATCAGTCTGTTTATAAGCTGATAATATATATGCATTATCAAACAAGAGATATCGCGCAATTTTAAAAGATACCAAAAAAAAACCAATAGATATATTCTAATGATCTCAAAATATTTTAGAGAATTATCCTAATATCTCCGACAGCCCACGAAAAATATTTATTGAAGAGCATCTATAAACACACGATATCGTCGTCGTCGTCGTCTTCTTCATCACTTGCAGCGAGTTTGAGCGGGAGCGTGAGAGAGCGGGGAAGATATGTCGAAAAGCGGGCTCGCAGGGTCGATCTCCGGCACCAAGGTGGACGACGCCGTCGACAGGAGCGATCCCTTCATCAGGGCCGTCATCGACGGCTTCCTCAAGATCGGCACCGTAACCATTCTTTTGCATCTTCTTCTTCTTCTTCTTCTGCATTCTTCCTCCGTCTTTTTTTCCCATGAATGTATATCGGTTGAGGTTGACAACTGGGGCGTTGAGTCTCGCAGGTCGCAGCCACCAGAGTAGCCGCGGAAGATGCCTACTGCATTGCCAAGAAAGGTCTTAGTCTTTTCTTTTTTCTTTTTTCCCGCTATTGTTCTCTTCTCTATTGATTTACCTTCCCTTGAACTTGTCCATATTATGGAACCGGTGCATCAGAACATGCTCTGCACTTGCCATAATATAGAACCTGAGCATCGGAATTCACCTGTGCTAATCAAAATCCGCAGGGGGCTTGGTGCCTAAAAGACATCCGTTTTTACAAAGACTTGGAGAGCCATCCGCCGTTTGTGTGTGGGATTTCATGGTCAAAAAAATTAGTATTGAGTAAATTACGCTGTTACCAAGCTGTTTTTCTTTTTTTTAGCTTTTTTCTTTGTGATGTTTGATCCCAAAAAAAAAGTGTGAATGGAGAAGTGTGCATAGTATGTCGGGTATGGTCCTAGCGATTCAGCCGACAGAGTTCAGCTGGTTTTTCGATCTCTCGAGTATCGATTTTTACCTGCGAAGGGCGTGAAGGACTTGTCTCATCTTGTAAACTTTCTTTAGCGGACTCTGATCAAATGTCAATTATCAGATTGGCAGGTTGTTCCATTGGCTGGAATGGTGCTAATGTTCAATGTGGTTTTTTGCAGGGAGTTTTTCGGGTCACAATTTTGAGAAGACGGTGAGTGTTCTTGCACTATGCCGGTCAATTCGATCTATGATGCTGAGATATATCCTCTTTCCTTGACAAATTATGCGTAGGATGTGTGCTATCGAATGTAATTGAAAACGAAAGATAAGAATTTATTATTATGTCATAATTACGAATTACATCAGTATATATAGCGAGCATTAGGGTTCACTGACAATGAAAAAGACTAAAATATCCTTCAACACTCCCCCTCAAGTTGGGGCATAAATATTAAAGAGCCCCAACTTGTTACATAAAGTAGTTACTCTATTACCTCGCAATGACTTAGTGAAAACATCAGCAAGTTGGTCTTCGGTCCGTGTGTATTGAAGTGTTATGTCCTTGTTCTGAATCTTTTCTCGCACAAAATGACAATCTACTTCAATATGCTTCGTGCGCTCATGAAAAACTGGATTTGAAGCGATATGCATGGCGGACTGGTTATCACAACACAAAACTGAGGAAGCTGAAGATGGCATGCTAAGTTCGGATAATAACATCCTTAACCAAAGTAACTCACTAGTCACATGAGCCATGGCTCGATATTCTGCCTCTGCACTTGATCGAGACACCACCTGTTGCTTCTTACTTTTCCATAGGGCATCCTGCCCAATCAGCATCAGAGTAGCCAGTGACATTAAGATGTTCATGATTCTTGAACAAAATTCCTTTACCTGGTGCTCCCTTCAAGTACTTAACAACACGTAGCACTGCCTCCCAATGTGTAGTGCGAGGAGCACTCATAAATTGACTAACCACGCTAACAGCAAAGCAAATATCTGGTCGCTAACAGCAAAGCAAATATCTGGTCGTGTGACAGTTAAATAGTTGAGCTTACCCACTAACCTCCTATACTTACTAGGATCATGAGTAAGTCTCCATGCTCTGCATCAAGTTTCACATTAGGATCCATCGGAGTATCGACAGGCTTAGCCCCAAGAAAACCAACCTCACTGAGGATATCCAAAACATATTTTCGCTGTGATAATGAGATACCATCATGTGAGTAGGCCACTTCAAACTTCAATGCCCAAGAAATACCGTAAACGACCCATATCTTTTGTACTGAACTCTGTCCGTAAAATCTGTTTCAACTTTTGTATGCCCACAGAGTCACTACCAGTGACAATAATATCATCCACATACATAATTAGGAGAACACATCCCGGAGAAGAAGTGGAACTAAATACAGAATGATCCACGGTACAACGTTGCAAGCCAAACCGAATAACTGCATCACTAAAACAACCAAACCAGGCACGAGGAGATTGTTTCAACTCATATAATGCCTTGCGCAGGCGACAAACACTAGTAGACTCCCCCTGAGCAACAAACCCCGGAGGTTGCTCCATATATACCTCCTCTGCCAAGTCGCCATGAAGGAAGGCATTCTTGACATCAAGTTGATGGAGAGTCCAACCATATCGAGCAGCAAGAGAAATGAAAACACGAACAGAAGGCATCTTTGCGACAGGAGAAAACGTGTCATCATAACCGGCGACAATGATTTCTCCTGAGATGTAACGATGATCGTCGGCGGCTAAGGCAAAAGGTTTTGTGGCTCTGATACCATGAAAACGAAAGATAAGAATTTCTTATTATGTCATAATTACGAATTACATTAGTATATATAGCGAGCATTAGGGTTCACTGACAATGAAAAAGACTAAAATATCCTTCAACAGTAATGAACGGTTTGCATGATCGATTGGTATGGCGGTTCCGATCCATTCTTTATAAAAGGCTCTCGTTGGTTTACTCGAGTCCGAAATTATCTCGAAAGGTTTTGCTCCATGGAGTTGCTGGACTGTAGAATCTGCCAAGAGGGATTTCTGTGGAATATTCATTTGCATTGTGCAAAGTTGTTGTAACAGATAATTAATGGCCATTTTGTCCTTCTGATGTGATTACTTGGTAATTGCAGTTGGAGAAGATGGGCGAACAAACGGCATACTGGGGTAAGTTTTAATCGAGCTACTATCTATACATGCATAGTTTCTCGTATATGCGCAGGGGAGCGTCTAAAATCTCTTCTCTTTACAAGAGCGGCGATAACGTGAGGATTTATCCTATGTATAAAACAGGGGCAGTTGGTGCAGTCTATGCAGGAGTGGAGTGCGAGGTATCGAGAATCCGTGGCACCAGAGACTGGGTAATTCTTGCTCTGCCTTGTATTTGGCTTTCTTCAAGAAGAGTTCTTTACATGTTCAAAATTTTTACACAAGTCTCGGTAGCGGGAAGGATGTTGTTGTTGCAATGTCTGCCGCTTCCTCGACTCTACTAGAAATGCAACCTGAACTTTTTACATGGATGGCCAGACATGAAAGACTTCTATGACTGTTGTATGGAAGCCTAGCTGGAAAACTGCTACAGTTTTGTTGCTAAGCTTCCTGAGTTCCACTCCCTAGTTAGTAGTTTCTGATTTACCCAACACAGCAATATCTCTCTTATCGATTGAGCGTTTGACCAAAACTCTTTCGCTCCCTTTGAATATGTTGCAGAAAACTGCTATGATAGGGGGCGCTTTGACCGGCCTCACGATATCTGCGGCCGGCAACAATAGCAGAGACAGGGTTGTGTTGGATGCCATCACAGGAGGTGCCATCGCAGCTGCTGCAGAGTTCCTTAATAATATGACATGAATAATGGAACAACCTTGTTCCCTATGCTTTCTTGCTTTTTAGGTAGAGTATGCTGCTTCTGCTCATCGCAGCAAAACGACTGAAAGTTTGATGACAGGAACCGAGTCATCATTTTATCATCTGTAAACTGTTCGCTCTTAAGTTTATTGAGGTTTAGGGAGCTATTTTTACAATGGAACTCTTCCTTACATCGCAAACTCGAATTCTCTATGGAGGACTTTAGTGTGAAACCTGCTCATGCTATGTTACTAGATGCGTGTCTCGTGTGAAGAGACTTCCTGATTGTTAGCGTCTTGATAGTGGCTACGATGACGGGATTATCAATCTTGTATTTTCGTCTCGAGGGTGATGCGGATTAGTTACGACACAAACTTAACATTCCAATACAATCTTCTCCCTCCCGAACAATGGTACCCGCCACAACAAAGCAAATGAAATACAAGCTCCATTACACAGCCTTAGAGCATCTTAATGCCCCGGAAAAGGATTTATAGATGTTGCGGCTGCTTTATTTACTGCTCACATATGCTTCCTTATAGACATGGCGATGACGTGACTATATTATAAAACATAAAATTAAAATGACGTCATTTTGACTAAAATTTAATTTTTAATACTAATTTTACTTAAATTAAATTTAAAACAGCCCTCCTTGTCGCCGCCGACCCACCATCATCGGGAGGGGACAGCAAGTGGGGGTCGCCAGGCGCCGGCGGCAGCAAGGGCTTCCAGTCCTCTCCGCCTAACTTCTCCCCCTACTGCTTTTTTTAAATTTTTAATTTTTAATTTAAATAAAATTTATATTAAAATAATAATAATAATAATAATAAGTCACATTATCACCATGTATGACAGAAAAAATAATTTAAAAAAATTAACGTCAGCGCCACGTTAGCGTTTTCCGTTAGTAAGTTAGACAGTGTTAACTTTAAGACTCGATTGCACCAGCGTGATAAGTTTTAGGACTTAATTACACTTTTTGCAAGTTTTAGAATTCATTTACACTTTCGTGACAAGTTTTGAGATTTCTAGTAAACATATCCCTTATTTCTTTAGAAAACTTCCGGTGCTTTTCCTCTGCAGTTTCCAAAGGATGCGCTCTTATTTCGAAAGCCAAATCATCCGTCCTGAAAACTTAAGCATGTTCGAATCAATTTTCTTACATGGGCAAGACAAGATATGGTTGAATGACTTTAGTGAGGCAAGCGGTGATAAGAGGAAAACAAACAGAATAGCGGGAAGATGGACTCTTGACCCATGCTCTGATACAATGCGAAATTTCGTGAAATCACGGCCGGCGATTTTAAAAGTTTAAATTATTAATTGAAAGCATGATTTTGATATGGGAAAATGATACAAACAATCCATAAACTTTGACCCAATGTGATCCATAAATTTTAACTCCATGTGCAATGTGGTCTCTAAACTTTTAATTTGTTCAATGTCATCCCTGGACTTTTAGTGCATATTCAATTTAGTCCTTGCATTGTATGAAAATATTCAATTTAGTTGCTGAACTTTAATTAAGGGAAGGACTACATTGAACATGAAATAGTTTATGGACTACATTGAACATATATTAAAAGTCCAGAGACTACATTGAAGAACGAATGTGCGAAAAATATTTTGGTCTCCCACGAAATATTTAAACATAAAAAATGATTGATCTTTCGAAACTAACGTTTTAGGGTGCGTTTGGTAACCATTTTGTTCCCGGAAACAATTTCTGTTCAGAAATGATTCTTTTTTACTCTGTGCCCGAGAACAATTTCTAAACATTTGAAGGTGTTTGGTAAACTGCCCAAAATTTCTATTTTTGGAATAGAAAAAGAACAGAAATGCGTTTGGTAACTACACAAAATTTATTTTTATTAATAATTTTTTGAATTTTTTAATATTAATTTCTTTTTATTTTTATTTTTTTTCTTCTTCTTCCCCTTCCTTGGCCATGGCCAGGTCGCCAGCGCCGGCCACAGGCCAGGGCCTCCCTCGCCAGATCCGACGAGGGCGGCTCGGGGCTTGGGCGAGTGCTGCCCTCACCGGATTTGGCAAGGGCTGGACCCTCGCTAGATCCGGCGAGGGCGACTAGCTGCCTGGGCTAGGGCTGCCCTCGCCCAAGCCGCAAGCCGGATCTGGCGAGGGCGGCGGCGAGGGTCCAGCCCTCGCCGGAGCCGGTCCTGGCCCGTGGCCGGTCGTCGGCCGGCCACCGGCCACAAGCCAGGAAGAAGAAGAAGAAGAAAATCAAGAAAAAGAAAAAAAAAGTTCTTTTTCATTTCTAATTCTTATTCTCAGAATCAAGAAGAAACTTTTTTTTTCTTGATTCTGTTTCAAAACTGTTTCTGTGAATAAATTTATACTCAGGAATAAAAAATTTATGAAACGAATTTCTATTCTAAAATTGATTCTAAAAATAAAAAAATAAAATTAGTTACTATTTGGCCTATTTGGCGAGTTACCAAATGCGGCCTTAGTTTCATCTTCCTTTGGGTCGGAGATATTTTATTGAGGAGCATCTACAAGACTATAACGACAAAACACACCGATATCATCTTCATCTTCATCATCCAAATCATTTGCAGCGAGCTTGAGTGGGAAGCGTGAGGGCGGGGAAGATGCCGAGAAGCAGGTACGCCGGGTCGATCTCGGGCCCCAAGGTGGACGTCGCCATTGACATGGGCAATCCCTTGCTCAACGTCACCGTCGATGGCTTCCTCAAGATCGGCACCGTAACCATTCTCTTGCTTCTTCTTCTTCTTCTTCTTCTGCTGCTTTCTTCCTCCGTCTTTCTTCTCCCCTGAATCTATCTATCGGTTGGAATTGACAACTGGGTCGTTGAGTCTCGCAGGTCGCAGCCACCAGAGCAGCCGCGGAAGATGCCTACTTCATCGTCAAGAAAGGTCTCTTCTTTTCTTTTTTTTTTTACCGCTATTGTTGTCTTCACGATTGATTTGGCTTCTCTTGAACTTAACATCGGACAGAATATACGATAAAGATGATACTTTTTTATGTGTCTGTCTGCTCTGCTCTATGCTCCTACGTTTGCAGAAGTTACCAAGCTGATTCTTTTTTTCTTTTTGGTGTTTGACCCCCAAAAATTAGTATGAATGGAGTAATGTGTATGTCGAGTATGTTCCTAGCGGTTCAGCTGAAAGAGTTCAGCTGGTTGTTCGATCTCTCGTGTATCGATTTTTACCCGCAAAGGGCGTGAAGGACTTGTCTCGTCCTGTGAACTTTCTTTAGCGGGTTCTCAGATCTCAATTATCAGATTGGCAGGTTGTTCCATTGGCTGGAGTGGTGCTAACGTTCGGTGTGGCTTTTTTGCAGGGAGTTTTTCGAGTCACAGTTTTGAGGACACGGTGAGTGTTCTTGGACTATGCTGGTCAATTCGATCTGTAATGCTGAGATATATCCTATTTTCTTGCCAAATTATGCTTAAGATCTGTACTATCGAATGTAATGAACAGTTTGCATGATCAATCACTATGACGCTTCTAATCCATTCTTCATAAAATGCTTTCATTGGTTTATTCGAGACCGAAATTATCTCGAAAGATTTTGCTCCTTGGAGTTGCTGGACTGTAGAATCTGCCAAGAGGGATTTCTGTGGCATATTCATTTGCATATTGCAAAGTAGTTTAACAGATAATTGATGGCCATTTTGTCCTGCTGATGTGATTACTTGGAAATTGCAGTTGAAGAAGATGTGCAAAGAAGGGGCGTACTGGGGTAAGTATTAATCAAGATACAATCTGTACATGCAAAGTTTCTCATATTTGCGCAGGGGAGTGTCTAAAATTTCTTCTCTTTACAAGAGCAGCGATAATGTGAGGATTATCCTATGTATAAACAGGGACAGTTGCTGGAGTCTATGCAGGAGTGGAGTACGGGGTAGAGAGAATCCGTGGCACCAGAGACTGGGTAATGCCTGCTCTGCCTTGTGTGGAATTGCCATTTCTTCATGGGATTTGGCTTTCTTCAAGAAGAGTTCTTTAGTTGTTCAAAATTTTTATACGAGTCTCGGTAGTGGGAAGGATGATGTTGTTGCAATGTCTTCCGCTTCCTCGACTACTAGAAACGCAACCTGAACTTTTACATGGATGGTCAGACATGAAAGACTTCTACAACTGTTGTATGGAAGTCTAGCTGGAAAAATGCTACGTTTTTGTTGCTAAGCTTCCTGAGTTCCGCTCCCTAGTTACTGATTTACCCAACACAGCAATATCTCTCTTATCAGCTGAGCGATTGACCAAAACTCTTTCACTCTTGCAGAAAAATGCTATGATAGGGGGTGCTTTGACCGGCCTTACAATATCTGCGGCCAGCAACAATAACAGAGACAGAGTTGTGTTGGATGCCATCACAGGAGGTGCAATCGCAACTGCTGCAGAGTTCCTTAATTGTCTGACATGAGTAATGGAACAACTTATTCCCGATGCTTTTTGACCTTTTAGGTAGAAAGCATCTATTATGCTGCTTCTGCTCATCGCCCCTCTCTTGTATGCAAGACAACTGAAAGTTTGATGACGAGAACCGAATCATCATTTTCTCATCTGTAAACTATCGCTCATAAGTATGTTGAGGTTTATGGAGCTATTTTTACAATGGAACTCCTCCTTACATCGCAAACTCGAATTTTCTACAGAGGACTTTAGTGTGAACCTTTTGTACAAGTGATTATAGTTACCCTATTTTCTTGAGAGGACCTTGCGGGATAAATTAGCTGAAACCTTCAATACAAATCCTTGTAAATCCATTCATAAGGTAGTGTAAAATAAATGCAATATTGACATGTCAGTAACTAAAAAAGGAGGTTCTGTTGCAGTTTTTCAATGGAAATTATCTCCTGACGGGAGAATCACATGACCTATATAATTAATAGGCTACACAGCTATTGATTGTGAGATATGGATGCTTTATTCAGAGTCCAACGGCAGAAGATGATATGTTCCTTTGGGGAGTAGGAGGTCAGCAGTGGGCTCTGTGTGATTCCATTAGCAGTAAGCAGCAAGTATAGTTCCCTGGATACCACCAAGATGGCGGGCCTAGCTGTAGAGGATTATTTGTCTTTCATGGTATCACGAGTTAGATTGGTGGACGAACCTTTGAACCGCTCATGCTGCGTTGCTAGATGCGCGTGTCTCGTGTGAAGAGACTTCATGATTGCTAGCGTCTTGATAGGGCTACGGTGACGGGATCGTCAATCTTATATTTTCGCCTCCTGGGTGATGCGGATTAGCTATGACACAGACTTAACATTCCATAGAAAGTGTACAAAACCTTATGGTAATGATCAATGGGATTGCTATTGCTAGTGCCGGTTGCCCCTCCTCGCTCTTTTTCGTAAAAAAAAAAAAAAAAAGAGTAAGAGTATAGTTCTCCGGATGTTTAATGACCAGATTGATGATAACAATATTTTGCTTGTGCTTGTACATGGGTGAGAATGTGAGGCAGAAAACGTGTGCTCGGAGGTTCGAGCCCTCTTCAACGAATAAAATTGTAAAGGATTTCGTTAACAGTGTCTCGCGGACATTCAGCGTCCAATTAAGGAAAGTTTTTTATTTAAAAGTCTTACTCGTATCCTGTGTGATCGATGCATTGAAAATTTTAACATTTCCTTGTTATGAACTTAACGAGTGTCCATTGACACTCTTTAACAAAACCCTATTAGAAACACTTGCAAGCAATTCCATGAGAGAGATGGCAGATAGAATTACCATAGGTCCAGATAGATACATACTCATAGTGAACTCCACAGCCATGTATACAGTCTTCTCCCTCCCGAACAATGGTACCCACCACAACAAAGCAAACGAAATACAAGCTCCATTACACAGCCTTAGAGCATCTTAAAGCCCCCGGAAAAGGATTTGTAGATGCTACGGCTGCTTTATTTACTGGTTACATATTCTTCATTATAGATTTTTACTTTTTATGGAACGGTCACCGAACCGTGAGCCGATACCTGAGAAAGACACTTCATTTGCAGTTGCAGGGATCACACGTGCAGTTGGATCCGCACTTGCAGCCATGCTCTGCTTCGAAAGAGCTCATCTCGGACACTTCATGGTCCCTGAGAAGGACAGTAAGTTCTTACATTAGCCGCCAAGGACATCAAAGTTCAGGAGAAAGTTAAGTGATACTCTGCATTATCGGTAGTTGGTGTTGAACTAACGTACATCTTTACGGGGGCAACGCCGCCGATGATGGTCTTAGGGCTGTTCTCAGCCACGTCGGGATACACACCGCGTCTGCCCAAAATTTGACAAAAAAGAAGAAGATGAAAATGGAAACTAGTCGACTCAATTGGTGAACTAGGAATAGGATGTGTCACTCAGATGAAAGATAGACCATTATCTCTTCTCTCCTAGTTCGACACAATCAGGACTAGCAGGCGATTGAATTGATAATGGCAGAGGAGATTATCCAAATGAAAACTAGCTGTACTCGCGAGAGTAAATGATGGAGATCGTTTTACCCGCCACAGCCGTTGCCGCGTATGTATCCAGAGCCACATACACAGTTTCCGCCGCAGCAAGACATGTTTATAGTCTTGGATGATATCTCTGGAACTTACTGAGCTTACAGGATCAAACTCTAGGATGAGTCCTTAGCTCATGAACCAGAGTCCTATTTATACTGTCGAAGAGCAGACGGACGTTGGACATGCGCCACACACGTGGACGAATCCCACTAGAGCCTGATCAAATAGAAAATTCTCTCCTTTTTAATGTTTTTGCACAATTATCTTGAATGATGACTTGTGTGTAGAATAGACCCATGTCAGGCAATAATTAATATTATTGTATTTACCTTGGTCGCGAATGATTAGCAGTAACATATCATGAACGTGCTTCCATGATTGCTGGCCTTCGGAATCATAATTTGTCCGCCGGTTCTCTCTTTCCCATAAGAATGACAGTAAACCAGGATCAAACTATGATACAAGGAAGCTCAGCAAAGTAATTTGTCGTTAGATACAGCCAGGCATGAAGGCACGAAGCATGCCTTTGCGAGGATATTTACACCATTGCGAGGATTAATTCATCGATTATTCGTGTGTGAAAATTGATTGGTATGGTGACTGCTAGGACCCTCCCAAAAGAAAACAAAAGAAGCGGTAGGTGACTCATGGGAGATTCCATCTTATATGCATCCTTCCATGCAGTACTTGCTACTAGTTTCGTTGCACAGTTCTATGGTGCTTCAAACTCACCAAAAGCAATTAACAGAGAGCTCCATCTCCCGACTGATTCGATTATTTGCTTTTGTTTTCTTCACTTTGATGTCGAGACTGGATCAACGCCAGCAAAAGGGCAACAAAAATTTGGTCCTTAAGTTTTCTGTATATACGTATTTGAGGGGTGGAAGTCGAGTGGTGCAGAGACTCCGCATTATCCGGTGCGGCCCGGTATGGGCGAACAGCTCCCGAGATATGGAATTGGAATCGCATAATCGCTTTCTATGGAAACGAAAAAGCAAACGAAAGGCTCTCACATGGTGGGTGGGTCTGCAACTCCCCATGTCCCCTGATTGTGGAGTTTGCTTTAATCGTGGCTTCTGCCTTTTCTTCTTTGTGGTCATCAAAGAGGGTTGCGATTCACACATTAAAATATTTCGCATTTGTTCCTCTTGTCTCGAAGAACACTGTAGAGCATCTGCCAGTAAAAGTCAAGGGCACTCGCGGTGGGCAGGAGCGCTTGCCGTTACAAAGGGTTCGTCTCTGCACTTGCCAGGAAAAATCTCAATCCTGCAAGCAGCAGTAAAATTAATCTAGGCAAAAGGCTGAAGATTCAAACCAATCGCAATCGATTCTTATTCCAGGAAGTTCCAAGTCTTTTATTATGCCCGAAGAACTGGCAGAGCGCAAACAAGCTTCATTGCCATTTTTCTCGACATGACTAAAATATACTGCTCCAATTTGATCTTCGCAAGGTTGTGCAGCTGCCATGGTGATGACCCGGGAACCTCGATAGTCGTCTCGCTAGACCGGTATGACTCAACCATCGCTGCCCATTTGTGTCAATTCCACAAGGCACGAAACGCTCAAGCTATTTCGGGATGAATGTGAATGCGGTGAAACATCAAAAACTAAAGTAGATGATGGAAGTAAATCAGATACGTCCATGTCAATCAAAACAAAGAAAGTGCCTAATCAGACAAATGACCCAGAAATTCTCACTGCAGACACAAAGATTAGATCAGCTTGCCCATCTCTTGACAATTTCCAAATGGACGAACACAGCCTTTTTTCTTTTTCTGGTCTATCTTTGCAAATCGACCCACGTCAAGGCCTAAAAAACAGTACTTTCGTCTACTCATAAAAAGAAAAATTCAAGAGAGCCATGAAAGACTGACCAATCAGTAATTGGCATTGCTAAACGCAGGAATCACATCTAACTGAGCGATTTACAACTGGGTCCATCATCACACACAGAGCAAGACCCAGACCCATCATCTCCAGAACCACAAATCCAGATCTAAAAACCCTAAGACACAAACCGAAAAGAACAGCAACACAGCCGCCGCCGCCGCCGCCACCACCGCCACCTCCTAAGCCCTCTCGCCCCTGATCCTCCTGGCGAGCTGAATGTCCTTGGGCATGATGGTGACCCTCTTCGCGTGGATGGCGCAAAGGTTCGTGTCCTCGAAGAGGCCGACCAGGTACGCCTCCGCCGCCTCCTGGAGGGCCGCGACGGCGCCGCTCTGGAACCGGAGGTCGGTCTTGAAGTCCTGGGCGATCTCCCGGACCAGCCTCTGGAACGGGAGCTTCCTGATCAGCAGCTCCGTGCTCTTCTGGTACTTCCTGATCTCCCTCAGCGCCACCGTACCGGGCCTGAACCTGTGCGGCTTCTTCACGCCGCCGGTCGCCGGGGCCGACTTCCGGGCGGCCTTCGTCGCCAGCTGCTTCCTCGGGGCCTTCCCGCCGGTGGACTTTCGCGCCGTCTGCTTCGTGCGGGCCATTTCCGGGGTCGCGGATGCTAGGGGTTTCTTTCGGGTCGGTGCTCCGGATTTCGCGGAGGAGATTTGGGAGGGAAGGAATGGGGCGATGCGATTGGTGAGGATGGAGACGACGGCGAGCCGCTGTATTTAAATCGGAAGTTCTTCACGGGGAAGAGGCGGGAGATTTTCGAAAATTCCGAGGGTTTCGCGGCGAGGAATCTGGACCGTCGGTGGGGAGAAGAATCGACGACCGAGGACGAGCGTGCTGGCGAGACGGGGATCGCGATCCCTGTCGCCTATACGACAGCCAGTAGGGTTTCAAAAACCTCTTAGAATATGTTTCAGCTCACTCGCGTGCAGTAAAGGAGAGCGAAAATTTTCTAATAAATCCTTAACCTATTATATTTTTATTGATTTAGTTCTAAACCTTTTGATCTTGCTAATTGAGTCCTAAATTTTTTCACGTTTTACCAATTAAATCCATTCGGCCAATTTTGATCGAAAAGCTGCTGACGTGAACGCCGATCGTCCTACGTGGCATGGTAGGCGCAACGCTGACATGAATAATTTTTAATAACAGAAGAAGCTCTAGCAATTAGTTGCTCCAATCTCGATTCCATTCGCTACGAATTACAGAGAATGGTGGAGCTAATGAACTCTCAATCACACTAATCCAACCGAGCAAAATACAATGACGAATCTATCGACATCCAACGAATGACTCTGGATCCCTCACGACCCGTACTAACATATATACAAAAAGAAAAAGAAAGAGATTCTTTACGATCATGCCTCGATACCGAACTAATTGTCTATTAAGACGCAGAACAGATGTGTTGTATAAAAACCGACTCTAAAATCCTTTTAAGTTCTGGCCCCTTTACTAGCAAGTACTCTAGCATAAGTTGAGAAGACATCTCGGTCTCATGACATGCTGCACAAAACCACCATATCAGGAACAAAACTTGGTGCGCAAGCAAGCGAAAAAACGGTATGCAGACATCTTGATTCTACCTGCCAACTTGCTCAACTCTCAAGGACTCAGTACTTCATCTAAGAGATCATCAAGAATCCAATCCTCCAATTCGAGCGCGACGCACTCCCCTTCCCACTGGAGGTTCAACCAACCATCTCCCTTCGCCATATCCCGAGCCATCACGTCATCAAATGTCTGGTCCAGCTCCGGCCTCGTGCGATACCGGTTCACTCTTTTCCAGACCTCCTCGAGCATAAGCTGACCCTTCGGGATCGGTCTGACGTTGGTTGTAAAGGAGAAGGCTTTGGGGAAGAAAGCGGACGATCGCTGGAAGATCTCGAGCAGCGCTTCATTGACTAAATCGAACAGAAGCTGGTGGTCGCTGTAAGTACTGACAACCTCATCTGAGCATCCTAGCTCGTGGTCTGCTGCGCAATCCTCCATATCGTCTAATAACTCAGGATTCAGTGGTTGTTCCGCGGTTTGCCACTGTTCAAATTGCTCACTTTTGAAGATACCGGATAGGTCGAGCAAGTGACTTACGTAGCTAAAGTCTGCCTCGTCCCTTTTTTCCAAATGCGAAGGCTTTAAGAAGCGGTTTACGATGTTGTTTTTCATTCCAGTGTCTGTATCATTTAAAGCCTCGTAAGATGCTGACAAAGCTTCCAGGACAGAGCTGCTGGGCAGGTTCGCAAGAGAACCCGGCTCCTCCAGATGAATGCAACCTGAAGCAACAATGGATCAAATTAGCCACACCCAACTCTTGCACATGAGAAAAAATAGAGTAACAACTGATGAATAGTGTAAATGCATTCCGATAGCAGGTCTAATTATGAACTTGGAGTGACTAGGATCAGATGAAACATTTAACGATTTAGAGAGGATATGAATCGGGAAATCTGCATTCAAGACAGTATAAAGCAGGTGAATCCAGGCGCCATGATGCAAATGGAACTTGTCTCTGAGATGTAGTTGATACCGTTTGAGGGCAAGAACTCCCCTGTTGTAGCTTCGTCGTCCTTTGGAGAGGGTTTGGGTCTACAAACTGAACTTAGTTCATCTACTTGACCGATGGCTTCCCATGTGATAGACATCTCCCGTTCATGCAGGGAACGGTTATCCTCCCTTGCTGATTCAACAACATTGTCACTATATATAACAGTCTTCTGATCTAAAGCAACAACCGTGCTGGAGCGCAGTTCAGTACTAGTCTCTGCATCATCATCATCGCCTTCTTCTTCTTCTTCTTCTTCTCTGTCTTCTTCTTTAATATTCTCAAGGAACTTGACCTCCGGGATATCATGCGACGGAGTACTTCTATCAGGATTCGAAGGAATAGCTGAAGAATTTAATTTGCTACCCGAATCACACTCGGTTTTCACACAGAAATCCCCATCCTTCCACTCTCGCATTTCTGAACAGAGAGCATCTAAAGACACCACACCTAGGAGGAAAGATAGGCTTTCAGGATCCGGAAGGGAAAGTCTCCTTCTGGTATATTTACGCGTATTTCCACCCGAGGAATTCCTGTCTTCGTTTGTCAATTTTAGGCTCTTGGAATGATGCAGGTTAGGCTCCCTCCCATAAACATTCTCGAATAACTGAGCATATCTATCCAGCGATTCATGTAGAGAGGAAGTTCTCTCCATGCTGTGTAGCTTACCCACAGGGGTCCAGTTTTCGCCATCTTGGTACTGGGATTTTTCAGAAATCTCATTTGTGTCGGCAGCAGAACTAGATCCGGGGGATATTCTGTCAAGGCGAGCATCCACTGTCGCATTTTCTTTTCTTTCTTCTTTAAATGCACGCCTTATTCTATGCTTAATGCGTTTAATCTGATTCATGACCGTCTGATTCCATCCGTGCACGTTTTTTGGGTGGGAGTTGCCCGAGGAAGAAACCGTAACTTCTTGCTTCATGGCACTGCTTTGCACTGATTGTATTTCGTGATTTTGTAGCAAGTTGGATGAGGTAATTCTTGGCCCTGGAGTGATCATTGTCGGATTTTCACCCTTTGGCAAAGACCACATTTCACTTTGCTTGTGCTTAAGAGTGCTTGGATAATCTCTAACGCCTGATGCATCGGCCACAGGAAATGATCGAGACTTTGTGAAGCTTGCTTTTCTAATGGAAGTTTGCTGGCCATCATATTGTTTCGCAATTCCCGCGTGTGAATCTTGCTGGTGGGGGAAATTGGGAAGGAAATCCGTGTTTACCTTGACTCTCTCTGTCTCGGCCTTATCTTTGTTGTGCTGCTGCAAATTTTTCTCGCCCTGCCCAACGCCCATCAGCTTTCGCTTCACTTCTCCACCTCTCTCGAGAAGGTGTGCTCTCTTTCCAGCACCAAGTTCCTCTCCTGTCCTTAGTGAATAAAGGTCTTGCAATGTGGGGATCGGAGTGTCGGCTCCATCATGAAGGATAATAATGGGATCCTTCCATTCAGCTTTTATTTCATCGAGGATGGAATCGGTGCGGTGATGTCGACGTAGAAGAACGCTCAAGATCCAATCTTGATGGATCTGTTCCTCAGGTGCATCTTTAGCAAGTAGCTCTCTGGTGCTACTCGCAGGAACATCGTTGAGAGAATTAGCTTCTACTCTAGGCCGTTCCTGCTGAAAGTTTCAGAATCAAAAGATATCCAAGTTCATTGTTACATGTGTGCCAGCGAAAGCATTCTGATTAAAGATTGGTGTAATTGAAATGAGAATTCTCTAATATAGCTGGTAATTTGATGATATAAACTGAGAGTTGTATACTGAAATTCAGACAATGCTCTATGTTAAAAACATGCATTTACCAGTAGATGCTCTGCTTCATCTTGCCCTTGACTAGTGTCGCAGCTGAAAGAGATTGTTTTCGGTGTAGCGCAACCTGAAACCAGAGGAAAAATAAACTCTGAGAAGAACTTCAAGAGATAGAAAAGGAATGTGAGATCCAAAGTCGTCATAGTTGATGCAATATCGTAAAATGAAACAGCACTGATACCCACAGTTAATGCGGTATTTCAGAAAAGGAATGTGATATCCAAAGCTACCCAAGCAATGTGATGCTCGAATTGGTAGCATAATCTAAAGTTATCTTGTTCATTGATTGATTCAAGGGCAAAAATTCCTCACGGTGCTAGACATCTTCCATTATCAGGGTTTGTACCATGGACAAGGAAAGGTGGGTAATTGGATTGTCGGCGGCGGTGTCAGGAAACAAGATATCTGGAAGAGTACTTAGTCATTGCCAAAAGAGCAGTCACATATCAACATAGAAAACGGTCTCTTAAACATAGCAACAACCATTTGGAATTGAAAAGGTTTTACTGCCCACTTTTTTCGTTATTATAGTGGATAAACGAGATGCAAAAGGCGATAAAACAAGCGACGAGGGAGGATGAGACAAACTGACATGGCTTACGTCCGTGGCGCTTTCTTCCTCGACGCTCTTTTCCGTGAAGCGCTCTCCTAATGGGACGCCAGTAATGATAGTCGAAGACGTGAAATAACCCAAACCAGCAACCGGGATGACTGTTCTGCAGTCGGATACCGTGATCTCCGCACTCAATGTCCCCTTCCATCTGTGAGAGGTCGAAGCAAGAGTGCGCCTAAAGTCTTGAATGGCCGTTTAGCTATTTACCGACAGTTATGTCGCGAGGCCCGACTTTATCCCTGGAACCTGAATCAACATAAGAATGTGCTATGTGAGCAAAGTTCGCATCTTTACCAACAAGCCATGCTCGGAGATGGGCAAAATCCACAAGTACAGTTTAAAGGCACCAAAGATTCCTGTGACCTTATCATCAACATCAAGCACCAAAATAAGTTCAGAGTTTATAATTATCCAAACGCAGGGCACAACCCTCGGCAACATGAGAACCACTTAACTCTCTTTCCCAAAAATATAAAACGCTCTAAAATTCCATGCCTAATTCATTCTTAGCCTTCCAATCTGACGCTCCTGCATCTGATTTCAGAATTCAATGGACATTGAACAACTTCCCTCTTTTAACTACCGATCGAAAGATTGTGTTTCGAACATGTCTAACCGGAGATTGTTAGCAATTAAAAAGGAACGAAAGATAGGCTTTCGGGCTATTATTACCGTTTGCCATAGAGAAAAGCAAGGCTCCCAGTTTCATGCAGAGTTAAGGCAGCAAAATGAATACGGAGGTGCAAATTAGACGACAGAAATCAAAATTAAAGAGACAGAAAGGTTTTGTTCAACTCCTTGCCTCATGCTTCAGCTATAAAACAATGAAACCCCCGGAAGCGAAACGAAGAAGAAACTGGGCATACAAAACAAGCTCTCATAACATTGAATTAGCAGCAAAGTTGAAGACCACGGACCTCGGAGTTTGCTCCTCCAAGATTCGACGCTTCCTATAGAGTTGAGACAGGGCAAGGACTCGGTCTGATTCAGCGCTGACTGCTCTTAAGAAAGATCAGAAAAGGTGTCTGAACACTTGGGCAATCAAGAATTGCGCAAGAATCAAACTCTCACAAAACAAAAGGTACTTCGTGCGAAACCGCAAGAAGGGGTTGGTTTTACGAGAGGAAAGAGACGGAGGGAGAGTCGTTAATGGTGGTTGTTGTCCGAGAAGGCGAAAGACTGACCAGCACCCCTAAAAGCCGCAGGTTTTTTGGCGCGCTGGATACGCTAAAGTAGTGACAGAAACCCAAGACCGGTCCACTCTGTCTCTCTCTCTCTCTCTCTCTCTCTCTCTCTCTCTCTCTCTCTAACTCCCCTTGTTTTGGTCCGGTCCAACTTGTTACAACCACGAAGTCACCAAAGCAAGTCAATGAAGTAAAGCTCCATGACGTCCTGCTCGTCACCACCCGAATAAAAGATAAACAGAAAGGAAGAGAAGGAAGCTGTGCGGTTGGTCATGGGAAGGAGCAGGTTTAGTTGACCAACCAAAGACTATCATTTGGAAATGAATAAATTCTCTGTTCAGTGAGGCTCAGGAGGAGTTGATGAACTTGCCCTCCTTCAGATTAATCCCAATTCTTTATATGAGGGACTTGTGAATGATGCGCAGACATATGTGAGTCAAGAACAAGAGAGAGAGAGAGAGATGGAGAAACAGAGGGAGATTGGCGATCATGGAAAGAGAGAGAGAGGAGGGGTCAATGCTAAAACACAATACTGACCTCTGTCTGTATCGAGCGTGCAAGTAAATTTTTATTAAGGGCATTTGGTAAAATTTAATAACGAAAAACGTTTAACTAAAAGGGGTCATCAGCTTTCTTACTTAATCAAAACACAAATTATAGATGCAACGTGCAGACAAGTGTATCGTTCAGGTCTAACTCGATTTCGTATCTATTTTGATAACAAAAACCTTAAAAAGATGATATTGTGCTTGCAAAAGTTCACCACAAAATCTACATAAATGATGTTATATATGAATCTCAAACGCCGTGCTGTCAATTCAACCAAAACAGCAGTGCATAGCGTTATCCATCGGTCCATAATCATTCCCCTAAGATTTGTTCATGGGCTCACCCATTTCTTACCCCCCCAATGTCTTGCAGCGCATAGAATTATCCATCGGTCCATAATCATTCCCCTGAGATTTGTTCATGGGCTCGCCCATTTCTTACCCCCCAATGTCTTACCCCCAAAGTGGGGGTCTCTTTCGCAGACACCGGAAGATGGAGGTCATGTGTAAGACACAGGCTTTCACATTGAATGTTTCAAAGTTTCAAAGGAGGTGGCTGTGTTGGACCGGAATTCCATTTGCATGTTTTCAACTGAGGACTGTGATTGGTGATGGGTATGGGGGGGCTTCGAGAAGCCAGGAAACGACTCGGCTTTCTAGGGACGACATCTTGGGTACTTGACTTGTCAACGTTTTCCCAAACGTATGCACAAATCCATAATCCACATAAACACGATCGAATGGAGAAGGAGAAGACTTGTCAAAAGGGGATACGCGGTCTACGCATCGTTCTGAATATTGTAAGATCACCATTCTCCACTTTGAATTTGAAGCGCTTCTCCCATAAGATCTGACACTTGAAAACGACAGTAGGGAATATGACTTTGATTCGATCCAAACTTGAATGGTGTTGGGCCAGTGTTGACAATAGACCGTCTGCTGGACTTCTTCTTGAAACTGACCGGGGAAACCGTGGCCTTTTGTGTGTACGCTTAATGAGCTCTTCCAGTTTCTTTTAGTTGGGTCTGCAAGGTCGACCAAATTTTGTTGCTTTGACGGGCCCCCTTTGGCTACTGTGTATTTAGTCTTAACCCGCTCTAACGTCTAAATCGAGACATGGCTCATGGGGGTATCGTGCGAGGAGGTAATTGAGCCTCGATCCTCGACTAACAATGGTCGTGAATGGCTCCCAAGGAGTTCATCTTCTTCAAGTGCTGGTACATAGCCTCGCTGAAAAACCCAAGCTCGTTGAGTAAGCTCGTAACCGCGTGAGCCATTGAAGCAGTTGAATGTTACTGACAGGTTCAATCGGTAGATTGATTAAGGCCCTTTTATCCATATTGGCTTTCCATGCGGCTGGATTGAGAGTGATCCCCAATTACCGCGATTAAGTTTACTGAAAGTCCTAAAACTTGTCATGAAAGTGTAATTGAGTTTTAAAACTTTCAAAAAGTGCAATTAAGTCCTAAGACTAGTCAAGTTAATGCAATCAAGTCATTCCATTAACTCCGTCCAACTTGACAAACGGAAAATGCAAATAAGTTTTAAGACTTGATTGTACTTTTTAAAAGTTTTAGGATTTAATTGCACTTTTTGAGAGTTTTATAACTCAATTGCATTTTCATGACAAATTTTAGGATTCAAATGCACTAATCCTATTAAAAGATGCACGACCCAAAAGAACAAGATGAAATTGTAACTAAAGCCGGATTTTGAACACTCTTCCCATACATTCTATGATCTTGGAGCATCAAGACTCTCACTTTTTTTTTTTCCTAAAACATCAAGACTCTCACTTGCTCATCAAGTTGATGGGGTCCTATCTCACCCTCGCACGTCCTACGATAGTGATTCTTCAAACATCGTCATTGTTCACAAGTCATCTCACTTCACAAGGCCTGCCCATTAGCTCCATCAAAAGATTCGAGTACATTGGACAGCCAACGTAGCCCAATTATCTGAAAGGATGAAATCAATCAGATTCAGAAAGTATTAGCCAAGAGCACGAGAACTATTCTCGGAATTGCGCCTACGTAATAACTATGTTTTGGCATATAGCATTTACTCTTGAACATTTGCAAATTTTGCTTCAAACCCTAATCTGCTCAAGATTAGGAATCATGTTGCTCTTGCCTCGTATATCCCAACACTCGAATCCTATCGGATTCCATCTCACTTAAATGATTGAGAGGCGCCAAAAGATGGAGATTAAATCAAGAACAGTATTTCTGCCATAAATAGTTTAAAGTAATCAAACGATTAGCAGGTATAAACCAGGGGCATGATTGTTGGTGATGGGACATCATGATCGGCAACGGGGGAGCAAAATCATGAGGCATGAGCATGAGCTGCAATGATGCGCCATGAGAGTGCGTGTTCACTTTTTTTTCCTCCCCTTAATTTCTCTGCATCATACCCACATTATCAGATCTCCCCCCCCCCCCCCCCTAACTTTACAACTTTAATTAATCAGAAAAGCTTTCCTAAACTCTTTTTTTTGGGTCAGATTTCTAAACTATTCATTTGGGCAAATAAAGAAATACATGTGCCGTACGAAGCACGATCCCAGAGAATGCTGGGTAGGCAGATTCTGTTCCGACCATTACCTTGAGCATTTTTCAATTTCTTATCTGATCCCTTAAATTATCTTTCACTCGATTTAAAGAAAATATTCTTGCGTTTCGACATATTAATGAGGTCGTGCATGAGGTTAGGGATGTATTTCGTGAATCGAAAATTTACCGAAGTACTTGAAATGAGCTTCCTGATCGTACCAAACTGACTAAAGAATTTTATGGATGAGTCTATCCAATGCTTATTTAAAGAAAAGAAAAGGTACTTTTCCCTGTAAACGCAAAAGAGAATACCTTGCTCTGAATCAACACGTGAAGTGTTCATGCTAGTGTTGCAGTGATCTATATGATTGGAAAAGCAGCTTATGCTCATCTGGATCTAATTTGGTAACTGCTGGTGTAGATTGTAGAGTATGGACTGATCAACAGGAGTAGTTAGTATGTAAAGTGTAAAGCCGCCACAGTGGTCCTCCGCACACACAGACACACACCCCCTCATGATGTCTGCGATGTGGTGAAATCCAAGCAATCCAATCTCTCTCCCTCTCTCTCTCTTTCTCTCTGAGAGGATGTTTAGAGGTTTTCGACCTCCGATCAACTCGATCCGAGGTCAACGAGCTCCATCCCGAGGCGGTTGATCCAGCTCGGATCCGTGTGGAGAGAGGGCGGGTTCGACATCAAGATTAAAGAAATTTGTGACAACATATGTACGCGAGAGTCGGCTCTCCCAACTAATAGCAGGCTAACCCTAATTCCATAAAGAAATGTGAGAAAGTCGTATAGTTTGTGACAATTTGACTAGCATTGATGGACCTCATGGCTTGTAAGCCATGGTATGCCATGCTCTTCCTCACCATCTTCCTCTTTGGGCCTCTAAATGGTCCTCAGTTCCTGCATATACATAGATCAATCCCACCTCCCCTTTTTTAATCATTTCAAGAGATGAAGCTATAATCATTCAAAAGCCAGTATAATTATTCAAGCTTACTCGAGTAGAACCTCACACCAGACCTCAACTCGATCCCATTTTCAGCGAGGAATCCTAGGCCAAATGGTGCCCCAAAGCCTGCCTCATGCAAAGTGCAGAAAACAAAGCAAAACCAGAGAGCAATCAAGAAAAGGTTTGACATTATGAGCCCAACAATCATATAAGATTGACCAAGCAGCCCTCAATAATAGCTTGCATTGGAGAGATTCATGATTCCATGTCCCAAGACTATTATCCTCATGAACCAAAACCCTTGCCTACATATGATTATGTTCAACACACCTAGTGATGAAAAAATTGTTATGTTCTGCTCAACATGGGTTTGACATATGCGTTGACTAATCATCTTGGGTTTGAAATACACTTATTTGTCGTCAGTCCAACACTTGCTTATCCATAGGAGCAATTTTCTCCACTAAGCACTAATGGGTCTTCGGATATTTTTATTTATTCCCTAATTTTCCCTCTAGAGCCAAAATATTAAAAAGAAGTATAGCAGGCACATTTTGTGGGAAAAATTACCAAAAAAGTCTTAAACATATTGTACGAACGTCAATTTAGTCCAAAACCTTTTAATTTAATCAATTTAGTCATAAACCTTTTGACGATTTGTCAATGTAATCTTTTTGGCCAATTGTGGTTGGCAATCACTGATGTGGACATAGACCAATGTCCCACATAGCATAATCAGCGCTGACATGGATAATATTTTATAATTTCTCTAAAAAAAAATTTATTTTTCTTTTCTACCATGGTGATCAGTGGAGGAAGAACGGAAAAAAAAAAGATAAAAAGAAAGAAAAGATAAAAAGGAAAAATTTTAATTTTAAAAAAAAATCAGAAAAATTGCAGAAATTGTCAACATTGACATCGGCCGTACCACGTAGGATGGCCGGCTTCCACGTTAGCGATTGCTAGCCAAAATTGGCAAGAATGACTACATTGGCAAACCGTCAAAATGTTTAGGATTGAATTGACCAAATTAAAAGGTTTAAGACT